ACTGAATTAATTTTTTTTCAAAATCATCTTCAAGTTTTCAGAAGTTCAAATCCGATTCAAGAATTAAGATTTGACCTTCGATGACCTTTTCAATGTCAAAAAAGGTTAAAAATTTATTTTTTCAACTTGCTTCAAATTGACCAATTTATTTTCAAATCCAGTTCTCAAAAGTTCATATCTGAATATAGATTTGACCTTCAATGACATTTTCAAGGTCAAAAAAGATTTTACCTTCTCAAGGTCAAAAAGGTCTTTTTTCAACTTGCTTCAAATTGACCAATTTTTTATAAAAATCATATTCAAGTTCTCAGAAGTTCAAATCTGACTTTAGATTTGAGATTTCACCTTCAATGACCTTCTTATGGTCAAAAAATCTTGTTTCAAATTGACCTTTTTTCAAAATCATCTACCGAGTTCTCAGAAATTCAAATCTGACTTAAGTTTGAACTTATAATATTGTGAGCAACTAAGTGGTGACATTTTGTCATGTTAATGCCTTGTTTATTTTTCAAAGAAACATGCTAGAAATAAACAAATTGTGGATGAATGAATTTTCCAAAATCTTCGTAGTAAGGAATGCACATTACATAATATATTGATATAAGCATGTAGATGATATGGCGATATGTTTTTAATAGGCAAAAGTGGGATTTTTAGTGAAGACAAAAAGTCAGTTTATCATTTAGCAGATATCTAACCTTGCAAATACAATGCATCTCTGCCAAATGGGTTATTCAGATACTAAACTATACTGGGTTGAACATCTTTACTGAATAGTATTACATAACACTCAAATTAAATTAAATGATCGCTTCTAGTTTCAGTATAAAAAATCTGAACTCTTCAAACCTTACTTAGGAGATTAAATCAATTTCTGACTTCTGTATAATCTTTTTGTACAGTATTCCCCTTTGACAGAATCCATCCCAGTGGTCAACCATTCTAATGTTTCCTCTTAAAATAATCAATATCCCCTTACTAGACACCATTTGTTACAACCTTGAGGTCAACCAAGGGACCACCCTTCCCAAAAGTTTGACGTTATGAGCACTCTCAAATCTAGACATTTTCTGGGCTCTAGAAAGTCATTCACTAATCCTTTTGCCATTAACCATGTGGCATTCATTTTAAACATTTCCATAAAAGGCCCAGAATCCTACATTGAGATAGTTGAGATTTATGAGCATCAAAAATGTAAAATCATTTTTGAAAGTCAGAGGGGAGTGTGCATACTAGGTGGCAGACAAGCTGTTTGGGGATTCTGGACATCAATAGAGATTTACTAACACAAGAACATATATGCTATTAGCATCAGACCCAAAGTTACCTTTAATTATGTGTTAGCATTTACAAATTGATTTTTTGAAATAATATTCATGGGGTGGAATCCCTTATGGATTAGGATGATCCGGTTTATCAAGAGTTCATTAATCTCACTCTCTCTGCTGATTGTTGCGAGACAAGGATAAGCCATTGGTTTAACCTAACATTCAAATATAGTTCTAATATTTTTCTGTTGTTATCTCATCATCAGAAGTGGTGACATATTATAATCGTCTCCAACTTTTTTTAGCCAGTGTTTGGCAGTTAGTGTTTGGTGTCTGTAACAGCATTTGGCTTCGGTTGCATGTTAATGGCTTATGTTTTTCATGTGTTCCTTTTGGTCAAATTATGCCTAGTAACATTTTCTATTTGGACCAATCACTTACTGGTATTTTCCATCAGTTATGGTTCTGAAGCATTAGGTACCCATTGTACATTACTTTGATTTCTAAACTATAAAGTTTTCATATTGGATTACCAAGGTATGAAGTTTTGAAAATCGACTATTGTTCTCATACCTGTAATTAGAAATCAAACCGGTAGATTAGTATATATACCAGGTACACAAATCCTTTACACAGAAATATAAAATATTCATTTATTATTCCAACGAACGAAGTTCGGTAGGGATATAGTGAAGCCCTCAGTCTGTCAGTCAGCCAGTCCGTCCGTCCGTCTGTCCGGAAGATAACTCAAATATTAATTGACGGATTTTCTTCATATTTGGTGGAAAGATGTATATTGATGAATAGTTTTACGCAAAAAAAAATTTTTTCAAGATGGCCGCCGCTTTAAAAATGACGGGACTTTTTCGCAAAAATCATAAATTTTTCATTCTGAACCAAAGTAATTATTGTTATTGTTTGAAATTTTGGTAGTATATTCGCAACATCTATCTATTTCACATATATTCTGTGTTTTTCATTCTGACCCCAAGGGGCCGTGTATGGGGGGTCAGGAAAACAGAAATTTTCGCTAATTTTTAGATCTTTCTGAAATATAGCTTTATTATACTCAAATGAAAGGCAATTAAGAGTAGATTGCAAATATTGTATCTTTTTTCTGATTCGAGCCTCGTAAAATTCAAAATGGCTGTCTAGTGTACGATTTCGCAATAATTTTTCGATCCCTTCAAAGTATGGCTATATTATACTCAAATTGAAGGAATTTACGAGTAGATCACAATTATGGTATTAGACATCCACCCAGATATCACTACAGGTACCCTTACAATGCATAATCTGCAGAGAAAAAAACTTAATCAGACAAAACAAGGTCACTCAATTATTTACACCTTGGCTGCCGGACTATATTTTTCAGAGTTGTACCTCAGAAAATTCAAAATGGCTGCTTTGCAGGAATTCGCAATTCTAAAATCTAAATTTTTCAATTTTAACCAAAGTAATGAGTATAATTGATTGGAATTCGGTAATTGATATGTTGTTCGTTGGGATTTGCTACTCCGCGGAGTTGCCTTTATCTAGTTGACTTTCTATAGGAATGTGACATCTGTTGTGACAACTAAGCTTGTATTCGTGAATGCAACTACTGGCTTGCAGCTGATGGATTATCCTATTAAGTTTCATAAATTGGCCCATCATTTTGAAGTTGTGAAATGTTCAAATGAGATCATATAGACATTGCCTTCGAAAGCTGACATATGCTATCTTGAAATTGTATTTTTTACGTTGCAGCTGACGGATTATCCTATTAATTTTCATAAATTGGCCCATCATTTTGAAGTTGTGAAATGTTGAAATGAGATCAAATGGAGATTACCTTCGAAAGCTGATAGATGCTATCTTGAAATTATATTTTTTCACGCAGTCTTTGAAAATGTATAACTTTGATGATAATGCCATCATTCGCTGACATCAGCTGCGTAATCTGTCATTTTTCAGCAAAATTGCCAATAATGGACATTGGAGAAGTTATTATCAAGATTAAAGGGGGAGGTGAAAATGATTGTTCAATATTCTATGACAGTACAGTATACGAGTCTAAACTCATTATCATCTACATGAACACCTATTCTTCAAATTAGTGCTCGAATTTGCATCAGATTTCAATACCAGTATCACGTATACCCGGTTTCGTATCTATCAGTTGTACCGTTTAAGAAAACCAAAAACGACCTTTACATTTCGGGCCATGATTTTGAAGAGCATTTGAAGAGCCCTGAACGGATCACTAACTGGATGGAAAATTTAGCAAAATTTCCTGCCAAATCATGTTTTTTTACAAAAGAACAATTTAAAATCAGAGTGCAGCTATGGTTCATTGAGGGGATGTAAGGTATTAGCATCTTTTCATCATGTTGTTGTCATCATACAGCATCCAGCATCTGATTTCAATACCAGCATTGAACCCTAGCGCTACTTTCCTGTTACTTCCAGTAACACCATGATGTACTACTTCAAATAATTTTGATGTTGACAAAATTGGATAGTGTGATACAGATTAATAATACACAATGTATGAGAATCTCAGGTTTTATCTTAATAATTACAGTGTAATAGAAATAATATGAATTGAAATTACCCTTTCTAAAGTATGTTCTTTGGCTTAATCTGAATGTTCTATTGTTTCAAATATAAGGTGCATTATTTCGGCTTTTATTACTTGCAATACTATTAATTGTATCATACTGTAAACTTGAGGCTCTTTGATCCTTTGATCTTTGATCCTTTTAGACAATAAATGTGTAATAGGTAAGGTAGAATTGACCTTAGAATTAACTTCTATTTTAATATTTTTTGTTCAAGGATTTAGGCCCTTGACTCAGTGCATTGTTTGCTGAATCATACTATGTTGCTGTTGTTTCCAAACCTTTGCATGACAGCGCAGCGGGAATGTAAAGTGTAGAAAACAATGCCTGAGTGGAATGAAGCAGCTACAATGCACGGAGTCCAGGCAAAGGAGCTTTCCTCAAGAAGACATTTTCAAGATGGCGGCTGAATTTCGAAATGGCCACGATTTTTCGTAAAAAACATAATCTTTGATAACTCAAATACCAGTAGATCGATTATGTTCAAATTTTATGTGCTGATGGGTAGGGACACATGAGCTCTGCTCCATAAGGAATTTTTAAGATGGCAGCTGAATATTAAATTAGCCACCATTTTTAGTAAAAGAATGTAATCTTTTATAACTCAAATACCGGTAGACTGATTTGGTTGAAATTTTATATGCTGATGCCTAGGGACAAAGGAGCTTTGCTCAAGAAGACATTTTTAAAATGGCTGCTGAATTTCAAATTTGCTGCCATTTGTCGTAAAAGAATGTAATCTTTGATAACTTAAATACCAGTATACAGATTTTGTTCAAATTTTATATGGTGATGCCAAGGGACGCAGGAGCTCTGCTTGATAAGGATTTTTTAAGATGGCAGCTGAATTTCAAAATGGCCACCATCTTTCATAAAAGAATGTGATCATTGATAACTCAAATACAAGTAGATGGACTTCGTTCAAATTTAAATGCGGATGCTTGTTCAAGAAGAGATTTTCAAGATAGCCGCTATTTATCAAAACATGTTTTGTTCGGTGGGATTTGGTACTCGGTTGCTGTTTTCTAGTTTTAGAATGACTCTTTATAGTCTATTAAGTCATGTTTTGTTCAAATAACCTTTACATCATTCATAAGAATATAGTAAATGTAAAATTCTTTATTTTTAGGTAACCGACTAAAGAATTTTGAAATACGAGTTGGAAACAGTACTGACATAGCCACCAATTCAATATGTGCCACACATGATGATGAAGTCCCAAAAGGAGGCAAGGAAATTCTGACATGTGGCACTCCTATATATGGGCGCTATGTGAGCATACAGAAGAAAATAAAGGGTGTGCTGACCTTGTGTGAGGTTAAGGTCTTTGGACGTAAGTTCAAATTGTTTTTATGTTGTGTTGGGTTGATTGTAATTACTTAATTATGTGTTATCAAAATCTTTCAATCTGAACATTATCTATTCATCCATTGCTTTTTGGAGTTTTAAATTCAAACCTTTTCATTTCAAACCTTTTCACATATTTTACCCAAACTCTGTGACAAATTCATACTTCTAAAAATCCTCCATATATTTTATTCTTGAATAATGCAATTTGTATTAAAAATACATGTTGTTTAAACTTCAGTCACTTTTCTGAGAATATAAATGAAAGTATTTCAGAATTTATTCTTGTATCTATCAAACCAAGTATATTTATAACTTGAATAATGATTATTTGACCATATGCTGTTTATTTCACGTGACATTTAGCATTAATAACTTCCCCGAGAGCATCCAAGCATGCTCATGATAAAAATAATGGCATCAAATATAAATCGTTTGGACAATTTCCTGTGTATGAAAAATGTCAGGTCTGGTTTATATGATATTTAATATTGATGGATCGATCACAGATTCCCTCGTGTATCATGAGGTATCCATTAATAACTGTTTCAGATAATAATTGTGATAGATGTATTTTTGTCAAAGGATGATGTCAGTGTTTTTTGTAAAAAATTAATGCTCTTTACAAGTTTGTCAGAGGCTTGCGAAACAAGGTTTTAAACATCTAGCTGTGGTTTACTTTGGAGGTAAAAATATGAAATGAACGGGACTTCTGGCAACGCTTGTAAAATTTTAGATGCAAAATATCCATTTTTTAAGTCTTCACTGTTTCCTTTCAATTAGGGTTTTTGAAACAAGTTCTATATCAACATATAGCTTAGTCATACACCAGGGTCCTACTCCCTCTCTTCCCCCTCCTCCCCTTTCCCCAACTAGGAGTAAGAATATGTATGATGCAAGACTATTTTGTGACTCATCATTTCAGGCCCAATATCAGTAACATGGTAGATTTCCTGATCAACACTCTTTCAAGTCATAGTGACATGTTAATCGTGAAAGTGCTTGTTAAAAGTAATTGCTGATTGTAATTCATCATACTAAATGTGCACTTTGTTATAATAAAGGATATTTTAATTTGTTGAGTTGTTATTCTGTCTATGTATTCATAAGCTTATCTTGCACATTATTTAATTACTTCATCTAATGAAATGTTTGATATACTGAGGACCTCATTCCTTCCCTCTCTCCATCTAACTGAGATACTAGTGAATGGATTTTCTTCATAATTATTCTGTCATGGTTATGACTTTAAAAAAGAAGAAAAGTTTTTTCATCCCAAACAAAGCAATGAAATAACCATACCATTTAAAATTTTGAGAGTGTATCCATAAAATATTGTGTTCATTGAGATTTGCTACTTTTTGGAGTTGCCATTTTCTAGTTATTTCTATTGTTTTTATGTGTCATTATATTTTATTTCAGTTATATTTATTTTCTTTTATTTGTGATTTAATTTTGAATTCTTTTCAGATAATGTAACAGGTAAATGTATCCCTTTCCTATAACCTTACACTTAACATGCATTGAAAACTTGAGTACTTTCCCATTTGTTCACGCACTCTCATTTATACAGCATTCATATACAATTTGACCCTCTTCGTGTGGTATCATGTCCATTTTACAGTATATTTCATTAGGACTTAAGGACATATTCCTTTTACAATCATCTCTCATGCACTTTTATCGCACTTATAGTGCTATATTATGATCGTTTCTAGTCAGAAAGGCAGGATTTTGACACAAAAAAGTCAAGCATTTGACAAATGTTAAGAGTTTGAGGATGTGGGGGTTAACCCATCTTGTTAAATTTTTGGTCTTGATGGATAATATCTGTTGATGGTATTTGGCGATCATATTAATCTGTTAATTATGAATTAACAATTACGCGTCTTACATTATTTTAGGGCCTTTTGTTGTTTCATTTTATAATGTAATTAATGGATGAACACTCCAGTCTTCATTATTCAATATTAGGGAGTTTAAGCTTGCATATAAAATCAAAACGGGAACCTATACGTATGACCAATCGCCCATACAAATGCATTGCTTAAATATTTTCCATTCACGTTTAGGTTGTGAAAAACATTGCAAGCTTAAACTCCATATTTTCTTGGTTGGATTTTGATACCTTAAGCCAATGGTTGACTTATGACAATGAATATTACATCTATCTTTTTGCCATTTAAATTATTAGTATCATCACCATAACACAAAAATCCTTACTGGCATTCACTTCATGTTTTGGAGATATCTCATGAGTTCAACATCTTGCATATATTTTCATCACCATTTGATGTATAATAATGCATAATATTTTGCCATTTGCCTTCCCTTTCATTGCATTCTGAAAGACTTTTGCCGGCTTTGCCTCCATACTTATAAGGATGCTACACTAGGTCAAGCACTGTATGTGATTATCTTTTAGGGTATCCTTGGTAAATCCTGAAATCCTGAAAATTAATAAAACTGCCTTTATATTAAACTTAAGATCTTGTCAAAATTAGTATCAATTCAAAGCTTGGAAATCTTTCCAAAACTACTATAACTTTTAGGGACAATGGTGTACTTGAATAATTTTGTTTGGTGTAGGCCTACCTACTATTGCTTCCAATGTATTATTACAAATCAAATTATAATTCCTCAGATTAGAAGAAGATTTGTAGAGAAACATTTGAAGAATTGAATATGTTGAATTGAACGATTGTCCTTTATGTATTTGTTACTGGTTTTACTGTTTAAGTGCGATAGGTATGTGTGACTTGAAACAGTCGTACAGGGTGGGGACATCTAATTTTGGTAATGAGCAATTTAAAAATTGCCTGACACATTACTTAGAAATATACTCGTAGAGTGTAGGGTATCTGTGCTGTTTTCAGTTTTCAAAACTTGCTGCTAACAAAATTCTTAGAGAAGAGTTATTGACTTAGCAATTGTATTGGGTGGTTTGTTTTGTCCAAGATTAAACACATTTTCAACAAAAAGCAAATGATGCAAAACTCTTGTTATTTCTCATTAAAATAAATTGCTCTTATAATATTCCTTCTCTGTTAATCAAATGAATATTTCTACATGACAGACAGTTGCAGATTGAACAAACCCCATTACCATTTCATATCACTTTGAAGATTGACCAATCCCTCATGTATCTCTCCACATGACTGTTGCAGATTGGAACAATGATCATTATCATTTTATATACTCTACAGAAGTTGACCAATCCCTCATAAACACTTCCACATGTCAATTGCAGATTGACCAATCCCCTTTTTCAAGTCTCACTGCAGTTTGACTCATCCCTTATAATTGTCCCACATGACGGTTTCATATCCACATAAACACTTCCTCATGCCAATTTCTAATTTCTTTAGTTTTATTTTATTTAATTTAATTTATTGGTTTGGTTTGGGTATATGATTTAACATTGCACTTGAAAATGCAATTGAATAATGAGATAAAGCCCTTTTTAACCAACTTATCTTGACCTATTGTAATATAAGAGAGGTAAATTGATACAAGTTATTTGGAGAACAAAAAACTGCAACTTGTATTGGCAATGTCCCTGAAGGCCCTGAAGGTAAATGATTAGCAAAAATAAATTCAATATAATAAGCACTTATCCCACCGAACAAAGTTCATAGGGATACAGAATTGAACTGTTCATCCATCTGTTCTTTAGTATGTCCGGGCGATAACTCAAATACCAGTTGGTTCAAATGTTATAGGCTGATATTCCTTACCTCTGCTCGTGATGGAATTTTCAATATGACCTCTCAATTCAAAATGGCCACCATATCTCATGAAAAATGTAATCTTCATTAAATCAAATACCATTTGACGGAATTCGTTCAGATTTACATGCTGATGGCTATAGGGAAATAGGAGTTCTTTTCTAAAGATGGCCATTGAATTTCAAAACAGCCATCATTTTTGATAAAAATTTTAATTTTGAATACGATTTATAGACCGAATTATGGATTGGTCACAATACCAGATTTTATGTATCAATGTCTTATTGGCAAAGGACTCTGGGTCAAGAAGAAATGAGAAATTCAAAATAGCCACCATTTCTTAGGTAAATAATGATTTTTTCCGAGAATACAAATACCAGTTACCATCAAATTTGGTCCAAATTTTATATATCATTGATGTAGATTTCGTCAAAAGGTGACAAAACTACTCATTTCCTGGTATTTATTTATATCATGTAATGTCCAAGATGGTATTGACTATTTAATAAAAATATGTTTTGCTTGTTGGGATTTGCTACTCCGAGGCGTTGCCATTTTCTAGTTATTGAGCCTTCGGAGGCCACCTGTACTGTAAGTTCAAATAAAATTGTTGTGTTAGTTCCCTATACTATCATAACTTGTATCAAAACTTCTCTCTCTCTTTAAGCTGTACCCGTACTATAATGGCATAGCATATGTCTTCGAATAAGTTTGCTAAGCATTGTTTGTCTCTTTCCTTGAATATTTATTTATTCATTTACGTTTTATGCTTTGATTTGTAAATTATTGTTTTTATTTATTTTTTAGAATAATTTTAAGTTTTACGAGTACTGTCTTAATATTTTGACTGTATACATAAAACATCATGAATAGTTCTTAATAACACAAGGTTGTGTTGAAAAACAGATATAAAGTATACTATGTACACGAACAAGGCAAAATGTAGGTTATAAATTCCCCAACTGTACCAAATATAAAATAGACGAAACTACTTGTCTATGATTTAAATTCATTTCAACTGAAATTATACTCCATACGTGTATTCTGTTTTGGGTAGCAGCCGAATGATTATACATTTTGGATTTTAATATATTTGGTCGAATAAGGATGTGTCTTTATTTCCCTTTATTAACAATGTGCCAGACATATTATTGAAACAAACTGGGAGAAACCGCAATAAATAATGAAAGGAAAAATCATATGAATTGTGAGCAAACTGACTTTGATAATTATGAAAAAAAAATACAAATGGAAATAATTGCAGAATACTGACCCCAAAATAAATGCAACCCATGTTTTATGTTTTTTATTAAAGGGATTTGATGTGCAACAAATATAATCTGATAATAAGAGCAAAATACCCAGAGAGGGGAACATATTTTTTGTAAATTTAATAGATGAAATCAAACAGTATGGAGCAGTCTTTAGTACCATACTGGATTCCTAACCAAGTAAATTTGGTGAAATCCCCCATCTCATCTAAATATAAAATTGTTGATCTGCTAGCCCTTAAGTAAATGTCATTGAACTGGGACAGTGTCTAAAGCAATTTTTTGTAATGTTTGCTAACTAAATTGAAGGTTTGTGTGATTTGGTTGGCATCAATTTTTGCCTTAAAACCAGATACAAGAATTTTTTTCAAAATCATGTTGATATTTGGAGTTACAGTGATTGCCTTATGAACTTAAAGCGTGCTTGATGAGTATGCTTTAAAAGAGCTTTCAAATAAAGTATACACCTTTGGAAAGATTTACCTACAAGTTGCATGGTACATTTAATCAACACAGTCCCAAGATATCAAAGTATTTATCAAGGCTGTGTCACAACCTGGAAAAGCAAAAGAAAATATTTTAACTCATGACCATAATTTTATGTTCTTCAATGTGAAAATAATTTAACTTTTGTCTTTTCATTCTATTTATATAGAGTGCCCTGCTGGTTATTTTGGTCCTACCTGTGACAGGTGCTATTGTAAGGATGACAAACCATGTGACATGTTTGGCTACTGTGACAATGGCTGTACCAAAGCTTACTATACTTCATCTTGCAACAAAAGTAAGTATGATGATGTTCTATTGTTCAAGTTCAGCATTCAATATTAGGAAATCTCACTATAAACCCATCATTTTGTCACTTCTTAGACCATCAACCCTAGGATAGCCACACAAAGGTCCATTTGCAGTATGGCAAGTGAATTTAGATGGCCATATCTTTCACCATGAGTACTTTCTGGATATAAATACAGTGGTTTTATTGAAACAATATGTTTTCTTTAAAGTGAAGTCCCCATGATAGTAAAATATCAATCCAACTCTGAAAAATTATGGATTAGGACCCCAACTTGTCACTTTTTTAAAATGTAAGGCTTATTTTCTAAAAATAGGATCTTGTTTTTCTCAATTTAAATATATCAAAAGTTTCTTCTACACTATATTAATAACTTCTGAAAAGGGGATGGGTATTGAAATGGGATATAGTTAAAAAACACATTTCCCATGTTATTTTCCCATGGGGAAAACCATGCTATCCATTGTTTTCAGCATGATTTTGGTCATTGAAAATTGATATCTTCAAAACTACACTTTCAATACCATTCTACTTTTGAAGATGTTTTAGACCCCTTGTTGAATAATCTTTTCATGCAATAAAAATCGGAAAAAGAAGATCCTCTTTTGAGCAAATAAGTTCAACATTTTGAAAAAATTGTTGACATGGGGTCCCTATATATAATTTTTCGAATTGTTCGATTGATATTTTATCATCATGGGGACTTCACTTGAAAGAAAACATATTGTTTTAATGAAAACCACTGTATTTATGTCTAGAAAGTGCTCATGGTGAAAGATATGACCGTCTAAAATCACTTGCCATACTGCACATGGACCTTTGGTATAGCTTTCCATGGGTACAAGTTCCAAGGTCAATGTTATCTAAAGGGTCAAAGGTCAATATATTGAAGTCATTCACATAGTAAAGTCAAGGTCACATTAAAAATTTATTCAATAGGTCAGTGTCATTCAGAATGTCCAAGGTCAATATTCTGTGAACTTTAAGTGCTCTTTGTATTGTCTGTGTCACCATATGTTGAAATAAATGTATTTATTTTCAGGAAAGCCCCAACTCAAGAATCCACCACGTGTGACTGAGCGAAGTACAACATACATTAATATCGCTTGGGACAAATGGTCGAACAAAACTGACCTAGGAGAGGGAGAAGTGGGAAAATATACTGTTAAATACAAACTGAAATCTGAGGAGAATTATCCTACAGAAAATAAAAAAGATGTTGCGTCTTTCTCAGAAGCATACATAACTGATCTTAAGGAGGGAACAGCCTATGATATACGTGTCTTTTCTTGGTATAAAATGGACAAAGATATGTTAAGAGGTCTCCCAAGCCCTAAGCTCTCAGCATCAACCTGTGGCAGTAAGTTTTTATGCCTTAGATATCCTCAAAGACTGTCATCCGATGGCATAAAATTCAGTGGTTTGGATTATATGAAATTACACATCTGTGTGTATAAATATTGCTTCAAAAAGCTCCAATTACATCATTGAATAATATTACAAATCAATTCAATCTTATTTTCATTATTACATCTGAAAATTGTCTGCTTTATTATAGGTGCTTTAGGGTACTATTACACAATTTTTAATTTTGATAATGCAAACAATACACATTTTTATCTGAATATAATAATTTATTTTTGTACTAAACACATGAAGTAGTACACCTGCACTCCATTTTCAAACCAGAAATTGTGAAACAAAGCTCATTTTGTAAATTATACATCTGCTAGAAAAAGCTTGACAATCTTTTAAGCTCTTGGAGTGATTTTTTTAATAGTGCCCCTTGTGGGCCATATTGTAATCAGTTTGCCAGATGTCAGGTGGAGGGGCATTCTGAAATCTTGTCTACAGGTTTCCACTCAAACTGTTTCAGGGGTCCATCTGAAATTTTCTTTTTTTGTTTGTTTTGATTGGTTAAAACAATAAACGGATTTTACCAGTTTTATTTGTGAGTACTGGTATGCTCATATCATGGTCAATATCTAGCAATCATGGGATAAAAAAGTTATAATAATGAGACCCCCAGTTAAATACTGTCCTGTATTGTTGTTTGATGTGCATGTACTTATTTTGTTGTTTGTATTGTAGATGCCACTGGAGGAGCTACAAATATACGACTGTCCTCCACCCTCTATAGGAAGACATATCCTTCTCTGGCTGAAATAAAGATAACATGGGAGGTAATGAAAACAAGCATATATAAAACTGATCAGCTGCTACAATATGGTAAACAATAGTGCAATTTTACATTTTCATGTTCGTTTGCATTCTTTACATATCACTTTTATGAAGTTTGAAGACTTTTTGTTGTGATATATGACTCTTGATCAGCATATCATATGATATATATATATGATATATTCTCTGTAGTAACCTATCCCAAACCCATCTAAATGCGAGCTACCTATGCAACGTTTTCTACCTTATACCTTTATTTCTGAACGTAGGATCCAGCGGAGAAATTTTGGGGCTGTGATAATATTAAGCAATACAAGGTGCTGCTACAAAAGGAGGGAGGTTCAAGTTTTGAAGTCAAGAGAATTGTATATGATTCTGATGCCAGAGAGGCCACATTGAACAACCTCAGGGCCTACACCAACTATCAGATTCAGATTGTACTAGTGAATAGTGCTGAGCGGGAGGGAGAACCTGTTGGGTCACAGATAAGAACTGCAGTTGGAAGTGAGTTATAAATATCAATTCCCAGTCATGTAAATTATTTCAGTATTTGGTTTGTTTCTCTTTTTTTATACAATTTCTAATTTGATTTCTGATATTTGATAAAATTGATATTGCCATGGTTGGTTAATAAATAAAAATACTTTTGACAATGGTAAACTGGAAACACGGAATGAAATCCTGTGCTAGAGCTGATGTGAAAAAGTCAGTGCATCCCAAAACCATTTATATATTAATATATAGAAAATATGGAACTCACTTTGGTGTTTGCTTTGCTTGATCCCCCCCTACGCTTATCCCTTGATTATTAAAACCATGTTGACCCAAAGTTAGGACTGCTTGAAAGATTTAATTCCCTCAGGTTTTCATCTCATTCATTCTCCATTGGTTCTGCTTTTTTACCTTTAGGTTATTCCAAATTTATTCATACATGTATAGAGTTTCTAAAATGTTGTCAAGTAAAAGTGATAGTAGTTAGTTTGTCAAAAATTGCAAAAATTGTCTTAATATGTTTTTAAATGAGTATTTGATTTTTGGAATTCATTGGAAATACTTAACCAAGCGTCTGCAAAGACACACACTGAATGAAACAATTCATTTTGAGAACTATTTTAATCATTATTGATTTTCATTTTAGGTCCAGATGAAGTAGCAAATGTCAGTGCAAAAGCCCTGTCAGGGAAAAGCATACGTGTACATTGGGACAAACCTCAGCAAGACAATGGACCTATCACTGCCTACTATCTCAGATATTCATATCAGGTATATCCAAGTTGATTAGTTATTTTGTTCACATCCAAGTTCAATGTACTTCACTATAGCCAAAGTTCGAAGAAGAATATTTCATATTAATACAATGTACTATATTATTATATCATCATCTACATACATGTATAATGTAGTTATGTAATTATAAACCAGTTTATGCAAGAATGATATCCTTTATTTTCAGTTACGAACACCGCAGTGCAACACAAATGAGCCTGATAAAACAGTTAAAGTGTCCGCAGATAGCAACAGCCATATACTTACTGACCTTACTCCCTATGCAGACTATCTGGTACATGTCTCAGCCAGCACAATGGCAGGCAATGGATCAGAGATTGATGTTGATGTTCAAACAAATTCAACGGGTACTGTTATTTAGCCCACATATTTGCATCTAGCTACTACCTATTTCAGACATAGATTGGACAGATAAAGCCACTCAAGATTTAATTGACATTCTAACATTATTAACATCAACATCTATCATTTTACATCTAGCAGTTATCAAAATTATTATTTAATTATGCATTGAATTATAAGTGACATATATTCATAACAAAATTCTTTACTGTTGCAGTCCCATCTGCCGCCCCTATTTTCAAAGAGGTCACTATTCTTGAGAAACACAGGATCACTGTCAACTGGTACTCTTTTAAATGTGAGTTCCTCAATGGACAACAAATGGGATATGACTTCAACATCACCAGTCTTGATTTACATGTGCCATATCACGAGATTAAAGAAATGCTGACAAGTGGAAGTCAGTACACATTTGAAGGCCTGGTGCCTTACGTGAACTATTCCATTCAGATAAGAGTGCTTAACACAAAAGGTCCCGGTCCTTGGAGCAAACCTATTATACACACTACTAGAGAAGATGGTAAGTCATTTATTCAGGTTTTAGGCTTTATTATTTAGGGACACATGTTATACCATTTGATAAGGAAATGTTTTTATGTCATCGCCCAGCAGAAGCAGTGATATATATTTGTGATATCAATTTATTGTGACTGACATTCAGTGATGGGTGTTTGGTGTCCGTAGGTGTCGTTGCACTTAAGTAACCAAACCATTTGTATGCAATCACTTAATAGTTGGCGACATTTTGTCATGTTTAAAATGCCTTGTATTATGTTTTGTTATTTCACAGAATTGGAGTTTTTATCGTACCTAATAAAGGTACGATATTGTAGTCAGCTTAACGGGCGGCGGGCGGGCGGGCGGGCGGGCGTGCGGGCAGCTGGCGGCGTCTCACTTTTCAGCTTGTCTACAGGTTTCCAGCCAAACCATTTGACAGATTCATCTGAAATTTTCAGGAATGTTTCTACGTATCAAAGTTAAGAACTGATTAGTTTTTGGGCATTCTGGGTAAATTTTAAGGTGGCCATTTTGGATTTTCCGTCCTAAAATCTTCACTTTCAAGACTTGTCTACAGGTTTCCAGCCAAACCATTTGACGGATTCATCTGAAATTTTCAGGGATGTTTCTACGTATCAAAGTTAAGAACTGATTAGTTTTTTGGCATTCTGGGTAAATTTTAAGGTGGCCATTTTGGATTTTCCGTCCTAAAATCTTCACTTTCAAGACTTGTCTACAGGTTTCCAGCCAAACCATTTGACGGATTCATTTGAAATTTACAGGGATGTTTCTACATATCAAAGTTAAGAACTGATTAGTTTTTGGGCATTCTGGGTAAATTTTAAGGTGGCCATTTTGGATTTTCCGTCCTAAAATCTTCACTTTCAAGACTTGTCTACAGGTTTCAAGCCAAACCATTTGACGGATTCATCTGAAATTTTCAGGGATGTTTCTACGTATCAAAGTTAAGAACTGATTAGTTTTTTGGCATTCTGGGTAAATTTAAAGGTGGCCATTTTGGATTTTCCGTCCTAAAATCTTCACTTTCAAGACTTGTCTACAGGTTTCCAGCCAAACCATTTGACGGATTCATTTGAAATTTACAGGGATGTTTCTACATATCAAAGTTAACAACTGATTAGTTTTTGGGCATTCTGGGTTAATTTTAAGGTGGCCATTTTGGATTTTCCGTCCTAAAATCTTCACTTTCAAGATTTGTCTACAGGTTTCCAGCCAAACCATTAGATGGATTCATCTGAAATTTTCAGGGATGTTTCTACGTATCAAAGTTAAGAACTGATTAGTTTTTGGGCATTCTGGGTAAATTTTAAGGTGGCCATTTTGGATTTTCCGTCCTAAATTCTTCACTGTCACACTGCTGTGTTTTAGGTACGATATTGTTCACGTCTGTGCCTTGTTACCTTTTATGACAAACATATAAAAGCTAACTTACCACATAAATATCAAATGTTTTTGGGGTGACATGATCACTCCCTTTAAATGTGTTTTTACAAAACAGTTATTATATTCAGGAGACATATTAAACATCACTTATGTTCTTAACAGTTCCTAGAGAAGTAGAAAATGTGAAACTCATCGAAATCTTTAATGATAAGATGGAACTGAACTGGGAAAATCCAAAACCTCCACATGGCAAAATCACTGGCTATGAGGTGGAATACTGGGAAGATGAAGAGAATAAGGAGATAACAGAAAGGATTCTGGAACCAAAGTTCACAATTGAGGGACTACAACCAAACACAAACTATACCATTGCTGTAAGTATATTGTAATGGAAGGACCCTGAAAAGAAGGTCCAGGAATATTCTGTGAAGAATTTTGAGAATCTTCATCTCAGGTTATCTCCAACTCTTGTACAGAGATAACTGATCAAAAGATCATAAACATGGCAGAATATTTTACGAAAGTAAAATTCTGCAATAATTGGTCCATGTGATCAAATAGTGTCATGTTAAATCAGACATTCCTCAAAAATTCTTTGTTTTAATCTTCCTTTATTCTGTATTGATGGCATGATTTAAATATTTAAAATAGAGTCATTGGCAGACCCCCTCCATAGAGAGAGTTAAAAATTTCTTGGTCAATTAATTTAGAAGTACACTCTACTAAATTTTGATTCCATTCTTAAAAAACTTACATATGGATTACTGGATTATATTACTTATAATTGATTCAGTAATTCAGATATGAGTAAATTAATCTGATATACAACATATTAATTTATATGCCCCCTGCTTTCAATATCAACATTGCTACATCATCCATATTTACTTTGAGTGAAAAGTCAATGTTTGTATGACTTTGACGAGTGATTTATGGTCTAAAGAGCGATAGAGTCTGGAGTAAAGTCATTTTCATACCACATGTCAGTGAATTTAATTTAGTATTTTTATTTCATGATATCATATCAGCGTAAATATCAAAGCAAATACAATCAGTCATGAGGAAAGCAATCCCCCAATATCCCAAATTATGATCACATGCTCAAAGAACCAATCTCTACTAAGGACCCCTGTTTCCAGACCATTTAGGAAATATTTACATAGAATATTTTATTTATTGTTAAGGTGAGGGCTTTCACATCTCAAGGAGGAGGCAACTTAAGCAAGGAAGTACAAGGTTTTACAAGGGAAGGAAAGCCTGGGCCGCCTCAGTATTTTTCTAAACAAGCTAAAACTGATCGCAGTCTGAGCCTTCAGTGGACGGCACCTAAGAGAACAAATGGAATCATTACAAAATACACTGTAAGTATGGAAATGATTTTGTCTTGCATGTGCACACGTCTGAATAATACATCAGGGTGTCCAAAAAGTAATGTATTGTAATTTAACAAGTGTTAATTGAAATTATCTTAAATTGTCAGTTATAAAGTAGATATACCCACTTTTATATTGTAACTCGTGCACCGTCGGCCATTTTGAAAAATGGGTGATAACACCCATTTAGCTACCATTGTTGCAATGCTATCACATATTTTCTTACTCTAGAGGTCTTAACCTTCCCAAAAATCACTATGTTGATTATTCCCCTAACTTGATACCGATAACCTAAATTTTGGGGTGAAGCTGACATACATGTACATAGACAAATACACTTTTAAGTAAATGCCAGCTTTATATGTCGTAACAGTAGACTCCCCTTCCTTCTTTAAAAACAATTAATTTGAAATTTGAATTAATTTCCTTAGTAGTACTCCAATCTGAACTCAAAAGATCAGTGCTACCAAACAAACTTGACCACTTCAAGTCTTACTCTGGCCATGCATACATTACTTTTGATGAATAGAAAACTATTAATAGGTTAAAAACTGTTTATTCTTCAACATTTTTTCAGATTGTTTGCTCCGTGGCGGGTAACACAAGGGGCACACAATTTAAAGGTGAAACTGTTGGATTTTCATACACATTGCAAGGCCTACAGTCAGGTACTGAATATCACTGTCGACTAATGGCCAGGACCAGTGCTGGATATGGTCAGGATGTCTCTGGATTCTTCTATACTGCACCAGCTAGTAAGTGAATGGAAAGTTTGGCATACAGGGTGATCATAAACTGATGTGAACTTTTATTGTTGTATATAGTTTGTTTTACATTATTTTATGATCACTGAAGAAAACAAACCCCATTAAACAATATCGATCAAACTAATGTAAGATGATTAATATATTTTAGTAAACTATTTTAGTGAATAGTACTTTATATGGTAAATGTAATTATATTCTATATGCAAATAGTCTCCTTATATACTTATTTCAATGTATTTCAGAACCCAAAGCCCCTCCCGCCCCAGAGGTTGTCCTTGAAGAAATGACAGACACAAGTGTAACAATTAAAATTGAAATGGTCGCTAATTTCAATAGTGAAAGCAAAAACATGTAAGTATTTTTTCAAATTTTTATATGTACAAATGATTGTTTCACTAAAACTGTAACTGTAATTTAAATTGCTAGAGTGTTTTTTTATGTTACCAACAGGTGTTGTGACATTGTTATAGTCTCCAGCTTTTTTGTGGACTGTGTTTCGGTTGTTGGTGTTGGCAGTCAGCGTTTGTACCAAATGGCACGTGGTGACATTTTGCATGTATATTCTGTGCTGTAACCCCAATGTAAACCAATATATGAAAATATGGATATCTTTATCAATATACCCATACCAAAGGTTATTTCTTTTGATCACAGTTAATATTAATAAGAAATATCATACATGTACATCTTGATATGTCCTGTTTCATGCATCATTTTTCATTGATATTTCAGGGTACATCGTATTGTAGTGGACAAGGTTAATGAAGATCCTAGCTACACAATAAACAACCCCTCTAAACGGGATACAGAGATAGCAGGAACTACTACTTCTACATGTAATTTTGAAAAACTTACTGACTATTATGCTGCTCAAAAGGAAAACAAAAACTGTTACATTGCTGCTGAGCTCGATAACAAAGACCTAGCGGAAATTGCTAAAAATGGTGCAATTTTTGTTATCGGGAGTAACGAAACTGTGAAGGAGTATTTCAATGCACCTTTAGAAGAGGGAGCTAAATATGAATTATACTTTGGGGTTGTCGTAACAGTGGATGGTACATCAGCTTATACATACTCAAAGCTGGATGCCCCTGTACATGGTGAGTAGAATGTGGTGTAGAATGTGTTCTTGCATATTATGATTAAAGCCAAAAGGAATGATGTTTAATGAAATAAGTTTTATTCTGCATATACACTTTGTAAGCTTATTGTCAATTCAGCTTATTATATGTATTTTATGATTTCTAATAAATGTATTATTTCTTCACTTGTAAATCATTCTCTCAGGATGAACATATTACTCTGCACATGTACTTCATGATTTCAATGGGAACACATTATTGAGCACATGTACTTCATGACTTCAATGTGAACACATTATTGAGCACATGTACTTCATGACTTCAATGTGAACACATTATTGAGCACATGTACTTCATGACTTCAATGTGAACACATTATTGAGCACATGTACTTCATGACTTCAATGGGAACACATTATTGAGCACATGTACCTCATGACTTCAATGTGAACACATTATTGAGCACATGTTCTTCGTGATTTCATTATGAATATATAATGGAGCACATAATATTCATTGCACTTTCAATATTGCCACACTCGTATGATTTTTTTCCAGTAATGGCTTATAAAGCCCCAGAGGAACCCCACTCCAATCAAGCTGGAATAGTTGCAGGAGTTATGGTTGCCATAGTGGCCTGTATCACAATCATCATTGTCTCCATATTCTTTGTAGTTCTCAGGTAGGTGTTGGAAATTACTCTTAAACCTTCAATCCAACATTGACCTTGACCCCAATGTCACTGTAATGTTCCTACATCAACTTACAGTTTTTGAAACATCTATCACTTCAAATTTTTTATCAACAAACAAAAAAATAGAGACCCAAGTGGTTATTTTTTCCACACTTGCATGTAAAACGTTTTTATTACTGCATGTTGATAGACAGAAAACTACATTTAATTGAAAACTAACCCAAGACTATTGAAATATAATATTTGACGATTAGGAATGAGACACCGCCAGTTTATTTTCAAAATAATTTTTTTGATTGTAAAAAAAGGATAAAAGAAATACAATCCTTTTCGACCGTATAAGGTGAGTTGTGAGAATGTAGCCTTGACTGTGCTTTAATACACATCCAGTCCATATCTGCCATTATACAATTGTGAAGTCTATTTGAAGAAATTGTCACGACTTCATGTCAAATATCTTCCACACTGGTATAGCTTATTCTGGCACTTTGTGATTGTTCAAGAAATTCTTATTCACTTGAAGCATTGATTAATGTTATGATTAATGTAATTCCCCCAATATTGACACTGTCAAATGTGGCTGCAGTGACTCCCATATTGGAACCTCAAATTCAAAATGGCAGCCACCAGCAGTTCTTTTAATACAGTAGTTTTAAAAAATATACTAAAAAACTACACCATCAGATTCTAAAATGTATATGACAGTTTAGCTGTATCAACAGATATTGTGTACGATTCAGCTATATCAACAGAGAAAATGTTTGAATATATACTCCTTTAAGTAAAATTAATCAATATTTTTGATAATTTTATTACTTTTTACTATTTGGCAGGTATGTGAGTCAAAAGCATCCATTAGATTTGTAAATTGTTCAAATGTTGCCGTATTTGCTGTAATCATTGACTGACGAGTTTGTCATTTTGATGGATGCATGCAAAACTGATGCAAGAGTACAACATTGCAACAAATAAACTAAAAAACTACAGTATACAACAATAATTGTACATCATTAATATATGCATATGTGTTATGCATATTAAAAAATGTACTGTGCACATTAGAAAAATTATAAAGGTTTCTTTGAATTTCTTGTTCAAAATTATGTTAAGAACTTCAGATCATTATCGTTAATTGCAGAATTTTGGAAGGTAATTTGAACTTTCTCATGCACATGATTAGGATGTGAAATAATGTATTCACATGTGTTTTATATTTCCGAAATCTACTTTAATTGAAAGGTTTATAATTTAGAATGCAAAAACGAGAAATATTAAAGAATACTCTCAATAGGATCTGATGTGCCATTGATTAAAATATTTCTACTAATTTACCAGGAAGGATTTACTTGTTCAGTGATCGGCTTTGTGTTGTTTGGCTAAGACATGGGGTCTTGGTTTTGGTACGTTTGTGAGCTGATACCTTTTGAGGAAAAAATAAGTCATGTGATTTGCACTGAATATGATTTGATCAATTGAACCTATAATTAGCCCGTAGTTTACAAGTTCTATGCTTCAATGGAAACATAGTCATTTTTATTATGTCACCACCAAAAGTGATGACATATTGTTATAGTCTCCAAGTTTTTCTGGATGGTATAAGTTGGTTGGCATCTGTAACAAATGGCAGGTGGTGACATTTTGCATGTTAATGCCTTGTTATTATTTTGTTCTTCATAGATTCATTGATATAGGTATCAGTTCACATATATATTTCTGTACATTTAATTGTTTGTTTCTACAGAGTCCCACTAGCTTAATGAGCATATAACGTAGACTTTTTGTAGCATACTGTGTGCTATTTTCAAATTTTGCCGTTGACTTGCATGTTAATATTTGCTTTTAGGGTATCCCACTACTTTTAATAATCATCATGTTATAGTACCAAATTGTGCATCCATTAACAGTCATTTAATTGAATTTTTTTTTGATTTATTGGCACATCTCTGACTGAAACAAGTTAAAATTGATTCTTGAGAAATATCCAATGTGCATTTTTATTGGGTCTATTAGAAAGAGAGGGGAGGGGCAGCTGATTTCACCAGTTGAGATTTTGTTATACAGTTAGCTCTACCTTGGTTTATGAGACATAATTTATATTATATCACAACTATATGACATGAATGTGGATGTGGGGGAATGTGGCCTTTTCAAGTAATGACTGTGACTGTTAAAGGATCAACTAAGACTACTAACTGCATTGTATTGTTTTGTATGGTTGAATGTTGCATATTTTGCTTGCTGTTTGTTTAGAAAAAAGCAACCTGGTTCCCGATTTGCCAAAACACGATCTTTCTTCAAGCGCAAAGATACAGAGAAAACTGGACAGGGTAAAGTAGATTCATATCAGGCTAAGGGTACACATAGTGACTGATATACAATGGTGTCCTACTCATAGTAATTCTATGTTCATGTCTCGTTCTCACTCTCGCCTTTAAATGAAGACAATCGCCTTTACCATTGGAAACAATACCAGAACGTTTGTCAAATCTCCCTTGTGATCAGTTGTTCAAAGAAACTGTGAAGTTTTGTTTTAGTAGATCACACAATGTAAGAACAGCTGAGACCAAGTCATAGTCAGACATTACTTGTATCCTTAGACTCTAATGCCATTATTACAATTACAGTGAAACGTGTCTATACATACATATTTACATGTTTACCTGTATATTCCTAGGATATAGGATAAAACATAATTTGCATGTTTGAATTTGTATTATTTCTGTTCTTGGCTGAACCAAGGAAAATGTCTCATCACAGTTATGTGGGAAATGCAAATTAATGATACACATACAGCATTTTATACTTGGAATTTAGCCTTTATTGTCTGTGAGATTGATATGCATGCATGGGTGACTGTATCAGTTCAACCATTTTCTCAAATACTACAGTATATATGCATGAGTGCAGCCATTTGTACTCTGCATGCATGAGTGGGGCCTTGTGTTCTTTGCATGCATGAGTGGAGCCATGTGTTCTATGCATGAGTGGAGCCATGTGTACTCTGCATGCATGAGTGGAGCAATTTGTTCTATGCATGCTTGCCTGGAGCCATGTGTTTTAATTTTTTAGCTACATATTAGTAGTACTTTCTATGTAATACTTCAAGCTCCTAGCTGGATGCTAGTACAGCTGTATTGTATTTTACGATCTGAAATGAATATGAATCAATCTGATTGGCTGAAAAGAAAATTATATTGACAAATGAAAGAGAGGTTTTGACACAAGTTCTTTGGATAAGAACACCAAAACTTGTACCTTTATCAGGATGCAGTGGCCCTTGAGACTCTAGATAAATGGCATAATACAGGATTTAGTGCAAATTGAAGGAAATGGCATGTAATTTTTATCAAACAATTGGACGAGTTAAACAAATATTGCGATTAAGGACACTGGAATGAAACAGTTATTCTATTAATCATGCAATGACTATTTACTCCACCACTAAGCTAATTCAAGTACAAGATATAGTTTTATAAGAACTTTTAATGAAACCTCTCTATTGTTATACATAACCAGTCTTTGATTTATATCCTCAAATCTGTTTTTTTTATTTCTAATATATTAGTGTAGTTTAACATGCACAGCCTTAAAATCCATCAATCAAATGCCAGTTCGATGCAAAGCTTCACAGAATCGCTATGTTATAATAAACTTGTTTGATTTGCGCTTTGCAGCTGGACTGAATAAATCACATTGATGTTCAGTTGGCTGATTTTACTTTCATGACAATGTATCAACAATTTTAGACATCCCATTTCTCCGGATCGATCCTCCTAGTAATACAACTACAGCTGTGACTGCCACCACGAATCTCAACACTGAAGTTACGGCTGAATCTCCTTCGGAGGTTATATATGAGAATATCAACCAAGACAATGTTAGTCATGCCATTCCTACTGCTGAACTATGGGACCATGTCACGATGATGAAAAAGCAGAAAGATGATGGCTTTAAGCAAGAATATGATGTAAGTTTCCATTTGAAAGGATCTGTCTAGATTAAAGGTGCAACAATAAGTGAAGGGGGGGGGGCATTCAACGATCAGCAACCAGTGTCAAAATATATTTAAGTTTGGATATTTCATCAAGACTAACATATATTTTTATTACCTACAAAGAAACCCCTGGATGAACATTATTTCAGCTGATATTCTTCTTGAAACATAGTTGATCTTAAAAATCTTTAAGTGGGACTCCCTTTATAAAAGCTTTGAATTGGATTTATACTTCTTAATGCTGAAATTGATAGTTTATCCATACATTTTAAGAAAATAGGTATGTCAAAGAAGATGTTAAGCCAAATATTGACCTGATAGCTCAGAAAAATAAAAAATTTCTAATTTTCTCTCTACAGTCCTTGTCGCCCCTTTAATAAGGGAGTGATTGAAATTTGAGATACAGTTTATACAATAGGTTTATAGTTCACTCATATTAAATTGTACAAGGTATGAGTAAAGATATAGAATTCTAAGTTAAGTATATGAAGTGTAGTAATGTCTCCATATATGTATTTTAATTTGCAGAAAATTCCTATGGGATTCACTGCAGCACATGAAGTAGCATCTAAACCTGAGAATAAAGTAAAAAATCGTTTTCTCAATATTGTTGCATGTAAGTATTTGCTTATCATATCAAGCTTTTAGTAGAAAGTATCATAAATACACTTAGTTCTCAATATACATTCTGATACACTTTGAATAGAATTCACTTCTCCACTCAAGAATATATTTTTATAAAATGGACTCTTTATCCATTTGTGAATTATAAATGCAAGACTATATATAAATGATTATGCTATGTACAGCTATATACTAGTATTTAATTTTTCTTAACTGAGTGATATGCGTATGTTTACTTGTAGATGACCACAGTCGTGTACTGTTAGATGTCCTACCAGGCAGTCCGCATTCAGACTATATAAACGCCTGTTATATAGATGTAAGTACTTTGTTTGTCATACAAACTGCTGAATATAGATTTTTATGACACACTCGGTTGCTATATTGTGAATTGTTTGCTGGGTGGGCAGTCTGCTGGGTGGGCGGTCAGGCGTCCCGATAAATTATTGTTCTGATGGATTGATCGAGAATAACTAGTCAAATATGTATTCTTATTCTTGATCTCAGTATGTTTCAAGTTTCCTAAGAAAATGTATTACACCATTTATTATTAATTATATGTATAATCCTTAGAGACAATGATTTATATTTATCAATTTAAAATGAACTTTTTCGAGACTCATTAATGATGTGACCTTCCTTGTTTTCAGGGGTATAAAAAACCAAAGTGTTACATAGCTGCCCAAGGTAGAGTATTACTCATTTACTTATTTTAAATTAATCATTCAAACTGATTGCATTCTGATGTAATACATTCAGAATTTGATACTTATGATGAATGAGCTTTTATAAAGTTATGTAAAATTAGACCTAGTAATATAATAGATCCTGAGTTATGTGAGAAAAATATCTCTATCATGGCCATAAGACTTGATCTGTAGGCGTTATTCATTCAATATTGTTTCCATGGGGGGAAGAGGTATGACCTCTTTATATTAAACCTTCCAATGATTACTATTCAAGTATACATTGTTTACAAACAAGCAATAATACCCTGATGAGACCATACACATTTAGCCTATGATTCTCTCTCTGTTTGTCTGTGATGAATATGACATTATTTCTCTAAAATATTTTCATTTCAGGGCCAAGTTTGGCAACAATAAAAGACTTCTGGAGAATGCTGTGGGAGAAGGAAGCAAATCAGATTGTCATGGTAACCAATTTAACAGAAAATGCTAAGGTATGTAGAGCACATTGTATTGGTTTTCATTTTCAAATATTGAAACTGTTAGAATTTGCTATAAACGATGCATATTTGATGGGAATACAATAAGTTTGCAGACAGCATACAGCTTTGTGTTGTTTTTTCAGTTATGGAATACAAGATTAATACATTTGAGATTTATTGCATATGAATAAACATTCGTTAAAATATTATTTTATTAGAAAAAGTGTGAGCAGTATTGGCCAGAGGAAGGAAGTAAAATGTATGGTAGTATCAATGTAACATGCCTGGGTAGTGCTAGGCTCACTGACTTCAGTATTAGGACATTCCAAGTCACTAAAGATGTAAGTCATTAACTCATTAGTCCATTTTTTGTTTTTTGTACATGTAATTAATGGAAATCTATACAAAATCATTGCATGTATGCACCTATAATGTTGTCATTTTTATGTTGTCTCAAAATTCTAACAACATTTTTACTAAAAAATACTAGAAAAGATTGAATTGAAAAAATGAGTCAATTTGTAGGATAAGTGGTCATAGGAAATAATATATCTCTCCCATTTATTTTTAACATGTTTTAATGTCTTGTTGACCCAACCTTGTAAGTTCATATTTCACTTATTGCAGGACCAGACAAGGATTGTTCAACAGTTTCACTTTACATCATGGCCTGACCACAGAGCACCAGGCCAGACCACTCAGCTTCTAGCTTTCAGGAGGCGTGTACGTCAACATGAATCCACAAGGACAGGTCCTCTTATCATACATTGCAGGTAAAACTTTATTGTTTTATTTAACACATGTTTACCTCAGGTAATATCATTGAAGTCCTTCAATTTTTTGATCTGTCTTCATTAGAATGATCTCATCAAGTTCAGTCAAGTGAGCGATATTGTCCAGAAATAAAAGTCTGGCAAAACTATATGATTATTCAGGATGTGCTTATAACCTCCAGCATTTACTCCCTCCAAATAATAAAATATTTTTTATTGGCACTCTTGTTATTTAAGTCCTTCATTGGTACAGTCTAGGTACCTCTATATTTCAATATATCATTCTTTTATGTCTCAAATATTATCTTCCAGTGCTGGTGTAGGCAGATCTGGCACCTTTATTGCTATAGATCAGTTACTGGAGCAAGCTAAAACAGAGGAACAAGTTGACATTTTCAACACTGTTCAGTTATTGAGGACCCAACGAGTCAACATGGTGCAAACATTGGTAAATTTTATTATTTTGTTGATTTTTATCACACGACTAGTAGAATATTGTAGTCTTTTTTATCCCATTGGTTGCTCACGCTGGAGTTCCTCTTATTGTTTAATAAAAAAACATTTTTCTAATATAAGGACTGCCGTCAAATTTATATTTTGTAGTTATCTTTATCCCATTGGTTGCTCACGCTGGAGTTCCTCTTATTTTAATCAAAAAACATTTTTTTAAGGACTCCCGTCAAATATATATTTTGTAGTTATCTTTATCCCATTGGTTGCTCACGCTGGAGTTCCTCTTATTTTAATCAAAAAACATTTTTTTAAGGACTCCCGTCAAATATATATTTCGTAGTTATCTTTATCCCATTGGTTGCTCACGCTGGAGTTCCTCTTATTTTAATCAAAAAACATTTTTTTAAGGACTCCCGTCAAATATATATTTCGTAGTTATCTTTATCCCATTGGTTGCTCACGCTGGAGTTCCTCTTATTTTAATCAAAAAACATTTTTTTAAAGTCCCCGTCTAAAGTTTGAAAATATTTTTTTATCATTCATTTACTATTTGTCAGGACTTAAAAAGTGATTTTAGAGCTTTTTGAACAAAAAAATTTTTTGAAAAAAAAGTTGTGAGCATTTCATTTCTCAAATATTCAAATTTCCCGCCATTTTTCAAAAAAAGTTTAAATTTCTTAATCATTAAATATTTCTTAATGCATTTCAAAAAAGATTATCTTTTTAACACCAATGCAAAGATTGAACAAAGGACACATTATTTCAATAATAAAATGCCATATTTAATGGGCCACTTCAATGTTTTAGCATATCAAAAATATTTTGAAACATTAGTGATGTCACTAAGGTACCAAAAACTTTTTGAAAAAAATTGAAATTTTTTTTTCGATGTCAATCTTTTCTAAATATGTTAGACTTTCATAAAAAACCAATGTTGATTGTCTAACCAGGTTAAAAGGAAGAATAAAATATGTTTTAGATATCATTGTACCATTGGTTTCTATGAGAACTAAAATTTTGAAATGCATTTTTCTCAGAACCATTTTCATGCACTGATAAGTTCATTTCTCGCTTATTTATGAACCGATTTTCTTAATTTTTTCGGCAAAAACATGGGAGGATGAATGCTATGCATTGGTATGAATTGTGGCTAATTAGAAGATATGAGTGACCTCTTAAAGTTGGTTTTAAATAAATTCACAAATTTTGGAACAAAAAGTCTATCAAAAACCACTTTTTGAAATTTAAAAAAAAAGTTTCACATAACACACTTTGATAACATTGGGTAAGACTACAATATAAGCCAAAGTGGTTTAAACTTTATACGGGGCCTTTAAGGACTCCCGTCAAATATATATTTCGTAGTTATCTTTATCCCATTGGTTGCTCACGCTGGAGTTCCTCTTATTTTAATCAAAAAACATTTTTTTAAGGACTCCCGTCAAATATATATTTCGTAGTTATCTTTATCCAATTGGTTGCTCACAGTTTTACTCTTATTGTTTAATCAAAAAACATTTTTTCTAAGGACTCCCCTCAAATACATATTTCAGAGTTATCTTTATCCAAATGGACTCCATTGAAATACATATTTGAGGAGAGAAGGCTCATACAAAAGTCTATTGATTGTGCAAGTAAGATGTCATATAAATCTATTAAATATGAATTCTTGTGTTTTAGGATCAGTATATATTTGTCTATGATGCCATATTGGAAGCTGTACTATGTGGAGATACTGTTCTCCCATGCCCAGACTTCCGTCAGAAATACAACACCATGTTGGAGATTGCCCCTGATAAAGATAAATCTATTCTCCAGGAGCAATTTGAGGTGAGAAGTATGAGTAAATGCAGCTATTCAAGGGTCGATTACTACTCTCTGTCCTGTATTTCCCCCAGTCCCAGCCCAGCTCAGACCCCCCCCCCTTCCACCCCTCTTCAACTTTTTCCCCGCTAGGCTAGAGTGCTTATAATGCCAAAATGGTGATTAGCACTTGAATATGCTCTCTTGTATTTACTATATTACCCCATGTACATTTATTTTATATAACTAAATAAATAAAAAAGAATTACTACTCTCTTTGGAAATGTTTGCATACCAATAATCTTGTATAGAGCCTTTCTTCTTATTAATAAGAAAATTTAATTGTTAATGTATCGTAGACATGTTTGTAATTTTATATCCTAGAACAAATATCTGAATATTAATACTAAAACTTTTTCTTTTCAGCTTCTTGAAAAATTATGTGAGGATTCTGAGCCACCGGAATCATCATCTGGATTCTTGCCAGACAACATGGATAAAAATCGGTCAAATGAAATAATCCCGAGTGATCGATATCGTCCTTATATATCTACTGTAGATGGCGGTACTGATTACATAAATGCAGTATATGTTTACGTATGTATCACATTTTCACGTTCAAAGAAACAAGCCTCAAAATGGATTTTTAATATCAACTCACTTGGTATCTTAAAAGTACTTTATAGTAATTCTTTAAATATTGACAGAAAAACTAATTTAAAATCTAGATCAGGGTCATTATCTGTATCACCTCCATTTGTTTATTGACTGGTATTGTTGTTGTTGTATGCTGCTAGGGTTACCGGACAAAAGATGCTTACATTTTAACTCAAATGCCATTGGATGAGACTGCAGGAGACTTCTGGCGCATGATGTATGATCACCATAGCAGCATTATCGTAATGGTGAACATGCTCGACAAGAATGATATGGTATGTGTAATTTTTAGAAGGAACTTTAATCAACTGTAACTTTGTAGATGTACTGTAGGATAATAATTCAAAGTGATACACCTCAGAAAGTAAATGATAAGGTTTAGCCAATAATATACCAGTTAATTTAATTGACAAAAAATCTTATCCTTTCCACGGGGGTCCAACTTTATGATTCAAAAAGTCAAAAAAGATTTTAAACCAGAGTATTTATCTTTTTTGCTAATTTTTTACTTAAATACTATATATACAATTTGCATTATTCTGTTTGATGGCTGTTAGAGACATTTTTGGGGAAAATTCTCCTAAGTATACATATCTATTGCTTATTTGTGATAATTGCTTGAAAATATATAAGTATGTGTGTTATTTTTTGTAATTTATTATCTCAGACTTGTAACGCCTACTGGCCTGAAGAGGTTGGAGCCAGCCAAATTTTTGGTGCATTCACAGTTCAACTAACATCCATTGACCAATCACAGCCAAATATTACAGAACGGCACTTCCAGCTGACGCACAACAATGGGGTTAGTCAACAAATCTTACTGTCTTCATAGAAGCACATTAAAAACAAAAGATGGGGTGAACTAAAAATTTCAAATGGACAGATTGAAATGCATGAAGATTTAGTATACCATATAGGGTGGATTTTTATGTAATATTCTAATTTGGATTCTTTGTGCACATGGAGCCACTGTAGTATGTTTTTTTACAGTTAGCTTTATACAAGTGATGTATTCTTACATGCACTTAGGGTTTTTTAATCTTTCATCAGAAATGAACAGGTAATGAGAAGTCCACAAACCTCATGTAACTTTTCTTTTACAGTCTACTGTTTCCTCAGAAATAGTGCAGTTCCAGCTTACATGTTGGCAAAAGGAAGACGATTTGCCCTCATCCAAGAGCAGTGTTGTTGCAGTTATGAATCTTGTTGAAAGATGGCACCAGAAAACTAGTAATACTGGACCAATCACAATCCATTGCATGTAAGTTGTTAGCGCTTCTTATCATGTTACATATGAAAAATTGTGTTTGTGAATATTTTTCTGTAAAACTTTGGAGCCTGATTGGATGTTTATTATTATTATTTATTTTATATTTGTGTATTTTGTTTTATATTCTCTGGATGGACTGCCTTGCATGTTTCTCCGGCATCCGGCGTCTGTAACAAATTCTAAAAACTTCCAATAACTTAACAAATACTGTTTAAACTGACTTCAAATTTTTCAAAATCATCTACAAGTTCTCAGAAGTTCAAATCTGACTTTAGATTTGAGCTTCAATGACCTTCTCAAGGTCAATAAAAGGTTGAAGGGTCTTTTTTCAACTTGTTTCAAATTGACCAATTTATTTTTTCAAAATCATCTTCACGATCTCAGAATTTCAAATCTGACTTTAGATTTGAAATTTGACCTTCAATGACCTTCTCAAGGTAAAAAAGGTCTTTTTTCAACTTGCTTCAATTTCTTTTTAAAAATCATCTACAAGATCTCAAAAATTCAAATTTGATTTTTAGATTTAAGACTTGACCCTAACTGACCTTCTCAAGGTAAAAACGTCAAAAAGGTATTATGTAGAAGTTCTCAGCAGTTCAAATCTGACTAGGATTGAACTCATAATATTATGAGCAACTAGGTGGTGACATTTTGTCATGTTAATGCCTTGTTTTTGTTTTGTTAGGGATGGAGCTACAAGGAGTGGCCTATACTGTGCAGTGGACTACATATGTGAACAACTACGTGTAGAACAAGAGGTGGACATATTCCAGGCTGTCAGACATCTTAGAACACATAGGCCACAGGTGATCTCTGATATGGTATGTATGAACACATAAATGCTTATGTTTGAATGATAAGAAATATTATTGAAAATGTAAATTTCATGTATTGTGTAAAAGATTGACGAATAATAAACTAAGTTGAATAGAACAAATAGATATAAATGGATCATTTGTAGAGGAAAGTTCTGAAAACACTCACATTCCAATCTTCTTTATTGCAATTCAAATATATTAAATCATTGAGTAAAGCAGTTACAAAATAGGAGACTATTATAATAATTGCCAAATAATGAACTCCAAACACATGTTTAAATACATGGTAACAACCAATTGGAGATTTTCGAAACAAAACAACCATGGACTTGACTCACATAGTACAACCATACAACACACCGGTATTAACACATTTATATTGTGCAGTAATTTGGAAAAGAAATTATCGGGGTAAAAATGTAAAATGATGATGGACATTTGACATAACTCTTTAAAATGTTTTTTTTTATTTCAGAATCAGTACAAGTTCTTGCATGAGATGGCGCTAGAGTATATGGATTCATTTGACACATACGCTAACTTTAAGTAATGTTAATCCCATTCACCTCGAACTGTAAATTGTAATTCATTTGAAATCTATACTGGCTTCAAGTGACAGACAGGATACTTTATGGTATAGCATTGTTTTATGATTTATTGAATGGTGCAACACTTAAAATATATGATGGTTGAACTGAACCAAATTTCATAATACACTCAAAGTACAAAAGCAATTTGTGTGTAAAAACTGGACAGTGTATAGTGTGTGTAACTACTAATTATTTGTTGAAAATAAGTAGTAGTAAAAGACAATATACTTTATAAAGAGATACGCATAATTATTGAGCATAGTGAACTGCAAACAAGTGCACTTGTATTTTAGTATTTATCATTTCTTCGTTACATTCATTAATGAAAAGGTCCCAAATATGTTTGGTCCCATATTTCATCCAAACAAATATACATGTAGATATACAAGTATATACATGTATCGTGTTATGACATTTTATTTTTATTTTGAACACTTGATTTAATTCTGAAATGTTATATACATGTATGTGTGAATCTGTGTTGAGAGGGTTGTTTTTCGAATTGCATGTGTCGCTTTTGCTTTCTTAGCATGATTGGAGTGTGTTCCTTATTACTCACAAGTATTGCAAGATTTATTATTGTTTACACAAAGCTTTCAATAGCTGCACCTTTTTATGTTGTTATGGATTTAGTGTGTTTTCTAAGTACGAAGGAATCAGCTATGTCTGATTAGGGAAATAAATCTGTGCAAATATTGTTTTAGTTCATGGACTATTTAATGTTATTTTCAGGAAATGACTGGGACAATGTTAGGGAAGGTTAGTTTGTGTGATATTATTATGAATTCTAGATACTTTTCACAATTCTGTGTAAATGGTAATACTCACACATCTTGATTGTCACAATTTACTGATGTTCTTAAACCTATTCAACGTCAAGAAGTTTAAAAAATGAAGTCCGTCAATCAAAGACAAATGCATCCGGATAATTGAGAAATTTTTGTAAGAAGTGTCAAAAGGTAGATAAAGAGCATAAAGAACCTTGGAGCTATCATACCCTCAGAATGATAGGAACTACAGTGTACAAGAATGTATTATAAACTATTGCAGTAGATAGATAATTATCATAAATGTAACTATCACAGAACTGATGGTTATTGGGCACATAAAAAGATGGCAGTGTAGTCAGTTGGCTATTGTCCCCTATTTGTTTGCCCAGTACTCATGACAAACCTAGTACCATTATTAATTGACATCATGTAGTAACAATTCTATGTCATAAAAATGACATCATTTGTAATTAATTTTCACTAGACTAGAAGTAGCTTTATTATGTGACTGAAAGTGCACCATGGGTGCCTATATTAAGGTATTTTGTGTCAAACACAAATTGTAGTTTTATATCTGTTTATGCTTACATAAGATTATAACAGTGGTTATAAAGCGGCTTATGTAAATGAATATCGAAATCTGTATATTGTGCTATATATGTATATGTTTTTGTCGCTTTACACTCATTTGTATAAGTATTCATTTTCACATTATTTGTATCCATGTTTACAATGGGGTGAAAACATTTTAACCCATATTACAATTTCAAAAATTGTATATGAGAATTGTATGTATATTTGCTGTAGAAATAAAACGGAAATAACAGGCTTTTAAAGGTGTGACTCCTGTGTTTTCATTTCTAATGTCGGAAAGCTAAACAGCCATGGACATGATGGAGACCAGGTCAATATTTCGATGTTGTCTCAAAACATAATTATATTTCAGATTAACTTACTCCTTCGTTGTATGTTATATTCTGAAGACGCTTCAAATAATATTATGTTAATTTCTGGCGAGTTCACCAATATCATAACTTGTTATCTAGTAACAAGATAGATCACAGAGCAGGGCTTTTTATCGGCCCCCTATAGAATGCTAAGGCAAAGTAAATTAGTTGGTCTGAGCATCATAAGATGTTGATGTTAGTTTGTGGGTAATCAACAATAATCTATATACTGGGTATCCTAAAAAGAATTGTACCCGAATGAAACAGGAATAACTCTTCTCCATCAAAACACATCAAATTAGTAACCAGTTAAAACTTCATTGAAAGACATGCCATAAACATGCAAATTGTCCCCAACTGCCATTTGTTATAGATGCCGGACACCAACTGGCACCTCAAAAATGTTGGAGACTATAACAATAGGTTACCACTTCTTATGGCGACATAAAAATGGGTGATGGTGCTCCAACAAGCTTCTCTTTAAAACAAGTTACTTAGTGAAACTATCAAATGTTTATGATAAATAAATTCCCAGTAAGAGGACTAATTTTAAGAACATTCCTTCATCACTGAGTTATTCCATACGTCTCTGTCCTATTTTGGGACATCCTGCACTGCACTTTAAACATTTATACTGTCTACTTTACATCCTCTAAATAAATGGTATTCAGGCGAGATAAAGTGAAGCCTAATATGTATCAGTTGGCCAAGACATCCAGGTCTATATTATACTCAGATATCAGTTGAGGTACAGATTTTTGCTCAAGCTAAACTCCCTATCCAGAACCCCAGTATATTAACAGTCTGACACCTGTATATGCTGTCTTGAGGGATCTTAACAATTGAGCTCATAACACAAAAAAGAAACCAATTTTTTCAATAACATTGTTTATTCATGTTGCATTACAGTATAATGTAGTGCTACAGCATGACATTCACAAAATCAATTTCCTACTACAATTGTAAATAAAGTTAACTTTTTCACATGACATTGAACTCTAATTACACTCCAAAAGTTATGTGCTATATGTTCTACATTGAAATTCAATCAAAATTCCAGACTAAGCAATGTGATAAATTTGAAATGTAAACATGAATCTCTTCCATGGTGAATGATAATCATATTGTCTTATTCCATTAGAATGATGAAAGCGATATGGTCCATTTGAAGGCTTTTATTGGTTCGAAATCATAAGTTGTGTAGGTTGTTCTCTAATCATGGCAAAATCATCAACTGCTTTCCTTCAATCGTATATACAAAGTCTGATGTAAAATGCTATATTTAAATATTTCCTAAAAGTGTTTGTGTTACTTTACATGCTTGAATAATTCTTTCCCTACCTGAAAATAGAAAACAGAAACACATTTAGTCAAAAATACATACTAGTAATACAGTAAAGCTTGTCTAGCGAACACCCCTTCTCAGTACATACTCCCCCGAGTTCTGTATTAAACTACCTCTGCAGTGAACCCCTACCTACAGTGAACAAATTTTGTGGCTCCATAGGTATTCACTATAAACTAGTATATAAGTGATTCAAAATATATGTATGGGCAAGTCTTCAGGTAAAAACTGAATTCAAATATGTCATGTTAACTCTTCCTTTTTTAAAACAGATGAAATAGTTAGGCTATTTTCTTTATTAATATGAACTTTTTTTGATCATTTGTAAAGATAAAAGAAAAAGCCAATAACATATGACATTGGAAATTTAAGAAATAACCTGTTTTTAATTTAAGTGACTTAACCCCAAAACAAATAAAATCATTGTAATTTTTATCTTACACTACAACAAAACACACATTTTCAGGAATATCTATGACTGATGAGTGCATCTCATAGACTCTATAAATGGTGATTAATTTATTTTTAATAATTTAATTTTTAAATTATTAATGGTGCAATGAAGTCACAGACCATTCTGAATATTTTAATTTTGAAATGTTTTAAGGTCAGAGTCATCATGGGTTCAGCCAATCTTAGAATACAACAACAGTGTGGTATGCAACTATGTATATGCTATAGCTACTTACACAATGATCTACACAATGTACAAAGTCAAACACTTCCTGCATACAGTTCTCTTCTGTTTTACTGCGATTATTCACCCGATCATTGCAGACCTGCAACTCTGCTGCAAAGGCTTGGCATGCTGCAGTTTGTTGACATGTCTCTTTTAAAGTTTCTTGGGGGTCCTAGAAAAAACAAAAATATTTTAACTTTGGACTTTGCTACAGAGAAACTAGGCAAAGATATTTATTGCTTGTGCTCCTTAATTAACAAATTTCACCATGGATACTTTCATCTTAGTACTTGATTTTTTATCCGTATTACACAAATTATGTTTTAAATGAATGTTATGTGTCTATCATTACTTCTTTCACAAGACAACTGATTGAGCATCAAATATTTTGAAGTACCCCACACAATTTTTTGTCAAAAACTTTGGTGTAGCAGCATATAACCCATAATTTATGTATCCCTAAACAGTATGTTTGAATTATCATTCTTATTTCAAAATGTTAAAATACCATTAAAGAAGTAATATGGTGAATGTAAAGTTAAATTAAAGTGTGCGCATTATATCAAAGTATCCAACAAAAATGTTTATGGGTATTAAGGCAGTAAAATGCAACAAAACGATTCTCTTGTATCAAAGAGCAAAACTCACCTCTAATTCGTCATCATCGTCATCATCCTCTTCTGGCTGAAAGCACCAACAAAAAAAACATTATGTAAATTACTCTTCCACAGTTTTGCAGTTCATGAACAATAACGTAATCTGTAGTTATCTGAACTTGGGGTACTGTTCACTGAATTAATAAATTATTTAGGTTTGATAGACTTACTCACCGCCTCACAATAATACCATGCTTAAAAACCCTGATATACACTAAAACGAGTACAGCCTATTTAGAAACCAATGTGACAATTCATACCAAATCTACAGAATGACTTGCAGTTATTAACAATAACTGCTTTGATACTGGTCAAATGTGAGTTATTCGACTTAAGCAGGGAGTCAGTATGATGAATCTAATGTGTATTACGTAATATGAATATCAAAACAAGAGATAACACCAGAGCTAACTATCAACAGTAAAATTTTAAATGTTTGGAAGAAATTCATACAGTAAAAACAAGGAAATGATGCGATATTGTTAACCATGTATCTATTTACCAGTAAACGATAAAAAAATTCATTTCTAGATTTCCTGAATTGAACAAAGACGCGCACGTTGAGGTCTTTCAACTTTAGTTCGTTGTTTTTTACCACTTTATGTGTAGCGTTTTATTTTACTTAGGCCAAACAAAAATATATGTCTGTTTCCTGCTCCACGTATTTTCAGATTAGGGTAGGTAGGTAGGATGATTATTTTATTTTTCATAAAAATTTTACTCAATTTTTTTTAAGGTAGGTCAATCAGAAAAATATGTTATCTTCTGTTTTTTGTCATCTCCTGTTTTGTCATTTGCTGTTAACTACCATGAGACCTTAATTCATCATGCAGTCTACGATCATTTTGATCAATACTTACTTGAAATCTTCAGATATTGAACTAAATAAACAACTTGGTAGTTATAAGTTTATTTTGAAATCTGTTTTTTATATTTCTGGACTCTATTTTGAAGATCTGAAGCAATTGCTAGATCCCTCTGGGAGTTGAGTGTGGGTCTCTATTTTGAAGAGCAAAAATGACCAACTTTTTAAGAAAATAAACAATATTTCCTCTGTTTCATGCGTTTTGGGGGCCCTAGCGATAATATAACTGCAAATGTTCCAGAGTATGAGAAATATGGACACCTGGACCTGATGTGAGTAAAATATTTCAGAAGGAAATGTATTGTTTCAATCGAGTAGGGGCAGAGATAGAATATTTTAATTTACAGTATACTAAAAAATGTGTTAGGGTCGGGGGTTGAAATTAGGGTCGGTCAGGGTTCCGGAAACTGACATATATTTTTGTTTGGCCTTATTTCAATGCATCATTTCAGGTCTTTATGATTCATAAAATCAATGAGTCTCCTAGAGTAATATCTTGAATAAAGTAGATTTTAAATAGTCAGTAGTTTCAGTGGCCTTTCCCACAATATTTGACATCCTTATCTTGAAATTTTTGCTTGTGGATTCAGTAGCAGATGTCTGAAAGCCATTTTCTAATAAATTTATAACTTTCTTTGAATACATGGTTGAGCGACACGTCACAAGTCATGTGACAGTAATAACTAGACACGTGACTGGCATTATGGACGATCTAAATTTCAACAAGTTGTATCAGTATGTGGAGAATTTATCCAACTGTTTATCCAACTGGAGACGTTTGGGGTACACTCAATTTTTTTATTCCGGGAACCAGTTCATATGGTTAAATTTATGAAATGATGTGATGTAACAATGTATCTACTTACCAGTATGCTATCTATCGGACTATGTAAATTGTGAAACTCAGCTAAACAAGACACTGAAGGCAGTAATCTGAGGTTATTGAAATTGAACAAAGTAGCAAACGTTGCGATTGTTTCAACTTTAGTTCGTTGTTTTTCATCATTTTATGTGTACCGTTTCAATTTACACTATCGATATCTTGGAATATTTTCATTTATATTCAGTAGCAGATGTCCGAAAACCATTTTCTAATAAATTAATATCTTTCTTTAAAGACATGGTTGAGTGACACGTCAAAAGTCACATGATTTCAGGTTTTGACTAGACACGTGATCAGACATGTGACTGGCAAAATGGATGATCTAAATTTAAAAGAATTCGGCTAAGATCAATATTGATATGTTGTTGCCTTCATTGTCGTGTTTGGCGGAGTTCCACAATTCACAGAGTCCGATGGATAGCATAAACATACTGGTAAGAAGATTATTTGGTTACATCACATCATTTCGTTATTTTAATCATATGAACTGGTTCCCAGAATAAAAAATTAGAATTTAATGTTGACATAAGAGACGGGGTAACTTTGATACCTACTTATTAGAAGTAGAATTTCTGTTTTCTGCCCTGTTTGATTTCTTGAAAAACTAAAATCAAAGTCGATGTTACACCACATGTCGAAGTTGCCACAAAATGGTGTCGACATTACACCCCCCTGGGCTAGATGATTGGCTCATAAACATTCATATTATAATTTCCAGAAATGTTATTGAGGAATTATTCTCGTGCTATTGATAAACTAATACGATTTGACTAAATAAATACGTATCCATAACTTTAGACTAAACTTGGAGACTGGATGAGAGAACTTAGAAACAGAATTTTATTTATCAAGGTCGAAAATTCTCGTAAAAAAATTATCACCAAATCTGAAAAGTTCATTCAAGCTAGTTTTTCAAAAGAAGTTCATTCGGAAGTGTCACAAAATTTTGTCAGATTAAGGATTTTGACACTCTCTAGTTGTTGCCTTCGACAATATTTGAAATCATCAGCAACAGTATAAGTAAATTACCTCTGCTTCTGGTTCGTTGCGAATCGCGACTTCGTCTCCGAGTGCCATCTTGAAAGTACCCGGATGTACACTAGAGTAAAAGATAAATTAAGAACATTCCCGGGATAATTGCGTTTGATCATTGGCCCAGGTTAGTAATGTAGTAATCTATACATTTAAATCCAGGATTTAAATGATTGAATTACTACTTTAACATGTTTAACCTGGACCTATGCGTTATGATTATGAATTAAACCTTTCATCTGACCGGGGGTCTGGACCTGCCATACATACTGCTTTCAATTTTATTTGAGGGGCGGTTTTACCAAGGAGGTGGAGCTTTTTGAAAATTTTTGGGAAAAAAATCATGCGAAAATGCTAAGACGCCCCCAAGAATGGTGAAAACTGCACGATGTTGAAAGAATTTCTGACCAGTGGGAGTGGCCGCTCCCTCCACCTACCCCCCTGGCTACGAGCCTGTCCTGATAGCTCTTTATACTTCCAAAGTAAGTGATTGTGAAGGTCAATGGCGGTCGAGAAAATGGGGCAAAACGGCCCTAAAATTCAAATTTTAACTTGTTCTGTATGGGGTATTTTCTTATCTGTCTGCAATCAGCGCAAACTTTGATGTTCCACTTTATCAATAGGTTGTGGTTTACATTTTCCGAGTGCTTCATACTTGCCTAAGTGACTATGTTCTGGGATTTTCCAGTGGTCAAAAATAATCATAGACTGTGGAGCAAAGCGACCCAAGGGTGGGGCAAAATTGCCCATCCTCAGTGACATGGGTTTTAAAACCAAGATTAATCAATCACAAGACTCGTCCACACACATCTCATCTCAGACGAAACATTAGAAAGATAAAGTATTCTTAATCCCCGAAAGCCCATGATAATACTAGTAATTTAATATGGTGTCAGAAGGAAATAAGGTAAAAATCAAATGTTGAATGTTATATTTGAAAGTCTATTAAAATTTTGGTGTGTTATAACCTTTGTCGGGCCGTTTTGCCCCACTGCCCTGTGGATTTTTAAATATACATCATTTTGATTTCCCTAATATCTGAAGTTCGAAATTTTGCCAAATAAAGAATAAATATGCATATGATACACTATGAAAATGTTAATTCAAAACGATTCTCTATTGTTGCCGGATTTTTTAGAGATTTTTCGTTGGAGGGGTAATTTGCAAAAAAGAGAGTGAAAAGTAGAATTACCTCTTACAAAAGACAAGACGATGCTAAGTTAAAAGGGCGGTGGAGAAGGTGGCGGAAATTTCATAATTCGATGATGTGACTTTTGAAGAGCCATATTGTTATTGTTCAAAAGTATATTTCGATGGGTCATTTGCCCCACATTGCCATTTTGTCCCATTAAGACATGCTTGGGTAACTTAGTACCGGGTATAGGCCTATCGAAGTTCTGCTAAAATGAAGTGAACTGTGTTTGTCAATTAAAATTTTTTGCTGACAATATCCTAGACCATTTAACATTATTGATCACCAATATTTGTAGGGTAAAACGGCATCAGTGAAGGCAAGGCTCCAACTCCAAAACCACAGGCGACGGAACAGATAGTAGGCTAGAGCTTCAAAGGTAGACTGGTCGCAAGAGGTGATAAATATTGATGTCACCCAAAGATCAATATATGATCAATATAATGAGAAAAACATCACAAGCTGGACCTCGCAAAATGTTCTTTGTATAAGCCATTTCGCCATATTTTAAGTGATACTGTATATTGTTTTGCAATGTGTGAAAAGAATTTAAGCCCAAGACGCAATGGATTGTAGCTGATTAATTCCACCCAGGCCTTATTTCCTAAACTTAGCACTCGATGCTACGCATCTCGTGCGGAGTTTGAAATAACACAGTAAAGGATTGATCAGTCCATAATGCACTGAGTCCAGGGCTTAAATCCTGAAACAATGAACGAACAAAACAGCGAGATAAAGAAAGATTGAATACGTTTGTTAAAAAAAGCTTGTACAAAACATTAGCAAATTCATTCAATTGTGAGAAGTATATTAGTCCAGCTCAATGTACGTCTTACAATGTGAATTGTTATTAACATCGTACAACAGCCATGAAAATGGAGATACGTGTCTCATCTGCCTATAAATACTACAACAAATTGATAATTTAAGGAAAGGCGTTACGTTAGCAAAATGATTGGCTTCATAGTTCAGTTCCTAAATTTTAGGATTCTAAAGAGTTTTTGGCCTTTTCCGCTAGAAAGTCCTCATAACATATTTCAAAGTCATTCGCGAGGTCATCTACAACTTTTTGAATTGCAGACAGTCCTAGTCAACATGTGTATTTCTCATGCATTTCAATATGTTGATCAATCTTGGACTGTTCGAAATTCAGTGGAAATACGACACAGCAATGGGGACATTTTTCCTTTTTAATTCCAGCGCCCATGGGTTTCACTTGGGTAGTGATAACACGGGACGCCTGTCCTGGTTTTATGTACTTTGGGGAATGGCTGGTAGAGTTTCCTCTTCCAATGCAAGACTTATGCCCCGTGTATGTTCTAAAGAATGGTCGTCTATGGACTGCCTTAGGCTTGGCTCCCCCATTTCCAAAGATCGCCTGTGATACCCCTTTGGCAACAGCAGTTGATTTCTCCAATGCGCTGGTGGTAACGGCTTGCACAATGGACGCAGCAAGGGAGGCAGCAGTACTGTCAATACTCTTAACATTGTCATCAGCTTCGTCCTCGTCTTCGGGGATTTCAATGACGCACGATGCAGAAGTGACATTGTTGTTGTGTTGGTCACATGCGTCTGCCCAACACGTTACTGGTGGCTCAGGGACAAGTGGTCCTTCCTCTCCTTTCCGGAAGATATCAACAGCTGTTGGTACACGGAGGGCCACTGAACGAAACAATACATTTAGAATTGATACTGTCTGTGAAAATTTGCTGCAATCTAGACGTTTGTATGTCGCTAAGATGACAATTGGAACTACTGTACATATCTAGAACTACTGTACATACTGTGTATTTCTTTGCATGACATTTGTAAATCATATCTTAAATTAGAATTTATAAATCCAAATCAAACGATGAATTGATTGAATAAAGTACAAAGGATTAGTATCGATATGGTGAACTTTTTGAACACACGTTTCTCTTAAACCAGTCATCAAAAAATTCGTAGCATTTTACAAATCGTCAATTTAATGGTCATCATTTGAATGGTGACAATATAATTTGAAAAATATACTTTATATAGTTTATATTGTTTTAGAAAACACATCAGGCACTTCTTTTGTTCTTGGTATCATATGTTCGGAACCAAAATTTCCTTTGCATTTAACTATAATATTGAGACGTCTAATTGCAATTTTGTTCCAACAAGGTTCGGAAAAATATTTAATTCCCAAGAATTGGTAGAAAGGAACAAAAAACAATTGTACTAATTAAAAAACAAAAAATGTTAACAAAACAGTTATACTATATATAAATAATTTTCGCATCAAATTGTTGTCAATCAGTCAACATTACATAATGGACCGTGTTTTTAAAGAATGTTTTCAATAATTGGTTTAAGAGAAAACATTGTTTGATTCAGTTCACCATAGCGATACCTATCCTTTAAACAAAGATATAATTTGAGTGTAGTACCCTGCATATTGGCGAGTGGTTCACGTTGAACAGACACACCAGTTGCCTTAACAGCTTCACTCTGTGTCTGCTTATTTGACCTTTTCATCTCCCTCTGTAAGGAATAAACATGTTCATTAGTGTAATTATCCTGTCCTATTGTACTTCGTATGGGAAGAAATAAAAAATCCCGTCGGAGTGCATTCCGGGGGGGGGACGAATCGCCCAAGTAGATTTAAGAGTAATGCAGAAGGTTTACTTGTTTAATAAGAAGTTTAGAAGATTCCAGAGCATGTTGCAAACTTTGGATCCTTTCCGTCAACTGGTTCTCGCGCCTCAAATGTTGCCTTATCAAGTCTCCCTTTCGCTTCTTCTCTGCTATCAGTAACTTGGATAGGGCACTTTCCTTGTTTGATATTTCAGTCAGTTTGTTAGAAGCATTGTCCAATTCGGATTGAAGTTTTGTTCTGCTCAATGTCTCACTCTGTAAATTAATTAATTCTTATGGCGGCACGTTTTCTCATTTTTTATTACAGGTTTTTGGAAATTATGGTCCCAACCTAAAGACATTCACTTAAGGCCCCATACTGACCCCGATTGAGCACATACGTATGGGTAATTTTTTATCAATTAGGTCAGCATATATTAATGAGTGGGACTATAATTACCCTGGACTAACTAAGTTTTCACACCAAGTTCCATGTCTCGGTTGGTTATGAGGATGAGAAAGATATATGAATATGTATTTTTTTTTTTTTTTTTCATTTCTCATTTATTCCAAATATAACATAAAGTACATCACAATATTATTGCCTACTATGAATATGTATTGTAGATAATGAAATGATAATAGGTACACCATTTACTGTATCACAAATCCTGACCCACTATAGTACCATATATTATCTCGATATTCATGCATATGTGTTATGAAAACAACCACTCCCCTAGGAGTAATATATCTGTAAAATGATTTTCTACAACCTACTTGATGACATACCCTAATGTTAATTTGTATTTCTTTGACTTCCAACTCCTTCTCAGAGACAAGTTTATTGAGCTTCTTCCTATCATCTTTCAACTCAACAACGTTCTCCTCAAGCTCGCTGATTCGAGACATGAACCTTTCTGGATCACATAAAATGTGTTATCGTAGTGTGAAACTGTGTGGTATTTTATCATATAAGGACAAAAAGGTTACATGTATTACTGAAACATCGACACAAATGCGTTCAATGAATGGCTACGTTTTGCGCTATGTCGCCATCTTGAATTCATGAGTACAGTGAAGGCAGTAAAAAAGTAAGTCTGTCCAACCAAAGGATCATAACTTACAATATCCTCTAAAAATACATTAATTAACATTTTAGATGTAATATATTTGTATATTTCAAATAAATTAGTTAAACCAAAAGCAATCTAAAATTTAATAAAAACGTTTTACATCCAAATGATAATGTTCTTTTCCTACAACATTGCACTGTGGTTCTTTGATTGCTTATTTTTAAGTTTGATAGACTTACATTTTTACTGCCTCGCACTGTGTGCTATTTTGAACAACCTCAATTTTACTCTCCATAAGTAAACTATAACGAGGCTCATGCGAACTTGAGGGAAATGAGACCAAGTATGGATTAGCAAATGGAGCTCGATAGAAAGTGATTATTGTTGTTATAAATTATGAATAAATAACCTGTCTTCTTATTAACTGCAAGATTCCAGCCTTCCAGTTGAATTAGTGTTCCCTTACTGCCACAAAGTTCAACTGTTCTGCCTGAAACACATGTAAACTTTTCACATTTATTTAATGATCAATAGCAAATATTCCTTAAAACATAGTAATTTCAGAAACATGTCATGGTTTAGATATGTGAAGGAAGGGGTCTATTGTACATTTCAGTCGAATATTTTGACTTGGCCCGGAGTGTGGCAGGTAGATCTAAATATGCGGTAAAACTATACATTTTGGTGAGGGATGGAAGACTAAAACTTAATACAATACCATTCAAATGCTGTTAAATATGGTAAGACTAGGATGATTTGCTTCATCCTAGGGATAAGATAATCAAACTGCCAAAAGACAAACATAATTGAGCCAGGCCACAGGAAAAGGGGTCTTATCACAAATTTTTTCAATATTCTGATTTTTTGTTAATATTAAAAAGCACAAAGAGACATTTCAAATGAGCCATGGCTTATGTCTCAACAATTTTTCCTTGTATATATAGACCAAAATGTCTGATTTGAATTTAGCACATTTTCCTTTTAATCCTGAGCACATTTTTGGCTCTGTAGCACAATTCAAATTTTTGAGAAAAGACCGGTTTTCCTATGGCCAGGCTCAATTGACATAATCAATCAGAGACGATATCTCTGGATATGAATTACCTTCAGTGTCAATCAATCTCGTGAATCCCTTTTTGGAAAGAGTAAACATGATATCGTCCAAGTGTTTCTCTAGGCCTTCATAGGTCTCCTTGAGAGACGAGAATTTTTGCTCAAGCTGATACTGTAAAACACGAATAATCACAGTATGCAGAGTAGGTGAATATATAGAAAGTTGACAACTGGATCTCGTCTATCTAAAAAGCACATTACACGTAAACGCATTTAAATAAATTCAAAACTGTGTGAATGATATGAATATTTGCTTACATAAGAATCTTGAATGCTTTCTTTTTCCTCGAATGAGATTTTCAGTTTATGTTCCATCCACCCATTCTCATGCAGGAGCTTCAGATTCTCGTCCTGGAGGTGGCCAAGTTGTTGTTTCACCTTCACCAACTCAGTCAGGTATTTCCTGTTCTCCTGGCCCATGTAGTGTAGGTCTGATTTTCTGGTGTAAAGCCGATCGTTTGCCGCTGTCAGTTTGCCGTTTTCTGATACCAAGTTCTTCACTTGTTTGGACAGCTCATTGGCGAGTATGGTCTAAATGCAACGTTATGCTCGATTTGTTGTGTACTCTTGGTCCAAGGATACTTATTTTAATTTACATTTATGACTATGAGCTGGGATAGTGAATTATATTATAGTGATGCCCTATCTTGAAGGATGGGCTGTGGTCTTACTTGATGGATTCCAACGTTATATCATTTTCTGCGGAATTTGTAAGGTGAAATACTTATTATTTTGACTAATTGATTCACTTACCTTTATATTCAATGTATCATCTTGAGCTTGGACTTCAAGTTTTATTTTACTCAACTGTTTCTCAAGATCAGATGTTTTTTTGTTCAAAGCCTTCAGTTCAGAGACCCTTTTCCTGCATTCCTTGCAGATGCGCTTCTTTTTATGGTTCTTGGGTTTCCTTGGAGCTGGTGGTTTGGCGTTGATGATCATCTGTTTGTAAAACTGAGGCACTGATATGGGTCTAGCTGGCCCTTGGACTCTGTCATATAATTTGAAGAATTCTTGAAGACACTCACGTTGAGTCTGGAGTGCATTCATCTCGTTGGTGTTGCGACTATCATTCTTTGAAGAGAAGGTTTTTATGAAATCACATAGTATAACATTAAGAAATAAAGTGAACAACTGAAATGAAAATCCTTATTCATTGTGTGTCGTGTGTGGGAGCAGCATGTGTTTCATTTTTTTCAAAAGACCCTGCTCGGTTTACAGGGGCCCCTTTACATTCAGTAAATTAAATCATGTCATATGTCAATCATGTATTGTTCACATTATATTTGTGAAGATATGTTACCTCGTTTTCGCGGTCACTTACTTGGAGATTAGAATCATCTTTGTCTTTTCTAAAGTAGGTAGTTGCAACTGGCATCAACAGATCAGACTCCTAAAATGACAGAACTTATAAAACTCGACATGTGTCAATGTTATTGTGCAACCACGTGCCCATAGACAAAACCCAACATGTGTCAATGTTATTGTGCAACCACGTGCCCATAGACAAAACCCAACATGCACCAATATTATTGTGCAACCACGTGCCCATAGACAAAACCCAACATGCACTAATGTTATTGTGCAACCAGGTACCCATAGACAAAACCCAACATGTACCAATATTAATGTGCAACCACATGCCCATAGTCAAGTTACATCGTGCCCAATTGATGGTGTACACCTACGTTGCAATACCAGATCTCTAAATCTTAATTGCTAAGCAAAATCATTTACTTCATATCCAGGATAGGAACGAATCTGAACACGAACAAGTGAGGCACATTTCAAATAATAAAAAATATATAGGCCTAGGGGTTTGTTTTTAGCCCTTTTTTAAATGATTTTGACCAAAATTAAAAAGTAAGGGCCTTAAAGGCACAGTAATGCCCAAAGGGGCCTTAAAATTGCCTGGACATGTTAAATTGCAAATAATCTCACCTGTGTGTCATATTTGTCTTGTTTAGTAATAGAATATAGAGGTTTGTACTCGACAATTGATCTATCCGTGTAGGGAACGACTGCTCGATTATCGTTCTTACTATAATAGTCCTTTACAACGGGGCCTACAGGTAATATAGAGCACTCCATCTTGGCGATCTTAAGAGACTTCAATCCGAAATCTTCTATGTCATTCATTGTGCTTGCATCTCTCGTACGCTTAAGACCTTCTTCGGGTTTATTATGTTCGTTGAAAAGATCACCGAATAGAGTTTCCGAATCGCTTGATTTTGAAGAAGGGGCAATATCATCGTTTGGTTCTGGGTCATCAAATAAGTTCCCGAAAATGGTACCACTACTTTCTTTCTTAACGGGTACATAATCGTCAAAGTCGATGTTTGGGAAATCAGATTTGGAGAGGATGGTTGCGCTGCTGTTGCAGTTGCTAGGGAAGAATTTGTCCACTGAGAGAAATTCACTGCTATGGCTTCCACTTGAAATACCAGTGTCAGAAAGACTTGAACCAATTACTTCAAATTGATCTATGTTACCTGTAATGTACATGTAGTAGTTTTATTTCATTTTAAAATTGATATAACACTCCAAAGACAATGACATAACATTCTTAAAGGCGCAAAGAGAAGTTTACCTTATATTGTAGTATAACTTAATGTTAATATTAACAATTAACATTGTTTACAATAACATGTGGCCACTATGTTTTCATAATTTTTTGATAGATGGCACACGAAACCCTGTGAATTGAATTGTACATGAAACTTGTTTTTATTTCAAAAGCTCTAACTGTCAGACGACAAACTGTCAGATTTAGAATTCCCCATGTAAGAACAAAATTATTAAAGTAAAATCGATATTATTTTGATAAATGCACTACACTGTTTAGCAACATAAACATACAAATAAAACAAAAAGTTGTTATATTGTTAGACGAAAGATGATGTGAGTAAATACTGCTATTTTAAAAAGTCTCTCAGTTTAAACTAGTAATCTGCCACATGTTCGAAATTTTCATCATTGGATCCAAATGAATACATTGAATAATTTTAGTTGTTTTCACTTACATTTTTGTTTTGAAGGTGGGTAATCATTTAATATAAGCTTTGTGCAGTCTTCGAAGTCGTCGTATGTGAAGAGGGCAGAATCATCAGGATAGCAGTGATGGATCTTAAACTGAGGACTGACACCGACAACGATGTTTCCTTTAGCCACATAGAGGAACTGGTACTTGGTGAAATCATTGTACTCTACCTTCAAATTTGTTAATACAGGTTTATTTGGCGATTGGTTGTTTTTATCTAATTTGTTTGTTTGTTTGTTTGTTTGTTTGTTTGTTTGTTCGTTTGTTTGAAACAATTTAAAGTAATTAAATTAAATCGACACGTCATACACATCCTTTTGTTCTTATATGTACAAACGTCAAAATATTGGCACGACAAAAGATGCTGTGAGCAAATATTGTTATTATCGTTCTCCTTAAATACGTTCCCTTGTTTAAAAACATTTGTGATTTATGCTACGCAAAAATGAGATAAAGAGTGGGCTATAGAAATTCTCTAAATCTGCACAGAGTTCTTTCAGACATACCTGAATATTTTTGGCTTGAAATAAAACACTTCTTATATCTTTGAAGTTTTCATTTCTCGGTACTTTCGGAGCCCATTCAAAGGTAACATAATCCCTAGTGGTGGTCCAGTTAGATGGAAAGAGACCAACCCAATCCCTGGAGCTAGCGGTGTAAGAGTGACCAAGAGAATAGATTACGAATATATCTTGGTCTGGCTCATAGTGTTCTAGAATGTCTTCGAACATCACAAGGTCTTTACTTGGACTGATAGCCTCCAGCTCAAAGTCGGATAGGGATTTCGTCGCCATGTTGGTAGCACGACTGGGTCAGGTCTCTGGGACTGGTCGGGGATCGAAGGGGTTCAAACGTGCTAGGCTAAATAAATTAATATAGACATTTTTAAACTTCTCGACGAGTCAACATTTGAACATCTTTAATTGATAATTTGCTTCACATTTAAAAAAGAATGAATCTATACAACAATTAGATAGTCGCCTCCTATAGTAACAAAAACTTACTTTAGATGTACCAGACCTCTTTTTCTGGTTGTGTTCCTCGAGAGAAAATTAAGTTCAGAGATCCAAAATGTTTGTTAACAAATGACGTCACGTATCCGAATGTCAAGGAGACCACATCGTGTCAAAAATGACGTCATTGAAAAGTAAACAACTTCACATGGATTTGTGAAATTGGAGTTTTGAGTGATTTAGCGCAAGAGCATGCTTCGGCAAAGAGATATTTAATGCTCGACAGTTACCCGCAATTCCCGAAAAGAAAATATTGATACATATAATAAGTAATTCAAGATTCAGTTCAGAGTCTTCCAGATACATTTTTTCTTTTGATATAATTAGATAACAATTTAAATAATAATTAAACACGGAATTAAATAATAATTTATAATTTAATAATATCAAAAATATATTGCATATTTACAATACTGTTCAATCTAAAAATACCATATGACATATACAATAAATTAATAAAAACATTATTAGGTCTATACAGTGTACACTGCCTTTTCAATGAAAATGCGCTATACCGCCATATTAGATTTTGAGTGCTAGTAAATGAAAGAAATAGTTTTTAACAAAGGCAGGGGTGTTCCAATTACAGTTAATAATATTCCCGCCAAATCTCCAAAGTATCAACAATGTCCTTAGATGTAGGTCTTTCCTCTGGTTTAGCCACCCAACATTCCTGGTAAAGTCCTTGGTAAAGCGATTGCACTGGACTAGCAGAATGATCAATCACTGGAGGTTTTGGCCTCACATTTAAAGACACGACACCAAAAATCACAACGTGTTGGTTCTGTCCACTGTATGGAGTATCCCTCGAGTTGATCTGCCATAATGTTATTCCATAGCCGTATACATCCGCTTTAAATGTGGGGGCCTCTCCTTTAAGTAGCTCGGGGGCCCTATATGCGAAAGTGCCAGTTAGGTAGGACCTTTTTGTAGGACTCACTATACCAGTATCAATCTCGACCTTCTGACAACATCCGAAATCACAAAGCTTGCATATTCCTTTTGGAGTTACTATGATATTGGCGGGTTTGATATCAAGATGTACTATATGGTTTTCATGTGTAAACTCCATCGCTTTAGCAAGGTCCAGCGAGTAGGCAAGCATTGCCTTTTCACTAATATGTTCATCCGGATTATTAATGATCTGTTGAAGATTACGATCTCCAGCGAATTCCATTACGATGAATGTATCCGTGGAACTTGCAGATAACGTCTGTACAACATTGGGATGCTTCAGATTGATAGTATGCAATTCGGCTTTAAAGCTCTCGTCCCGAGCCTTTGGGTTCTTCGTAACCGCGTGAAGTCGTTTAACAGCAACACGTGTTCCTTTTATAAATCCTTCATAGACTGATCCAAATCCACCAGAGCCCAAACATTTCTTGATTTCTATGTCACTAAATTGGAGAACATTTATTACACGTTCTATCTGAGGAAGCTTGACTGCCGGTGAATAAATACTAAGTTTCCTAGGCCTACGATTTTCATTTTTGGTCGGAGTATTGAATACATTTTTGTCTTTGATAGTCCGGTGGATGATATTTTTGACAACTTTCGGGGTTCGATCATGTCTACAAATGACAGACATTATTGCTGGTACGTTCCTGTTTATGACCGCATTTGGTCTGTCAGATCATTTTGATTTCGTGTGTTCAACTGTCCATTGTCATAATTTATTACATATATCCAAATCCATACATATGGAATGATTGCCCATATGACTACTTTTAACTGAAGCTCCCTTTTCTTGTTCGACGTTTCTAGATTCAAGATTTCATTGGATTCTCACTCTCCTTATATTCAAATGGTTCATGCAAACTACTATATTACACAATACAAAGTACAAGTTCAAGAAATGCTTTAGATTTGGCGACCTTTCCATTCCGGTTAATATTGCCCTGTACTGTTTTCTTGGAGCTTTGCGTAATACTACACTTTGAGACACAGGTGAATGGGTGACCGACCCAGATAGGAAAAAACAAGGTAATTAGTTTTCAATATTCGCACTCACCAAATAGACTACTATTCAGCATATAGTGTCGCCATTTATTGGCATTTATTATTTATTAATATGATTAACCAAATTAAACTAGAAAACGGCAACTCCACGGAGTAGCAACAAACACTATAACATACCGTATATGAATTTGTATGTGTCACAAAAAATATAAATATTGGAAACATTAGAGATATATCAGATTTCTATCAATTTTAAAAGCATATGGGTGACCATTTCAAGGCACAAATAATAAAGACAATTTAAATTTTCCGAGGCGCAAATCAGGAAAACAATACCAAAATAGTGATCTGCCCTTTTCGTTCAAATTGAGAATAATATAGCAATTACTTTGAAGAGATCAGAAAATTATTGCGAAATTACACATTTTGATTTTTACGAGGCCCAAATTACAAAACCAAAGAAATATTTGCAATCTACTCTAAATTGCCTTTCAATTGAGTATAATAAAGCTATACTTCAGAAAGATCTCAAAATTAACGCACATTCCTGTTGACAGCCATTTTAAATTTTCTGAGGCACAAATCAGAAAGACAATACCATACAATCCCACTCACAGTGTTATAGTTATGATCTACATTATACTTCCTTCAATTTGAGTATATAGCCATACTTTAAAGGGATCAGAAAATTACTTCGAAAGGCGGCCATTTTGAATTTTAAGAGGCCAAAATTACAAAACCGATACAATATTTGTAATCTACTCAAAATTGCCTTTCATTTGAGTATAATTAAGCTATACTTTAGAAAGATCTGAAAATTAACGCAAATTCCCATTTCCCGACTACCCTCCCCCCCCCCCATACACGGCCCCTGGGTGTCATGGTAAAAAAAACTCGGAATATATGAAATAGATGGATGTTGTGAATATACCACCTAATTTCAAACATATTTGGTTTAAGATGAAAAACTTAAAACGAAAAATTCCCGCCATGTTAAAAGCGGCGGCCATCTTGGATTTTTTTGTTGTGTACAACTATTCACCAATATACATCTTTCTTCCAAATATGAAGAAAATCCGTCTACTAGTATTCGAGTTATCTTCCGGACGGACGGACTGACGGACAGACGGACCGACGGACTGACGGACGGATGGATGGCTTCACTATATCCCTACCGAACTTCGTCCTTTGGGATAATTAACTTATAAGGTGCGTTCAATTAGTGCAGAGTTTAGTTTAGTCCATTCAACGGCCATGGACCAGTGCCAAAATATATCTAAGTTTGGATATCATCAAGATTTACATCTAGTATTTTTATTTATTTCATGGTGGATCTAAAATCTAAAAGTGAATTTCCCCTTTTTGAAGCTTTGAACTGAATTTACACTTCTTATGCTGAAGTTGATAGTTTATTCATACATTTTTTGTGGGAGGATATCTTGAATCTCAACGGTAGGTGACCATGTACACCTCCGTACAAAAAATTATCCCTGGGGTCAACAAAAGCTCTCTCAGTCCCAAAGTCTTTAGAGACAGTTAACCATGACCATGGGGAATGTTAGCCTACATTAGGAACTTGCATGATTTAGGCTAAGCTACATATCAGAACAACTGGACAATTATCTCTTTACGTTCTTGTAGTATCGATTGAAACTCATAAACTGAGAACTACATTTTGTAAGTCATCTTCAAGTTATCGCAGGGTTATCTGGATTTGAATTTGGCGCCATTTTTTGTTTTTCGTTTAGATGTCGTAAATTTGTACTACTTTTCTTTTTTCAAGATGGAAGATACCGGAAGTGGAGACACCCAAGTAGAAGTTCCAGATAATTCTTCTTATTCTGAAGTAAGCACACAAGAAGCTAATCAAAAGGTATCACTATGCTATTCAACTGCACATTATCCATATATACGACCATTTTTATTCCAATCCATACTGTTGTTAAGCGGTAAAGCGTATTAAAAACTTAGTCCACCTAAAATTTATTTTCGAAAACATCCAAAAATGATCTGGGCCATAAAGTTGTTGATTTTCTATCACCATTTCCAAATTACAGTAAAATTTTAAATGTTTGGAACTACTTTGAATCTAAAAAATAAGAAATCAAAGGACCATATTGAAACGGTATATGTAAAAATAGAAACATATTTTATACATGGCCTAAGTTTTGCATATTTTAGTTTGTTTTGTATTTTGGCTATATCATATGTGTGGCCTCTTATATTTTGATGCTTCTCTGCCATGTTATTTTTTCGAAATAATTAACATGGCTGAAACTCCCTAAGTTATAAAAAAGGCCATAGTTTTGCTGCACATTATAGATACATGTAGAGTCCATTTCACTGCTTCATTTCGTCAGTAGAACGGCAAAAATAAGAAATTTGGAGACCATTGTGCAATAATATATGGAAAAGTATATTCATAATGTACATGAATGACATTTGTATATCTTGGATTGCTTCTAGTTTGGCTTATAAAGTGTGTGGCCTCTTATATTTGGATGTTTCTCTGCCATGTTATTTTCAATAAGATTAACATGGCTGAAATTCTTCAAATTACAAGACGGCACAGGCTTATTGCACAAAAAACTAAAAAAATTGAAATATGCAAATGTCATTCATGTACATTATGAATATACTTTTCCATATATTATTGCACGATGGTCTCCCAATTTCTTATTTTTGCCGTTCTACTGATGAAATGAAGCAGTGAAATGGACTATAGTCATATAAATCCGACCGTTGTATGCTGTTCTGTGATGTTCCTTGTTCTTGTTTGGATATTTATTTTTCATCATTTTCTTGGTATATACGGTCGTAGATATAATATGGAACAAACTGCGGGAAATGCTTTCCTGGCCTGTCTGGGTATCTAATCCATACCAACCAAAGTCGATTATCGATTTTTTATTTTGCTCCAACATCAAAGTGTTAAATCTTTCCTTAGACATGTAAAACGCTTGATAATTGACGAAATATAATCAATTGAAGTATATTTTCATCATCGCCCGCCATGTTGCTAAATGTTGTTTCCGGTACTCTAAATGTAAACATGGATCGAAACGGAATCATAATTATTTATAACACATAGATTCAAAGGCTGTTTTTTCATACTACTCACTTTTCTCATTTCTGAAACAATAACTTTTCCACGTTACTTCCCTTCTTAATGACACTGCGTTTCTTCCATCTGAATCTTGGTGTAACAAATACTTATGATTTCGTTTTGATATTAGTTTTACATCTAGACTATCAGATTAACCCGGAAGTGACCTTGGTATGCAAAATGAGAAAATTTTAAAATTCAAGCAGCATGCTTATATTTCTTCAATTACCAAGCGTTTTACGTGCCTAAGGTAAGATTAAATACTTTATAGTTGAAGCAAAGAAATTAATTTATCATTTGTGTGAATTTGGTTGGGTAGACAGGCCAGGAAAGCATTTCCCGCAATATAGAACTGGCAAGTGTGTATGACCATCGTATGCAAGAAAAAATAAAAAATAAATATCCAAATAAGAAAAAATAACAAATAACAGCATACGACGGTCAGATTTATATGACTAACATACATGTAACTATCTGAAATATAAAAAGTTAGACCTTGTACATATGTTTCTATTTTTCATATGCCAGGGGCGGATCTGGGAACCAACAAGGGAGGGGGGCCAAATTCCAAGTCAGCGAAAAAAACTTCCACACTTGCGCGGAAAATTCTGGGCCCCTATAACCCAAAAGTGGGCCCAAATTTTGAGGCCATTTTTCTTCAAAAATTTGGCCTGAAATTAACAAATAGGGCCTTACAAGGCCCAGTAATGACCAAAAAGGCCCACTTTTTGGGGCTTAAGGCCTTTTTGGTCCAAAATTTTCTTTGGGCCCAATTTTTTTTATGGGCCCACCCAAGGGGGGGGTCTGGGTCACTTCGAGAGCCATGTTAGATTTTGGAACTTATGGCTCTCAAACGGAGAAATGGACAGCTGAATAATAGTGACCTTTGAAATACGAATTAAGTTGATCCGGGGCTTACTTTTGTTCTCTAACTATGTCATTCATTGTTATCATTCTTCCATGCAAATATTGAAGCACTTAAGTACTTCCTTTTCGATCAAGACTATTTTGTCAGTCAAGTGAATGTTTTTTCTGCCAAATTCCAACATGGCATTTTCTGCTTGGACATTTTCATAAATCTCGGGAGGTTGTCCGAACTTTACTCAAAATTCATTTTGTTCGTTGCGTATCTCGCTCCTATCAAACCGCCATATTGGAAATGGGTCGAAAAAACATTCACTCCATGAACAATTTACAAGTCTTGATCGAAAAAGAAGTATTTCAGCGCTCCAATACTTGCACGGATTGATGATACTGATAGATGGTCTCTAACTGATGACACAGTTAGAGACCAAACATCTAAAATCTAAAATTTTACTGTACATGTATGTTGGTTTGAAAGTCCCTTGTTTTGAATATTGTCTTGTCTTGATACATATCCCCTAAAATTTGTATATTTTACATTTTGTCCATGGGCTTTCTGTTAAGTAGATAATTCAAATCTCAGCAGCATCCCCTACACAAAAAGTTGATCAGAACCTCCTCCGGGGTTCCAATCTTTTGGACTGTTCATTATGAATTCATTGTCAGCTATAATCTCAGAAAATAAAACATGAATATTCATCAGTTTTAGAGGATCAATTTTCATAATTAAAATATGTCCATTAAAATATTGTCATGTGATTTTGTAACATGGGGTATATGGGGAATCTACCCAACCTAGAAGTTACATTTTGAAAGAAAATTAAAATTTCAAAGTTGAAAATTTTTGAAACCAGATACTAGATGTAATTTACATATACAGGGTGGACAAAAAACGTCCACAGCTTTATTTTTGTAATATTTTTGCTGATGATATGTTAGAAATATCCATAAATCACATGTCAATAGAAAGATTATTCAATTTCCAACAAAATATGAATGACTATTGGTGGCTCTATGGTAATTATGACCTTTTACAATTAGAATTATATCCCAAAAGCTGACATAGAGGCTTTATCTGTCTGGTCAGTTCTTAGCATTCTGTATTCAGCAATTGGTAAATCAAGATTTTGACCCCTGTGGTAATCAAAATGTTATACTAAAAGGCAAATACTCATTTTTTGTGAAATGAATTATATATCATTTTGTTGGAAATTGATATGATTTGAACATTTGTCTGTTGTATTAAAAACGTTGTAACTTAACAAAAATGTTAATGTTCTTTTGGCCCATCCTGTAGATTTTAAATATGATATCACTTTGGCTGAATATTTCTGTGACAAAAATCAAGATTGTTTCTACTTGCATCTAGTTCTGATAGGGAAACGGTAGGATTGATCAATTTTATTAGTAAAATATGTTGACATTTTGAACAATTTAAGTAAAAAATCAGAAATCAATGTTATCGTATATCCTTTTTTGGGAGGGATTCAGTTAGTTTTTCTACAAGTGTTGGCATTTAGACATCATACCTTCACCACAAAATATATCCTCAGAATTATTTTGTAATATATTTCAGGATAATTTGCTGAAATGGATGGAGATCAGCATTGTAGAGCCAGAGAAGAGAACTGGAAAGTACATGAACATTCCCGAAACATTCATGGTGTATCTCATCGAAACAAAGTAAGTGAAATGTTGTTTTTGCTACACCAAATAAACACAGTTGGTATTCAACATTTCTTAAAATTGTAATATTTTTTTTAAGTATTTGCAACAAAGTTGCAAACAAAGTCAATGACACCAGCTTTTAAATTATAAAATATAGCTGACATTGAAACATTGCACATGTAATGAACATTTTAACATAAAATTATATGCAACTTTTCGACATCAGAGTGTATAACTACATGTACCTCAAATCTGCTTTATTATTTTTTAGAGTCACTGATCCCACCAAACCTGGTCATGGAGAAGTGACATCTATCTGGAGAAGATATAGCGAATTTGAACTTCTACGGAATTACCTGGACATCATGTATCCCCCAGTTGTCGTCCCGCCACTTCCCGAGAAAAGGGTATTGTAAATCTGTTTTTATGTTGCCACCAAAAGTGGTGACTTATTGTTACATGTGATCTCCAACTTTTTTGTGGACAGTGTTAAGTGTCTGTAACAAATGGTATCTGTAAAAGTGGCATCTGTAACAAATGGTAGGTGGTGACATTTTGCATGTTAATGCCTGGTTTGAATACTGGTGGTATATTAAAAAAATATGTTTTGCATAATGGTCTAAAATGAACTAAATACACTGATATATTTCAGGATTTCCTTTTTCATAAAATTTTGTGTACATGTATTTTACATGCATTTATGTGTTCTCTAGGTTAGCCATGTTTGGCAGAAACTTCCCTCTGACAAATTTGATCCAGATTTCATAGAGAGAAGAAGACAGGGTCTTGAAGTAAGGCTTACATTAGTGTTTTTATATTATTTTATTTGTTGGAGAGTAAAAAAAGACATTTTTAACAAATCAATTGTCATTTATTGATTCCTGTTTAAAATGTCTGGAATGTATTAAAAAATAGCACTTTGGGTTTATGGACCTGAAGAAAATTCTCTAATTCCTCTCTATTTCCTTATTATTATTCATACTCTAAAAGAGCATGTTAAATAAAAGAAAAAATTCTTAAAAGGTAATAAAAAAGTTTGAGGAGGTTTTAGATTAAAGTACAGGCACTGCTGAACAGACAAGTAATTTGAAGAGGCCTAAATCAACAAAACCTGACTCGGTATAATATTTGATACTAATTAGTTGATTTCATCTTTTATTTTCAGAATTTCCTTTTACGAACAGCTGCCCATTCCATATTATGTAAAGATGAGCTGTTTACTGCATTTTTGAATCAGGTAATTGTGCAACATTTACATTTTTCATGATAAAGAATAAAAATATCATTTGATTAAGTCTCTTTGGGGTTTTTGTTTTTATGACTGGAAAGAATTTCTCAAAGGCAAGCAAGAAGTTGTCCAAATCTCCTTCCCTTGTCAAAGAAAAATGTTTATTTCTCAATTCAGTCTCCGTGTACCAGTTTGGAACCAGTCAAACTTGAATTTATCATTAGAGTCAAGATACAGTTGCTTCAAGAGAGATGTTTCTCCAATACTTTCACATGTTCAAATTTAACAGTATGGTTCTTCTATGGAAGATTTATCTCACAGATGAAAAATCTTGATTCCTGACAGCCCCCATCATGCCATTTGTAATCCCGTGTCCCATGAATGAACATACATTTCTCCTCATTCACTTCAGGCTGTGGTCTACTCCCAAACAATACGTCCCATTTTGTGAAGTTATTAAGTGGCTTTGGTATCCAGCTTGGACCACCTGACCACTTCCAGTCATCACATAGATCATTTCCCCCAGTCCAAAAATCACTTCTTTCATTGGTATGTTTTCCTGATGTTTTTGCTGCTTGAATTTGCTCAATGACATATGTTTGTTCATTTTCATTCTCAATTGCTATAAGGTTTGCTCCAAGAGATTGGCAGTAAGTGAGGGCATCAAACCAAGAAACCTTTATCTTGTAAATGAATTTGTGACAAGTATTCAATCGAACATTCCAAACAAATCCATCTGGGCAGCTTAATGGTCGCTGGGGACATTGGGCTGCGATTTTCCTCAATTTACCCAGTTCAACCTGTGCTTTCTTCAGTTTTGCTTGAAGACTTGAGCATTTCCCAGCTTCAACTCTCCATACACTTTGTATCAGGGTTATTACTATTAAGACACACAATGTAGTCATGGCACTCATCTTATGCTTTGGATACTGTCTGATTTCTTCATTCACTTGTCTGTGTTGAATGCTGATTTAATTTTTTATTGCCTCTGTTATGTATTATCTATGCAAAAAGTCGATCATGACTCTAGATACTGTTATCATTTAAATGTTAAACTGCCATTTTTGAATCATTCCATTTACTCTGATATAAAAATGTTGATAGTTATTAAGATAAGCAAATTAATACTATGATAACCATTGTTTTTGAGTTTTATATTAAACCTCTGTCATAAATTTTCCCATTGTTATTTGCAATAGATTACGTCTTGTGTCTGAATTCCAAATGTTTATGGTTTTAAAGGTCTAGCCTAGTTCATGAACAAATTATGTTTAGGTCATTGGAATTTAATCTCCACATAATAATGTTGTTACATATGCCACAAATCTTACATAAAAGGAAGGGTTAATTATCCCAACGAACGAAGTTCGGTAGGGATATAGTGAAGCCCTCCGTCCGTCAGTCCGTCAGTCAGTCCGTCCGTCCGTCCGTCCGGAAGATAACTCAAATATTAGTAGACGGATTTTCTTCATATTTGGTGGAAAGATGTATATTGATAAAAAGTTTTACGCAAAAAAAACTTTTCAAGATGGCCGCCGCTTTAAAAATAACGGGACTTTTTCGCAAAAATCATAAATTTTTCATTCTAAACCAAAGTTATTAATATTATTGTTTGAAATTTTGGTAGTATATTCGCAACATCTATCTATTTCACATATATTCCGTGTTTTTCATCCTGACCCCCAGGGGCCGTGTATGGGGGGTCAGGAAAACAGAAATTTTCGCTAATTTGTAGATCTTTCTGTAGTATAGGTTTATTATACTCAAATGAAAGGCAATTAAGAGTAGATTGCAAATATTGTATCTTTTTTCTGATTCGAGCCTCGTAAAATTCAAAATGGCCGTCTAATGTACGATTTCACAATAATTTTTCGATCCCTTCAATGTATGGCTATATAATACTCAAATTGAAGGAATTTTGGAGTAGATCACAATTATGGTATTATTTTTCAGATTTGTACCTCAGAAAATTCAAAATGTCTGCTTTGCAGGAATTCGCAATTCTAAAATCTAAATTTTTCAATTTTAACCAAAGTAATGAGTATAATTGATTGGAATTTGGTAATTGATATTTTGTTTGTTGGGATTTGCTACTCCGCGGAGTTGCCATTATCTAGTATAATAATTATTCACATTTCGAGAGATTGACTGTTGAATTATATCATAACACTGTAAATGCTGAGACTGCAGGCGAAGTTTTTATTGTAGAGTATTTTAACACAGCCAATCAACTGAAGACAAATTAAAATTGGAAGGTTTAAAACTAATTAACATTTTTCATTTCTGTATTAAACACATTTTAATTAAGTAATTCTCAGTTGCATGATGTTACTATAGAAATTGTACAAAAATATAATGATTTTTTTAAATAAAGTTATTCATTATGGTTTATTTGTATTGCCTATTCCAGGATGAGGGGTGGAAGGAGAAAATATATGCTACTGGTTACCAGAATAAGGTAAATAGATTACATTTTAGAATACAAGTAGTAGCCTATGTATGGGGGAGTGAAAATGGGACAAATTATGAACAGTAATTGTATGAACATTTTGTGAACAAGCTTTCTCTTTTTATGTCACTACAAAAAATGTGTGTGACATAATATAGCCATGTTTACTTCGGTCCAATGCCTTCTCTATATTCCGGCTTCGAGGAGGAAAATTGAGCTGCCTTAGTATTATAAATATTGTAAATCATTGTGTCACACGCACAGTAAATATGGCATAATAATATGAAATATACCTTTATGTATAGATTTGATGAACATCAGCTCACATCCCCGTCTGAATCTATTGTTATATTTGATTTCTTTAAGCGAGAATAATTTCAAATTTTATTCACGTCCAGAACCGGAAGCCATTTTTAGCTACAGCGAGAAAATTTCACCATGTTTCAAACTCCGAAATGAAATTTTGAAATATCTAAATCCAGACAAGCAACGCTTCATCCTAAATATGATTAATATTCTTAGAAATATTTATAAAATTTATTAAAAATGAGTTCTAGGTGCGTGTAGGTGCGTGTAGCACCTTTTCTAGAGTACATACGAAATCAATGAAGTTACGTCTAGCTGTAAGCTAGAGACTCGAGTAAAGCCATGTAACAATGTTGCACTTTTACAATTACAACCAGGTAGTGACATTATGTCATGTTAATGCATTGTATTTTATTCAATGCATATTGTAATTTATAAATAAATAAAAAACAGAATATATTAGTGATGCTTGTATTCAAATTGTATTTGATATTTAGCTTACAACATTATGTGAAACTTTAAAGCAGGTCTTTTTTGATATTTCATTGACAACAGAATCCAGCTCTTCAAAAGATCTAAGATCCAGTCTTAGACTAGGATCTGGTTGGATCTTTGCAAATTCTTCAAGTCTTAATCTTGTCTTCTCTTTAATAGAGATACCACGGTTTTCTGATGTGTTCGGCAAGATAATCAATAGTATCGTGCATAACTTTCTTAGCTTGTCAGCCTCAGCTATAGTTTCAGACTTCATTGTTGGAGGATGGGTCATGCCATCAGTCATAACGATACACACAGCCTAAAATAGTCTCCCAAACTTATCAATGTGTTATACAGAAAAATATCTGAATTGAATTACGACATAATATAAGGCAAACACAAGTTAAGTGTATAAGTCTTAAGTAACAACCTCAGTTGGCAATTTAGCCAGCCTTCGAAAACTAGTATGCATACCTATGATAATTATGCTACTGGTTACCATAGTAAGGTAAATAGATTTATATTCTAGAACAAAAGTAGTAGGCTACTTTCAAATACAGAGTATGTATAGACAGAGTGAAAATGAGACAAACTATTGACACAAATTGTGTGACCAAATATTGTGAACATGCTTTCTCATTTTATGTCACTACAAAAAAGGTGTGTGACATAATTTAGATATAATCCAAGATTTAACTATTTTAACCTACCGGTATGTGGCCTTTTGAAAGTAGACACTGTTGAATTTTTATGCATTAGCACATGAACATTTAATCAGTCATTACAGTCAGGAAACAAATCCCTGGAACAGTCTTGCTGCAAAGAGTGGTCACAATCCCAAAAGAATTCCCATGTGTGGATTTCAAATGGGAGACTGTATTAATATCCCAATCAAAATTAGAAATCTTACATCCTATATTCTTTACTTACACTGCGGTCTGGTCGTCTGCCCTTCTCTTCAGTCAAGTGTACTTCCCTTGCTTCTCTTAGTGCCAAATAGGTCTTTGTAGCACAAGGTTTCAAGTTTGTTGCCATATTCATGATAGCTTCACGCACCTAGCATCAGTTCAACATTTTTAAGTACTACTTTGAAGGGAACAACTGTATTTTTTGAGAATACTGTTACGTTAAAAACAGGACAAGTGATCATGTGTAATATATATAAGATTCATTTTCACTTTTCATGTTTGTTTGGCAATAATTAAGAACAATATGTTAAAAAATGTAAATAACTTTACTTTTCTTGGATTATTATAGCTGTTCAAATAAATGAACGGTTCTGTTGTATCGCCGTATGTACTCCCAGATATTTGGCTGAATGCTGGGCCCAATGGAAATTTTCTGGTGACAGTGCTCACAAATTTTTTGACCCTTGCTTTATCTTCGGAACTTATTGAACATGACATGTCGACGATCCAACACACGTCCACGCCACACACACTTGTTGAAGTATCAGCTATCAAGTGAAGTATATGAAAAATAGAAAATACAGAAATGACTCTTATGCAGTAGAATATTCACATTTTCAATATAGAAATCAATTTAACTTGAGGTACTTATATTCCAATGGTACAGCATCACAGCAACGATATGATGAGTGTTCACTTCTCGGTCATATTTTTTTAAAGACTTTCACAGAGATATAAGTTTTTAGTTCATACCCTGTCATTGAATTCTAATAATGTTTTTGCCCTTTGCTACATCATTGACAAAATATTAGACAAAATGTTAAAAATGAAAGACTATATTTTTTTGAAAAGCATCAGCCAAAATGTGAGGGGTCAAAATATTTTCTAGCTATCCTGCTTGATTATGAAACATGATTATAAAATGAACATTAAAATCATGTACCATACGTTCTATCATAAAAATGTTTTTAGACCTCTGGGTGTTTATAAAAAGAAAATTAAACAAATTCCTCCTTTTGGTTCTGATTTAATGTAAACATTTTATAATGTATTGTTGTTTTAGATTAGCTTCTTGTGATTGTCTTACTAGCCCGAACATAAGTCATGTTTTGACAATATCAAAAGTGATTTTAAAAAAGCATTTCATTTGACATAGCTTTTTCATAAATTGTTTCTTTTTACAGTCTCCTTTTGAGTTTATCCAAATTACAAAAAGTAACACTAAATATACTCATATAGTGAACTTCATACTATTTAGAAAAATCTGAAGTTTCTTACCAACACCTTTTTCTGAATATGTTGCTTTACAGGCATTGACTGTCTCAACACAGGGGAATTGTTTACTGAGCCCTGATTTAGGATGGAAGATTTGTTCACGTATTCCTCTCCCATCAGGACACATTTTAGGTATCCAATTTCCCCTCATACACTGGTAATACATGCATTTGTGGTAGGGATCATCTCCACTGGATAGAGCCAATCCATATTCTCCTCTGTGTGGTATGCATGCTTAATTATAAAAAAGAAGTGACAATGAACAAGGATGATTTTATTTATCAACTCTTATTATTTACTAATTTAGATAACATTATATATTAAGTAATTTAAGCTCTTGAATCCCAGGCTCTAAAATCGGTTGAAACCAGAGGCTTTTCATTTTTACCCCTCTTATGACATTTTACTACATACAGGGTGTCCGGAAAGTAAAGATACAAATGCTCTAATTTCGTTAGATTTACCTATTGTGAGATGAAATTGCTACAGATTGTAGAATGACATTGTAACAATTTATCCTGCAACTGCCATGACAAATTGTTTCAAAATAAAAAAGTTATGGTTGTTATGGTAACAGGAGTCACGGGTATGTGGAGCAGCGTCACAATTATGTTTTATAATTCTTTTCTCCTGTTCATATCATCTTGGCACTCCGTCGTCTGTTGCTATTATGCATCAAACTATGTACCACAAAAGCAAAAGGATTAGTACTGTAACATTATTTCATCATTTGACATTACTACTGTTATCCAGTATTATGTATTTTCCACCTTTATCTAAACATTGTTGGTGCATTTTGACCAAAGATTCAAAGACCTGACAAAACCTTTGCTGTCAGTCTCTAAGATTGCTAATAACATTGGCTTCCAGCCGAGTCTCATTTTTATGTTGAACTTCTCGGAAATATTGCTTTAACATATTCATTATTGTAGAAGTCCAATTGGACATTATCAGGGAAATATGAGCCATTGTACAAAAAGGTTAATGTCAAGACATTCAATTGTAAGATTTGTTTTCTTTGCTTTATGCATTGGAGCATTGACTGTGGAGGTGTACTGTTGACTTTCCTATTAATCCAGGGACCCTTTTTCTTAGCACTTAATATATACTCTTTTTCTTTGATTATGCTTATGACATTACATAGTTCTGATTTGTCTCAATGATATCGTTATACTAAAGAGAATACCATGGCAGCAAGAATACAATATTGAACAAAACAAAAAAACTGATAAGAAATACAATAATAAACACTATTTCAAATGGTTAAATTTTAACAATTTATCACAATTCAGCAATATCGTGGAACTGCTCCGCATACCCCTCACCAAGGTAACCATGACAACCGTAACTTTAACACATTTAGATTATATGATATAAAAGTTGGTAGATGTATTGTTATGTAGTACCTCTACAATCTGTAGCGATTTCATTACAAAAAAACTAAATCTCTTAAAATTAGAGTATTTGTATCTTTACTTTCCAGACACCCTGTACTTATACACCTTGAGATGCTCAACTTAGTAAAATTAGATGGCAGAGAGCATTTCTACATATTTTAAAACAGGTTTTGTGTAAATTGGATGAAAATTGTAAAAATAAGAGCAATTTTAGTGAAAATATTTGTGACTGATTTTCTCGTCACTCTTAGTTTCAAGGTCATTTCTGAGATGACGAGAAATCTCGTCACTCCAGGTACTCAAGAGGTTAAAGACAGAACGAACAGAACAAACTTATACAATGTAAGTTAATCTTGTATTTTTTTTAATCTTTTATATATTTTTATTGTACAATGTGTTCAGAATTAATGAATAGATTTGATAGGCATCGAAAACTTAATTGTCTTGTTTCGGTTATTAATTATTTAAATTCCGGTCTAATATCAGAATAAACAATTTTCATAATTTTGATAACCTGTAACTTATACCATCAACATGCATAATCTGTGATTTATATGTAGACTTTGTTAATTCTACCATTAAAAGACAGTAAACCTGTCACATGTATCATCAATATGTAACATCAACAAACTGATATTCGGCAACGTGTAGGATCAGTAGATTTTGATAATCTGTAACTTGTGGGATCAGTAGACTGATAATCTGTAACTTGTGGGATCAATAGATTTTGATAATCTGTAACTTTTGGGATAAGTAGACTTATAATCTGTAACTTGTATGATCATTAGACTTTGATAATCTGTAACTTGTGGGATCAGAAGACTTTGAATATCTGTAACTTGTAGGACCAATATATTTTGATAATCTGTAACTTGTGGGATCAGTAGACTTTGAATATCTGTAACTTGAAGGATGAATAGATTTTGATAATCTTTAACTTGTAGGATCAATAGATTTTGATAATTTGGGGAACAGTAGACTTATAATCTGTTATTTGTAGGGTCAATAGACAGTTAATCTCTATCTCGAGAACCATCAAGACATTGATAATCTGCACCTTATATGTACCATCCATAAACACTGATCCAAAACTTAAGTAAGCTGTACTTACATTGCATGAATTGTAGAATTCTTTATGCATTTTCAAGGCATTTAATTTTAGAAAAGAAAGTTTTATCTCAATGCTTAAAAAGTTATCTTGTAGGTATTATGATTATATATTGGGAAGATATAATAGAAGTTTAGCCAAAATTAGAGTTTTAATGAAGACTATAAAAATGTGTGTGGACACTTGGCTTATATAATTTAAAATAACAAATAAAAGGCATCTTGCTTATTCAATCTTACAGCAGGTATTCATTAATATTCTTTATTTGAAATGCAGTTTTTACCTTTGAATGGGTCTGCTGGATCACTTAATGTATCTCCTGCGATCTTTTTGTTGCCTCTTGACTCAACTAAAATATAAAAACACAATGTATTTCATTTTATCTTATACAGGTTAGTCTAAAAATTGAACATGCATACATAGTTAATTAAATTTGTTTCTCTGCTGAACTCACCAAATGTTTACAGAGCGTAGTTTTAACAGTTGCTAAGATCACTGGTGCAGCCCACCTTCTTTTGAAATGCATGAAACTAACCAATGATTGATTGGGACCTCATGAGTATACCAATCAATAAATGCTGCAGCTTTTCAGAAAGTATTTACTAAGATGATTTTAAGAGACAGCTTTGACAAGAGTTGGTTAAACAGTATTGTTTAGTGAAAAATTCTTAGAAATTCATTTATTTACAAAACTTTACATTTTTGTCATTTGATATTTTGGGGAGGCATTTTGAATTTTCTATGTGCAAGCTGTTAAAGACTAACGCCTTTAGAATAGTTTGATGTTAGATCAAAAGTCATGATTTAACAAACATCTACTTTATCACTTTCAGGAAGTATTTTATGCCACCTAACTATTATCACTTACATATATTCTTCAAACCAGCACCCTGCACAGTTACCACATATACATGGAGTAACAATAGGTATGATAAAATATCCATTATACTGCTCTGAAGTAAAGAAAAACAAAAATACATGATGATGGCGTCAGTCAATAAAAATGTCTCCCTTTAAGTAATTACTACAAACTCTCAGTACAGATTTACTATATTATTATGTACCACTAGAGAGATTTTAATTGCAAAATAATCAAATAATGTCACAAATTATATGTACACGATGACTATGTAGTCACTAATCTGATCTAATAAGGTAAATTTCCATGTCAGTTCTCACACGGATAATGTATTTCTATTATTTCCCAATCACTGTTTGCCATTGATAAGATTTGAATTAACAATGAAAAAACAAAAATTTTGTCATATGTTGCACTATTTTACAAATTGCACCCTCCCCCATGTTTATTATGCAGCTGGGAGTAACATGTCCAGTTTTAACAATGAATGTCATTCTTCATAAGATGCTCTTACTTAGTATATATTTCATTATCGCATAGGTGGTTAAATGACTTCTACGAAATTAGTTTTGTTTTCACTGATTTTATAAAAAAAAGTCTTGAACAACAGAAGAGAAAAATATAAATAAACCCTAAACATACATTTCTTTTCTCCGTGCTTTTTCCTTTTTTGACTATCTTGTATATTTTTTCTACACCTATATGCTATATATAATGGTGTTAGAACTTTAATAATTGGCATAAAATGATTAATAAGGATTCTTACCTTCTATCACCAATAGTAATTATTGAATTATATTATTTTGTGCTCTCCTTTTAAAGCTTATATTATTGATTATTAACCATCAAGTGAAATCCAGGAGGATATAGAGAAAGCCTGTGTCTGTCCTTATACCATAAGTCTGTCCGGGTAATAATTTATATACCGTACAGTCAACTAGAAATAGTTAATATTATATACTCATATGCCTTTTGAAGTAACAATTCTGCATGAGAGAAGATTTTCAAAAATACACAATTATTACAATTAGGCCAATATTTTAGAAATGCTTTTCAGTGCTTGGAAAAATGTACTTTTCAATTTGAAACATGTTTTTGATGATCAATCTGAGATGATGAATTCAAATGCAAATGATACTGACTGACTTTTTAAATCTCTAATGAATTGTCTAAAATGTCTTCTCAGCTGTACATGAACGAACATTTGTTTCACTTAAAGAAATCCTAAGACAAATATGATCCTAGGGAATCAGTTTAAGAAGCCTTTTGATTTTGTGAGAAGTTGTCTTAAATTCCTCAAACCTTCAGGGTGTTAACTGCTATGGTAGTGTCTTACCATAAATGATGGAAAGTAAATTAAAGGGTTTAAATATGTGAGGGCATCCTTCATATTCGTCTATCAATATGTTCTGATTTCAATTTCATATTTAAAGTAGCGTTTTAGTCTGAATAAATTATGTATTCCAATGAAAGTAATGTTATTTCGATGATTCACATGCATTTTATAATGAACATTTTGGAGCACATTTTATAATGAACATTTTGGAGCACATTCTGAGTTGTGCCATTGACAGCAAAGTGTTAATTGAAACATAAATAAAAAATAAATAAAAATGTGAAGGTGGCATTTGAAGATAACTCAAGATAAAAATTAATTGAACAAGATATGCAGAAAGCTATGAAACTTAAGCTACGAAACAGGATATCAGTTATTACATAATTTCCATATTTAATTAATTCTTCATCAATAGATATCGCATAATGACTATGCATTAGAATTACTACAAATAAAGGTTTTAAACAATTATTTGATTCATATCTTTGACTGTATAAAGACAAAGAATTTTAAAATAGACTTCGAGACTGGATTCTGTCTGTCCCACATCATTTTTAGACTGAATGATCTATCTTGTATGAATACTTGTATCACCACTATATTTGTTGTGTCCAGAGTATTTGTCTTCATTTTTATTATTCAAATGAATTAAGTTTGACATGGATATACTGATGAAGCCCTCTGTTCATCCATCAGTCAGTCCGTGAGTCTCTCTATTGGGAAAATAACTCGAATACTATTTTCTTCATATTTGAGGGAAATTTGTATAATGGTGAGTTGTGGTGGTGACATTGAAATGAGTTATAGTGCTGAAACAAGCTTTATTTCTAAAATTAAACAGAGTTACCCGTTGAAACTTTCGTACATTTGTGATAATTGAATTGACTCAGAGGACTGAATTCCAAGAATATTCCTTCATCACTCACAGAGTTATTACATCTTGTCTCGCTGCTAAAACAAGATCTTTAAAACTACATGTAAATAGAGTTACCTTGTGAAATTGTCAGATGTTTATGATATTTTAATCATCTGTCAAATGATATTTCAAGAATATTCCTCCAACGCTAAAGACTTTTCTGTATTTGTTTTGGTACATTTTTTGGGAGACCCTGTATTCAGTGTTTTTTGGCTGAACCCAGGACCTGTATACAGGGGTCAAGAACAGGAATCATTCTGGAGTACAAGGTAGGCCCAAAAAAAAATTGGAACATTTTTTCCATCCATTTTAACTTTTTTGTTAGTCATGTATCATCTTCAATTCTTTAGGAAGTTGAAACACAAATCATTGATAACAGCTTGTGTAAATATGAATATACAAGCTCAACATTTAATTATCCAACGCAAGGTTTTCCTGAACATGTGCTCCATCCACCAGAACAATCAGTCTGAGCTGGTCTTTTTTATCTTGCTTCAATGAGGTGGTAACATTTTGTCATGTTAATACCTTGTTATCATTTACAATTTATTCTTCAACATGTTTTGTAATGGTCTTCAGTATGAATGAAATATCAAATGGTCTTAGATTATAATGATGGTTTCTGAATGATGAGATGAGGGAATATTAGACATTGTTTCTTTTACATGTTAGATTATAGTCTGGGATATTTAGAGCTTTTCTTTTGACTGTTTGTTTCATTTCTTTTTGTGGAAAGTTTTATTCTGTCCCTTCAGCACTTGTACATATTTTTGGAAAGAAACATCTGGAAATCTGAAAAATTGAAAATATAGGGATGGGGGATGCAGCATTGTTTATAGGAATCGCATTTCCCCATTTAGTATTCCTTATTTTAATCCTCATACTCTTAGGCCTATTTTCCTGGGTTTTCCATTTTTCCCATCATATTTCACGTATATTTAGTTATTATCTTTTGTATTTCATATTCTATGTCACCTCTCCCAACCAGGACATGGTGAAAGTCAATAACCTAGTGATGCCATATAAATATTTATGCTGACTAAAAAAATGTTTATTGCATAAGAATTGAAAGGTTAAGTGATATGTGATGGCACATGATAATTAAGCAATTAATTGTCAGGTATTTTTGCATCTGGTAATTGAATTTGTAGCATAAAAGAATACAAGAAGTGTCTAGTATTCTGATTTATCAGCATCTCTATCTAATTTGTAATCCAAGAGATAGTACAGGCTGTTGTGGATCCCACAATGATTATCTGCAAGATTCATCAAATACATGCAATAAATTTTAATATACAGTTCATGTCATAAGGTCCCAATGATAAGTCAGTTGGCTCACTCATCTGCCAATGTACTGACAAAACAAGATGGATTTTGATAACATTCAGCAGGAAGATATAAGCATTAAAGGCCCAGAGATTTGGATCCGGGTGAAGCTATTAATCAAGCTGTCACAGCTCAGCCAATCAGTGCTAATGTGGTCAGTTTAAATGTCCAGCATAAACAGAAACACATGGTCTGCTACAAGTGAGATACAGCCTTATGCTATGTTTTTTTACTTCTAGACGGATAAGAGATGCCCATTGGCTGAAATTTAAACTGTCAGTTATGCTAATGAGCATATTTACAAAAAGAAATTGTCTTATTTCACAAAAACTAAACAACATTTTCAGAATTTGATTTGAAATTTATAGTCATTATAGATTCATGAACCACTGTAACAAAAAAGAGCTTGTAACTCATCATAACAATCTTGTTATAAGTTTGAAAATTTTCTCATTTTGTTTGAACTGGACCTTTAAACTGCCATATTTGGCTTTTGTGGGCTGTTCCATCTGCCTTTTATACCCGCTCTCAGTCTTTAAGCATGGTACACTGTCTAATAATATTTGGGAGCCATTTTTATGAGTAATAACTTACTAGTTGATTTCTTGCTTATTTTTCAACCAATTTTCTAAACTTCACATTTAACTAAAGCTTGGATTTAATATTATTTTATACTGTACTTAATGTATTATACATGTGTTACATTGAAAATGATAATATTATTCATTTGTTAACATTTCGACACGTCTTTCTTGCAATATCGTTGATTGATCCTTCCAGGTCTTCAAATGACTCCAGATCAAGCCTCATATCTGAGTCAGGTTGTATCGCAGAAAACTCTTCATTACGCCATTTTGTTTTATCTGCAATTGACATTCTTTTAACTTCAGACGTGTTTGGCAGTGTTACTAAAATTAAACTGCACATTTCTCGTATCTTTTTCGCTTCTCGAATAGTCTCACTTTTCTTCTCTTGGGGATTGGTGAACCCATCTGTCATCAACATAACAACACACTGAAATGAACTGAGACTAGTTGCTGTCCATATAATACAATAATATATGATTCACTTACATTTTCTTTCTTTGTATGACCACTCTTCTTATAAACACCAGAGCATTAATCGTAACCACCAATCTGATATACATTTTTTCAGTTTGGAAGTTATTATTAGTAGAAATATAATTTCATGGTTCATTTTCAATATTCATTTTATTCGAGGGTAATGGGATATTGACTGAGGGAAATATGCTATTGACTGAACAAGAGCATTAGGTTTTTATTGCACCTTGAAAAAGTGCTATATTGTCATCATCTTGCGCGTGCATAATCATGCAGGCAACTGGGTGTTGGGCATGAAGATGTATGGATGGGCTCCAGATGAATCAATTCTTGTCGTCAAAATTCCAGGAAAACGGCTAACCTGTTCAACCTCAAATTTCTACAGCTGTGTAATTTGTATTTTGTAATTAGGTGTCAAGATCTGCTTAAGATGAGCCACGCTGGGTAAATTACTTGATGGCCATTTTGAATTCTTCGGATAAATTGGCCATTTTGAAGTTTTCAACTCGCTTCAAATTGATCAAGATTCTTTATTTTAAAACGTCACTAAAAGTTTTAAAATTTGACCTTTGGTTGACCTTAAATGACCTTTGGAAGGTCAAAAAAAGTGAATGGATTTTTTAGGTCTGGGGTCTGAAAAGTGAAATTTTCAAGGTCGAAGATCAAGGTCATCAAATTCTGAGAGTCTTTGTTGAAGCATTAAGTGTGGTTGATAATCGAGGGATTATATAACTTTGAGGCATCATAAAGATTGATAGAAATTAGTTCAAACTCTACTCTATTGTTTATGTTAATGAATTTTGATCAGTATATTTTAGGATGTATGGCTTTTTACCATAAATGTCCTGGGTTTCTGTACTTAGCATTATCTTTGAGTAGTAAAATGATCTTGATTTACAAATTTTTGTTTTTTTACAAATGTAATAAGGTCTAAACTTACTTCTCGAAAATCATCTGGCTTATCACGTCTGCCCTTTTCTTCAGTCAAATGAACCTCCCTTGCCTCTCGGAGACCATCAAATGTATGGGTAGCACATGGTTTAGCATCAAGTGGCATCATTTTTATTGCAGCTCGTACCTATTATATGGTAGCCATTTCATTAATACATCTTGAGATAAATATTTGTCATAAGTTCAGTCTAGTTGAAATTTTAACAGCATCAGATATCTAATTCACTTTTGCTTTTATGATAGTTACTTTTAGGATTATATATTCATTCGAATTATCTCACAGAAATTAAAAAGTAATTATGCACTTCAATGGAAACAGGATATTCTTACATTTCCTGTACTTAGGACCTACATAAAATCCAAAAACACTTTCACCAAAGAACCATATTTAAACATTCAAAATAAAAAGTATAGACATGCATTAACTAGGCTCAGGATGAGTTAACATAAATTACAGATAGAAGTTAGGCGGTACTCAAAACCAAACCAAACAGTATATGTGAAAGGTTGTGTAGTGAATGTGGGGTAATTGAGGATGAGCTTCACTTTATCACAAGCTGCACAAAGAACTTAAAACACCGAGAACTTTTGTTTGAAACTTTAAAATCTGATCTGAAACAGCACAGATAAACTGTTTGAAACTATTATGTCTAGTTAAAGCTCTCATGTTAACTTATTACATTTAGCAAAATTTGTATTTCACTCTTTCAAGAATTAAGAAAATGATTGATATTATGTAAACATTAAAAAAAATTGTATATTATAGATACACCACACTGATATTTAGTTATCATACACTGACATGTGAAACTGATGTAATGTAGTTAAGTAATATGTAGTTGTAGTTTTTTGTATATTGTAGTGACTGATATGTCATTTACATGACATGGTTATTCAGTCAATAAAAGATATATTTATGATACCAGCTCCTATTGTACTTAAGATGCATTTGTTTTAAATGAATATTGCTCTTTATTCCCTACCCCGTATACAAAATTACTTATTTTTATTTTATGTACTTATTTGCCAACACAGATTTTTAAAATCATGTATATCTTTTCACTTCAGTAAGTTTTAGATCACCAAAGTTTCTCAGTGGGATCAACCTTTTTTTACCAATAACCCCATTTCACTCAAAATTTATAAGAGTACTGAGGAGGAATTCAAGATTTTTCACAGATTCAGTAGTGAAAGTATTGAGCAAACATGGGATTTTGAAATTTCCAAAAGGGGAGAATCGTATCTACTGCTTTGAGATAGTCTAGGTCACATGATATGTTTTAATTGTAAATTGATGCCATCCCTTCAAATTTTGATTTTGAAAAATGAAATTATTATATCTTCCCTTGAAATTACTAACCTGTCTTTGGCTCCTATACGTATTCAGGTAGAGAAATGGAATGACTTTGCTTCCATATACGCTTCCAGCAATTTGGGTAAAAGCAGGTCCAATGCGAAATACAGAGACAACCTTTTGTATAAATCTCATCATTGTGTACTTGTCTAATTCATCAATGCTACAGGAAACATCTATTACCATAACCAAATCCACTCCACAGATGTTCGTTACTGTTTTGGCTAAAATGAAATTGTGAAACTTTTAAGCGGGAAATATTCTGATTCAAAGACCCCTTTAGACTGTTAATTAAACTCAGTATGACTGCTTTAGATATCTTCACAGAAATTGATGAAAAAAAGTATTTTCCTTACAAACGCCTCTGTCTAGTAATGTTGATGTACAGAATCTTGAGGTTTTCACACATGGGAACACATCGGTAATTTCATCTAGAGCATCCTCTTTCAGATTGTACATTTCTGGTAAAATTCCTCTGCCATCGGGACATCTTCTAAGAAGCCATTCCCCTCTTGCACACACATAATAATTGCAGTTATCAAACGAATTATCATCACTATTTAATTTGTATGTTCCCCCTCTACAACCTGCATCAGTGTACAATTATTAAAAGTTCATAATAATGCAGAATATTGATGAATGGTCATTATTTATTACAGTATTCAATATAATAAATGAAGAGTGCATTTCCCTCAATCTCCTGGAGGAGATGTCTCAAATTACAAAATCCCTGAGGATTTTGGAACGGTACATGTACAGGCAATAACACGGTATTTCATGATTTGCTTCTTTAAAACTGGACTCACTCCGATAAGATAACATAATGTCAAAGGTCGACGTTTTCTTCATGTATTTATCGATTAGCTGATTATGTTTCCATTGGTCCAATGACATATATGTGTCAAAATCAATGATATTATTCACCCTAGTTCCTTCCTGAGGAGGCTGCCATTTTGGAAATTATGGCGATATCTGAATCAAAATCTTCTGCTATTAACTGGTCTGCATAGTTGGAGAAAATATGTTATTCTACTGCACCTTATAAAGGATTGAATGTTTATTTGTGGGAAAATATTACTGGATTGGAAACTCCCATGATGCACTATGAGGGTTTAATTGGTCAGAATTGGCCTTCATCATTAGTTTAAGGTTATTATGAAGGTACTTATAGTACTAAAGATAATGGAGTCACATATGTAACAGCATTATGCACAGAAAAGACTCTCAATATCAGTAAGTGAATACATGTAATTCAATTACCCTATTATCATCACCCAATTATTTTGAAAAAAAATCACTTTTCAAATAATTTTTTCATTTTTTTTCTTTTTCTATGAATGAAATCAAATTTTCAAAGATTGTATCATTTAGAGCAATATATTGGGCACATTTTCTGAAAAATTAAAAAGATTCTGTTCAGTGACCTTTCTTACCTCCTACTTTTAGCTATTTTTCAGTCACATTTTCGGAGGGCTGAAAAGGTTATTTCATCATGTTTAGGGTCATTCTGACCATGAACATTGTGATGCTGGACCTGTAAATGGTATGTGGAACTAGTTGAATTTGACTGGAGGTCAAAACAGAACTCTGTTATCTTTGTTCAAAAACTGTCTAAAAATGCAAATTTTTTGTCATTTCCTGTTTCGTCATATCCTGTTTAATATCATGGCACCTCAACCAGCTTCCAACTTCAAATATGTATTTATTATAAACCCAATATGTAACATAAATCCTGATTGGTCAATGCATAGTCATGTGCCATATTACATTTGGACTATTGCCTGCTGATGTCTTTATTACCCCTCAAAACATCTGCAGAGGAAAACAGAAAAATGGAGGAAACGCACAAACACAAATCAACTCCATTCACCATGACCTATATATCAGATGGGTTCTACACCTATTCACTTCAATGCTGGGCAGATCACTGAACATAGATATTGAGAAGTGCTAAATATTGAAAAATAATTCTTACCTGCTGTTTTGATTTGTGGAGATCTTTCATCTTTTGTATAGATTTTCAACTTAGATCTTGATATTACTAAAACAGAAGTACAATTAGTAGTGACAATCCTAGAACCCTTTTTTCACTTGAAAATCCCATGATGAAAATATTGAGCATATCCAGTAAATTTTCTTTAAGACATTATTTGGTGCAGTGAGAAAATAAAAAAGCATTTTAAATTTATTAGTTTTATAGGAATCCCATTAGTGTTTTAGTGTTAATAGGCCTATTGTAAAGCAGATGAACATTCCAGATGTATATTACCCATTTTACTCTACATTTTATTTGTGAAATGAAACTGGGATCCCCTCATATATGAAATGACATTAATATAAAGACTGATGACACATTGGTATGCTACCACAGCCAGCCTAATAGATATGGATTAAGAATAAAATAAAGAATTCATGGCTTAATTGCATTTGACTAATTTGTATTGATATGATGAGGAAATATGAAATAATCCCTTTACATTGATAAGCCAAGAAGACTATTAGTTGTCTCATCTGTAAAACTGTTAACACTCATCAGTAAAGCTTATTTGATCAAATGTGTTTCTCATCTTGTAATTTGGAAGCAATTTTATTCAAACAAGTATACATTGTATTGAACGGTGTTAATCTTTAACAGTGGCGTACGCAGGAAGAAAAAAGCAATGAGGCGAAAAACATTTCCAAATCTGTTAAAAGCCAACTAGGCAAGTTACTCAACAGTTATGTACATGTGACTCCATCATTGGAAAAATTGGCTTGTGAGAAACTTTTCCATCATTCAGATTCCAAAATTGATAGAAGTTACAACTTCATATTTGTATTACCAAAAAACCTGATAGAAAAGAATTGTGAATACAAGAGAAACAGGAATGATCAAATGGCACTTGATATTACATCTAAATTAGTCCCATACAGCATGACCATGAAGTAAAACTATTTTTTAAAGTATTTATATTTTGTACACAAAAGTAAATATACTCACCAAGATCTTTAAAGCCAAAACATTGTGCCAATGATATGTGTACATGCAATAGATATAGGTATGTCAACAGCCCCATTTTAGCACACTGAAAATGTTATACATTTTAGGGACAAGTTCAAAAATATCAATGGTTGCCATAAATAGTAATAAATTATGTTTGAGAATAGGTGACAATATGCTTGCTACGAGGGTTGATCATAAAGTTCTCATAATATCTCTCTTATTTCTTTATTTTTCAATATGCATATCTCCCTCTGGATAAACCCCATATCCAAAACCTCCCAGTACATAACCCTTATATATTCAGTTATACAGAAGTTATACAGAAGTTTGTTTGTATTGTGGTTCTCAAATGTTGACCCTTTTTTTCTTTTGAGGAATTCTCTGTGTCCATATTAAAGTTGTTATTTCCTATAATTTTGCCTGCTACTTATGTATTTTATCTATTTTCTGAAATTCCAATAAAACCCCTGGCCTTGATTGGAATTTTGAAATATTTATCAAGTATATACTCACGTTATATTTAAAATGCAATTTCAGACTCCTTCAGTCTGCAACTCCTGTAAGCTGCCAATTTTATTGTTGATCATATGCTATTTAAGATATCTAATCATTTTGACTTAATCTTATAAAACAATACAAGAATCATACTTAGTTTATCAGACTAATCAAACATGTGGTTATTTTCACAGTATCTTTAAATAAATGCATGGATGAAGGAACAAATAAAAAACGTAAAAATAAATAATGTCTAACACCCATTCCCCTTCCAATTAAGAGCCAATTTCACTCCCAGGACCTGAACACCAAGGGGCATTTCATTCATACTGAAGTCAGTACAATTTTTGTTGAAGAAAAAATTGATAGCCAATACTCATAACATCAAAAAAACTTGTAGATGCTTGTACTCAAAGAATGATGTGGGATAGATGAAATCCAGTCACAAAATCTATAGGCAATTCAAAGGGTCAACATCCATTTGCAAAGTCATGGCCATAATTCATGAAACATAATAATACACAATGGTCATCAGGAGAAAACTATGACTGGTTTGGATCCCTATTTCTCAACTTTAATGCAATAGTCAGGGTCCAGATTAAGGGTGCCAAGTGAAAATAGCGTGAGTTCAATTCAAATTTCCTGAACAATTCCAACATCATACAGCATCTTCAGGGGTTAAACGTGAACCTATATTTTCAGCAAAGCCAAGAAAGCATGTCTTGACCTAACAGTTTGATCAATAAAATATTGATTTAAAATCTGTATATTTTGAACATGCCCTGCTATATCTAATAAGCTATGATAGTAAACCCCATATGCTAGGAGGTTCAGTGGTATATTACCATCCAAATGTGTCAATGTCAAAATTAAAGCTCTTTTTTGTCATGTAACTTACAATATATACTATTGTCTAGTTTAATGTTAGTAAGAAGATCAAGGTAAGGTGTACTCATATTAGATTCATTAGTCGTTTTTTCAATTCTAGCCCTGCAGGATATATCTCACCTACAAAGTCTTTAAACTTCAGGCTGTCTAAACTTAACATATGATCAATATATCTATCTTATAAAATAAACATTGCAAAATGAAACTTTGCTTCATATTTCATCATCCTTTGTAAAACTTTATACTCATATGAGAATAGTAAAAGTGTAATGACCAGAGGGCGCCCCAGGGTAATGACTAACTTACGAGCATAGTGTAACAAGCCAGATAAAGAAATTGAAAGAAAGTGTGATAAATTCAATGCCCCGTGTGGGAATCGAACCTAGGACCCTTGGACCCAAAGTCTGATGCTCTACCGACTGAGCTACAGTATAAAGGCTTAAGCCACTACAGCTGGACTGTAGTAGCAACTTGTTATCAAGGGTCGTTACAAAAGATCTGCCAAAAGGGAGCACAATCTGTACCTATTGATATACCTACTCTCTGATGACTAAAACTGTATTTCCAAACTTACCAAATATATTATCAATATGAAAGTCTAACACCTCACAAAGTTGTCCTGCAGTAAAAAAATAAACTTATTGTATTGTTCACTAAAAAAGAAAGCCCTGTTTGAATTACAGTTAACATGTTTTGACTTACTAACCGATATTGTCTTGGAAGTACATATAAAGGTTTAATATTGTAAAATATTTAAATTGGAAAGAAAATAATGAATAGGCAAAAAGCTGGGAAAGAAATCTATCTTATTCTGCTTAGGTTTGTGGCTTATAGGCTAATTTTTAGGTAGCCCTTTGGATGTTTTGTGCTCAAACATTAGAGAAAAGCAATACTATGCGACAATTCCTATTATAATAATAGAAATCAAAAATAAATGGAGCCACTTTGTAATTATTTACCACCATTTTCATTTACTCTTCAAAATAACATACTGAACATCAATATTAATGCACTTGTGTTTATTGCTATTCAAAGAGGGAACTTGACTTGAAAATACAGTTAATTGCAAGAAAGGTTGAGGTTAGACCGTATTCTTTTCAATTCGATTAACAGGCTGACACGTCTTTCTTGCAATGTTGTTGATGTTTTCTTCCAGTTCATCAAATGACTGAAGGTCAAGCCTCATGTCTCCATCAGGTTGTATCTTTGCAAATTCCTCTTCACGCAATTTCTTTCTTTGTTGCTCAGGCATTTTCTTTTCTTCCTCTGGACTATTTGGCAAAGTAACCAGAATTAAAGCACATATTTTGCGTATGTTAGCTGCTTCTCGAATAGTCTCATGTTTCTTGTTTTGGGGATGTGTGTATCCATCAGTCATCAACATTACACAACACTAAAATAAAATACATATTTGTCTGATATTTTAAAATGTCAAACCTTAAGGTGATTGAGAAAGCATTTAATCCTGGCATCAAGTACTCAAGCAATAGCTCAAGATCTTCAGACATGAAATTCTTAAAAAATCAGGTATGGTATGGAGGCTTCCTAGTCAACTCGTACCCAAGACAACTCGTACCCAAGACAACTTGTACCCAAGACAACTCGTACCCAAGACAACTCGTACCCAAGTTTATTTTCAGTATTATGGGTGCATATAAGAAAACAAATTGAGTCTGTGTCAAAATGTTTAATGTTATAATATGTGTGCCTCAATATTTTTTCTGAATTTAGAAGACATTTTTTCTCAATGGATTAAGCAAAGCATTTTGTTTTAACTTGGATTACCTTTTTTAAATGAAAGAAGTGCTTTGAAAGGCTTGTTTTCAACTTTTTTTGTAATACGTATATATAAATAAATATAATTACAACAGTAACTTTTCAACAAATGAATCAAACAATTAATAGTACAATAATGTCATTTCTGCGGGCAATATAGTGAAATTACTGGACCGAGGGCATACTTCAAACTATTCTGAACTGTATGTAACCATTATAATATGTATATCTATACCCATTCCCAGCCCAACACTTGATTCAAAACATATACAAGGGTACAAGTTGTCTTGGGTACGAGTTGTCTTGGATACGACATGACTTGGGTACGAGTTGTCTTGGGTATGAGTTGTCTTGGGTACGAGTTGACCAGTTACCGTATGGAGAATGATTTAGAAAAGTCATATCACTGACCATGTCTACATTCTGAACATAAATGGAACTTTTTTTTCATTATAATAATGTGTTTTTTGATCAGGATAATAAAAATACCAATTTAACTCTAAGAACCATTGTTAAGGACTCTTAGAGGAAATGTAAGGTGAGAAAATCTCAGTCTCAAAGTAGCATTCTCCATACTATGCCTGATCCCTTTTATGAAGCATAGAAAATAAAACACTATTTTAGTAATTTAACCCCATTTTTGAATCAACAATTCAAAGTTTGGCAAAACAAGTTGACTTGAGCGTGGGACAAATTGGGGTTTATATTTTGGAACGAAAAATAATGATGTGTTTGTTAAAATACATAATTGATAATTGTCCTAAACTAATATAACAACCAAAATTATTGAGGTTTTTGTATAGAGGTTTTCAAAAACGAATAATCTACAATATTACTGTACATCACGCTTATCTGCGCCTTTATCACGTCTTCCCTTTTCTTCAGTCAAATGAACCTCTCTTGCCTGACGAAGAGCTTCAAATGTGTGGGTAGCACATGGTTTAGCATCAAGTGGCATTTCATCAATTGCCTTTCGTACCTGTTATATGAATAAACGATGTCATTCATAAATCAAAAAAAAAAGTGTAAAAAATCATCAAACATTTTGCTTGCGTTTTAAAACATTGATATTATCTATAGGATCACAAAGATTCACTAACCATCCTCGCACTATTGTAGGTGTTGAAGTAGAGAAAGTCTTTGACAATACTGCCATATACAGAGCCTGCAATTTGGGTGAATGCTGGTCCAATCGGAAAGTTGGAAACAAATTTCTTTAAGAAAGTTTTAATTTTTGCTTTGTCTTCACTAGCAATACTACAGGAAACATCTATTACAGTGACCAAGTCGACTCCACAGACAGTTGTTGCAGTTTCGGCTAAGGATTAGAATATAAGTCTCATTAATGATTGAAGTACAGTAAATCCTGAGTTAGGGAACACATCTCTCTAGTGAACACCTATCGACAGTGAATGTTTTTTATTGGCAAAACCCTTTTCTTTCATTTACTCTGATGTCCTATAGTGAACACCTACCTACTGTGAACACTCAATCTTGGCAAAATCAATGGAATTATTCTGACTCTATTGACATTGATTCAGATATAAGATTTCTCACAGATTGTTTGCAACTGCTTAAGAGTGAAACAGTTTATGTTTATATTACCTGCCAAAAATAATTAAAATGTTAATTTGAGATGTTGATCTCCTCCTCTGTTGAAACAGGTGTGACAAATTTTAATTCTTAATAAGTTTTATAAAACATGATATGTGTCTAGCTTTGATTGCTTTTGAGATAATCTGGTGATTATCTTTTATTACCTGCAAAATCCAAACTTAATCTTGTTCTCGTCCCCATCAATTTAAAAATCAGATTGGATTAAGATTATCATTATCACCCTTTGACTCTATTATGTCTAATTTATTCAATAAATTCCTTTAACTGACTCAGATGTGTCAAGGATTCTACTATTTAAAGGATCATCTTGATGAGATTATAAAGAATTATAAAGAGATTAACATTTGACAATAAAAGGATGAACCATTCAGATGACAGTCAGTCTAAAATAAGTCTTTTGATATAACGCAACAACAACAAAACAAAAACTTATCGTGGATTATCATGAGTAGAAAATACAAAGTAAAGTGACTATTCCCTCCTCTCTTTTAGCCTTGTTTAATAATTGTTTATATAATATAGCAAAATGCCTCAAAATCAAATTCTTGCTGTAGTGAACACCTACAAACAGTGAACGTTTTTTTTCTTGGCAAAAATAATGTTCACTATACACAGGTTTTACTGTACATGTTTTTGTTCACTGGCAAAGAAGGCTCCATGATTACCATAGCTGAAGCAATAATTTGATGCATTCAGCTTAAGGAATATAGATTTTATGATAACATACATTTTAAAAATATTCACAGTTTTTCAAACTAAAAGTCCTTCAAATATAACATTTTCAAGTTGGATAAGAATGAGAGTCATGTATTATAATCTGATAATAAAGGAAAGAAATATTTAAAAGCTTAACAGTTATCCCAGAGTTTACTTTACTGTAGAAATAGATAGCAAAAGATCACTTAAAATCTAGCCTTTCCCAATGGCCATGATGATATCATGGCCATTACGCATACCTATATTTATAATGACGCAGCAAACTGCGATAAACTATGCACCTACCCTATCTTTGAATGCTCCGAAATCACTCTGCTACGTTTTTAGTGAAGTATTTTGGTATTTCATGAGTAATTAGGAGATTTTTGTCAAAAATTTGGAACTAATTTTGAAAATTAAAATTCTCTTTATGCGCATGCGCGGTAGTGGTGCAACTCACAAGAAAAATGCTACTCGAGTAGAAAGTGTGAAAATGCCACTGTAATGGAGGACCACTCGCACAAATTAGGGAAAAATTAAAAAAAAAAAAAAACTCACCTAGTCGACTGTTTGAAGACCAAATAGATACAATTTCTTCGTTTCTTCTATATGTTATTGATGTTATATATAGTTTGTATCAATTTAGTGAGAATAAATGTAGTTATTCATGCCATAATTGTGTTTGTTTGTTTGTTTTTAAATATTTTCATTTTGTTTCCGGAATCGATACTTTGTTTCGTTCAGTGCATCCAAAAATGATCATTCCCGGGGTATGAGATCGTTGTTTGGGAATTCAATGCCTACTCGAGTTTGAAAAAACGTACTCGAGTAACTATCTTGGACAGGTTCAACGAGTGAGTGGCGAGTACTGGCATTCGAGTTGCACCACTAATGCGCGGGTGCGCGTGTCAAACTTATCAAAATCTTATTATAATAATTTCGTTTCTTGGTGTTCATATAGATTTGCAGAATGACCAGACAAACTAAAATTTCTAAGTTGATATTGCTTCGACATTATACTTATAGAATGAAGGATTTACGATAATTAAGAACTCAAGAATTACAATTTCAACTGTATAAATGAGACAGGAAAGAAGTGGGCTGGTCAAATAAAGGGTAGGTCTCCAACATCATAATTTTAACATTCACGAGTACAGAATTCCGCGACAATCTATTCAATGGTATGCGAGATATCCCTAGTAGGACTAGGGACATCTTGAAGTCTATTAAAATCACGCAAAATATATAATTCGTAATGTTAATAAATTAATTTTAAAAAAATAAATGAAAAAATTCGTAATTTACCTAAGAGTCAATAAATGACACACATTTTAATAAAATACAAAAATGTATGTTATTAATACATCATACCTACTCCTCTTTCTGATAGAGTTGATAAACATCCATTTTTTGGCTTCGTACATGGAAAGCTATTTGTTCTGCCAGCTTTATCAAACTGGCTCTCTAATATGCCCAACTTGTCCGGACATACTTGTGGTTTCCATTCATTACCCACACATTTATAGTATATACATTCATTAATTTCATCTGGTTTACCAGGGACTCCTGCTACTTGGTAACGGCCTTCTCTTGCTAAGCACCCTGTATAAGAAAAAATCAAGATATTTTCTCTTTAATCATTTTATTTAACCTAGGGTGTACAGTTTGTATATAGAGATTATCCTATATGAGGTTCAGGATATTGGGATTATCCCAAGGTCAATATAATATATTTGCCCGAGGGCCGCAGGTCCCGAGGGAAAATATATTATATTGACCAAGGGATAATCCCAATATCCTGAACCGACTATAGGATAATATGTTTATCCCATACCAATCTTGGTCATCTGGTTCACATTGTTCAATCGTGGAAATATTTTAGAATATTCATGTCCAGTTTTGTTTTCTTGGCTGTGGGCGGATTTTTCTGTTCTCTCAAATATTCCCACATATATTTTCTCGAATTTTTTAAGTGGATGCTCCTTCCCTATTTTAAACCATCAAACAGATTCCGATTGTCTGTGTTTTCTCCATTGTCGTTTACAGTCGTTACGCGAACGTTACAAATTATGAACAAATATGCGAGCGGCGATTATGACGTAGCGGGCAGATATACTATATCTGCCTGCTCGGAGCGGGACATAAAGCTATATCTGCCTGCTGATGAAAATATAAGTTTTTACAAACCGGCTTTATGTACCTGTAACACGTCCAAGTATGGGATAAACTATTATACCTCCTAGGGGTCTTGCAGAAAGTGATGTCATCAACTCTCAACTTCTATAACCTTGCCCATAACAGTATAGGAAAGTAGAACAAAATCACTTCTAGACAAGTGATCATTACTTTCTGTGCAAAAATATTTTCAGGGCTTGTCAACTTAGAATAAAAGAAGAGATTTTCAGAAGGATTAAATATACAAAGTTGAAAAATAATATTTAGCTGGTTTTGTAATTCTCAATAGCTCCTCACCTAATGCTATATGCAAAGTTGAGAGTCGATGACATCACTTCCTGTGTGAAATTTTAAAAGATGGCAGCTTACTGGAATTGAGCATCACATTTCTAAGTGATCAAATTTGACCATATCAAAACATTTTTGCGAGTTTTGCTAAATATGGCAAGCATATATATGGTTATAGCTACCATATGAGGAGAGAGATGGTTTGGCAAGGAATATTCCTTTAAGTTAACATTTGAATAGAGGAAGATAACTAATGTTCCTGGATATAAGAAGTGGATGTGTAGGAAATAATTAATAAAAGATAAAACCCAGAACCTACCAACGAAGTTGTCAGGTACATCAGCTTCCCTTCCACTAGGCGCCTTTATGCCTCTGTTCTTTGCTAAACATATTTATGTGAAATTATTATATGATGCAAGTATGTCAAATCAATTTTCAGTATTCTTATACAGCTGACAGTACCATGGTATAGAGCTTTAAAATGTTTTAATGCTCTCCTTGAAAGAGGGGAAATAAATGAAACAAAACATGAATTAGTGAATTTCTGAAAGACCATGAGTGAGTTTGATGAAAAATTTGTAATGCTCGTGTTTCTGTTAATTTCAGACTATACAGTACTGAGCAAAATTCATACAGGTAAATGCAAGAATAGTGTCTGAATTGCTATTATATCATTTGATTTTGGCTGAGTGAGCAAAATCTTTAAACTAATTATTCAAGATTGGCAAAATACATCATTTGAAGAGGTAGCAAACATAGTAAACTTGCATATTCACCTAGGTTACTAAGATCTGCATGTGCCAAAGTCCACATCCCAAGCAGGACTATTATTGTATGCATCAACATCATTATATTCTGAAAAAACTGATTGCAATAAATCTTTTAAATTTCACTAATTGTGTTAATTATTCATAATTGTTTCTTATCTTTCACATTTCATTTTGCTAATATCATATGTGGCTAAAGCCAATTTTGGGGAAGCCCTTTTTAAAGGAATTTGAGGCATCTAATAGGTGTACTCTGAAACAAAAGAAACATGGAAGATCACAAGTTTTACCAACCAAGGAGACTATTTAACTTGATAAGAAACCTTTTCTAAAAAAATCAGCCAAGAAGTAGAAGTCGAGACTACAAAACAAACAATAGCTATACCTAGTTCTTGTTTTTTCAATTGTGAAAGATAAAACATGAACAAGAGACTATTTTTCTGATTTTGATTAATTGCACTTTTGTACTCAACCATACTTACTTATTATGTCATATTATAACATATTTCATATTTCACTATACCGCCCTTAGAAATGACGTTATTGTACTATTGTTATGGTCTCCGTTTTTTTTTTACGGCGGTTGGTGGTTGGTGTCTGTAACAAATTCTTACAACTTCCAATAACTTAACAAATACTTTCTAGACTGACTTAATTTTTTTCAAAATCATCTACAAGATTTTAGAAGATCTAGAAGATTTTACCTTCAGTGACTTTTTCAAGTTCAAAAAAGTCTTTTTTCAACTTGCTTCAAGTCAACCAATTTTTTTTTCCAAAATTATCTGCAAGTTTACATCTGATTTTAGATTTGACATTCAATGACCTTTTCAAAGTCAAAACATGTCAAAAAGGTCTTTTTTCAACTTGCTTCAAATTGACCGATTGTTTTCAAAATCATCGACAAGTTCTCAAAAGTTCAAATCTGATTATAGATTTGACCTTCAGTGACATTCTCAAGGTCAAAAAAAGATTTGACTTTCAATGACCTCTCAAGGTCAAAAAGGTCTTTTTTCATCTTGCTTGAAATTAACCGATTTTTTTTCTTAGTTCTTAGAAGTTCTTAGAAGTTCAAATCTGACTTTAGATTTGAGATTTCACCTTCAATGACCATCTCAGGGTCAAAAAGTTTTTTTTTCAACTTGTGTCAAATTGACCAATTTTTTTCCAAAATCATCTACAAGTTCTCAGATATTCAAATCTGACTAAAGATTGAACTCATGATATTATGAGCAACTAGGTGGTGACATTTTGTAATGTTAAAGCCTTGTTTATGAATAGCGTGTAAGTGTAAGGTAAGTTGTTTTTGCTGATTATATGGAAATATGTGTGTACAACTGCCATCAGGAAATTCATATGTATTCATTCAAATTCACATCCCTGTATCTGGGACATGTTCCCCAATATTAGACATATACTCTAAAATGTCACTGCCCACCATGATCCATTAGTGCCATGTGAATATTCAAAGTATGAAAAAGGGGTCCAAACATCTTTGAACCTGCAAACGTCGAAATTGAAGAAATCCCAAAACAAGGTTATGTATAAGTAAACATTTTGACTTGATCTCATACAGAGTTACAGGCAATAAGCCCTTATCATAGTACGCTCTTATAATAGAATACTGTCTCAAAGACTAAATGGTATATAGTACTCAGTCCATCATTGTAGTGCTCTCAAATGAAGCACTCAATATTTTTTTAGTACTCTCTTATATAACAGCCTGTCCAATATTGTTCTACTGTCTAATATTAAGTGCTGTCTATCTAATCTTTAACATATAAAATCAAACATAATACTTACCTTATTGATGGTATCTAGCAAGAAGATAAAATAGAAGACAATGACGATGTCTATTTATTTATATATTTCCCTTAATTAAGTGTATAATAGGATATTTTATTTATGTGTTATTTAATTATTTAATGGACAGATAATTTCAGAACTCTTATTGAGGATGATTACTTTATGTTATTGAAATAGACATGGTAACAATTATTCTATTGTATATAATATATATATAAATGTTGAATTAATGTTTTATCAGCAGTAAAGAGAATTGAAAATGTGTAGATTAACTGTTACAATTAATTCAAATGATTTAGATTTTATCTCGTATATACAGTTTAAAACTTGGGGTAATTTCTTTTGGGGATTCAACTGTAATTTTGTATTTTTGTTTACTAAACCAATTCTTTGAAATTAATATTATAGTTATTGATTATTTCCATTTTACCAAGTCCTTGTACTTGAACATCTGTGTGTGGTAATATAATGATGATGGGTTTAAGTGAAGCTTTGGAGTCAGTGATAACCATAAGAAATTTAAGAAGTTTTTTAAAGGTAAACTTGATGCATCAAACGAGGGCAAAAAAGTCCATATTCCTACTTGAAATGAAATGAAATTAGTGAACTTAAACATCCTTTTGCTAAATGTGAAGAGTATTCATTAAATAATTGATGAATCAACCTTCATACTTTCTAATTCTCAGAACCGTTACTGGCAACGAACTCAATTTAACCTGGGTGGCACAAGAATAAAAAAATAACATCACATACCTACCTTTGTTTGACCAAACACAAATTTCTAAATTGGGAAACTCACATAAAAACTCGAGTAAAAAACATACAGCACATCATTGATTACTCTTGCATCCTTTAGGATAACTGTTCTTACTGACAAAGTCACCACCTTAATGGTATCCAACGCCAATCAGCGTAAGCATGTACCTGACCCAATATAGAAACTAACATAGGTGAAATTCTTAAAGAGCTTGGATTGGACAAACTAACTGAGCAATGAAAAGAATAGTTGTGTATAAAATAATGAATGGAAGTCAGCCTTAATACCTCAAAAGACCAACTCATTCTTACACTTGCCATTTTCTCCTAAAACATGGAACTCTCTCGCAGATTGGACTCTTCAAAGATGACTACAAAAAGCCATATGATACCATCTCTAATATTATGTAATCATTTAGAGAGGAAAGCCCCTGGACTGGCCTGGATAAGCACAATGCTTCTGGGCAATCCTCCGAAGATAAGTAAATTTTACGTAAAAAATAAATACATGTATAGTACTTCTTGTGGATAGAATATGATTTTCAGATACAAATTCCCAGGAATTTTCAAAGGCTCTCTATAAAGTTTAAACCACTTCGGCTTATGTTCTTGTCCTGCCCAATGTTATCAAAATGGACTATGTGAAACTATTCAATTTAGATTCAACAGGTTGATTTTGAACAACTTTTTGTTCAAAAAATAATTCAAATAGAATTTTAGTTGTCACCCACAGAGAGTACATTGTTAAGTAATAATTCAAACCGATGCGTAACATACATCTTATCAATCTTATCATATTTTTGAAAAAAAAATAAGAAAATTGGTCGAAAAATAAGCAAGAAATTAATTAGTAAGCACAGAAAAGCAATTCAGAGAAAAAAGGCCATAAAATTTTAGTTCTCTTGAATCCAATAGTACATACGAAAATAAATAAAATAAATAAAAAATAAATATATAAAATGTGATAAACATTATTTTTTACCTAGATGGCCAACAAAATTGCTATATTTTGAAAGAAAAAATGTAAATTTTTAATTTTTGAAAAATATTTTGTCACCTGAGTGACATCACAGCTTATCATCATGACATCACAACTGTTTTTAAATGCTTTAAAAGTCTATATATACATAAATCATAGATTGAATGGTTGAAATTATATGACATTTGCCTGATCTGTCCACTAGGACCTCCACTGGTTAGCAAATATGTTAACTATTTACATAAAACATGTTTCTAGTAGGAACATACTAGTAGAGTGTTAATACTTACATACAATATATATTTCTTTTTCATGGAAGTAAAAAGGAATTTTTACAAAAAATTACCTATTTGTTATGTAAATAATATTAAAGCATAGTTTCATAACACTTTATGCTTTATTCTCATTCCAACAAAATGTTCTCTCATCTATGTACAATTAAATTATACGGATTCTATGTTCCTTACCTTGTTCATTCTTCCTAACTTCTGATAATTATGTGAAATAATTACAACCAATGTACCTTTTTATGGAATTTCGTTCATGTTAATTATAATACTTTGCATAAAACAGAGGTAAACATCACAATTAAAAATAAACATATAACTAAGATAAGGCCAGAAGATCCCTTAAAGGTGTATATATCCAAATGTTTTCTATTTGTTTAGCTAAAACAGTTTATATACTATTGATTTTTTATTAGTTATTTTATAAGTATAACTGGCCTAAGTTTTGCATTTTGATGGATCTAAACATAAAGGGTAAAGCAAATTTTTGCAAAGTTTTCCTTTAAAAAGGGAGAATATTTAAGTATAATATGAATTAACTTATTACGAATTAGCATTAAATAGAGCTTTTTTTAAGCAGGAAGTCATGCATTTAATAAGCACTAAAACTTTACTATTTTTCTGGCAATAAAATAAAAGGTAAACTCATCATTATATGCAAGTCTATTAGTAATAAAAATAAGGTACAATCAGTTGCAAGATTTTTTGGGATGTTATTGTTTTTAATACATTGTTTTCACTCAACCATGATATTGATAAACATATCTCTTGATGAATATATTATATTATCTGCCACTATGATTAATTCTATTGCTTGCTGAAATTGCCTTTTTATGTCAAAACCACAAAGTGTTGGGCAATATTGCCAGGTGCACTTTTATCTGTCTGTCTGTCCATCTGTCTGTCTGTCCGTCCATCTGTTTGTACATTTGACAGTTATCTCCAACATTGCTTTCTTCAAATTTTGCCTAGATGTTAGGCTTTTTACTGATGTGCCATAAAAAGTATCTATTCGCTACCTAGTTTCTGGCAGCCATTTAGAAGACAAATGCTAAAATCCTTGTGTGCAACAGGCCACATCTTGAGGTTTTTCTCCCAGACAGTCGGTGATGTTCCATTCTAAATGCTTAGATTCTATTCAACTATATCTTACATACATTATTAATATATTGAGACCAACTCTTGAGCACAGTATTCTTGATGTATTGAGAAAATCAACAGATCAACCAACTGTCAGATAAAACGCAATCATTCAAGAGTTTCATCTCTATTTTAAAACTCTTGAAATTAAAAAATACACAGTAGAACCTGTGTAAGTGGAACTAACATAACCAGTAATGTGTAACTGTTGTGGTTTAAAAGAAAACTAAGATAAAAAGATAATTATCTCTGTCGGGATTCCAACCCAGAAACTGCTGGGACATCATTCAGTTTGAAGGTTGACGCGCTACTGACTGAACTGTGAAAGTCGGGTTGAAAGTAGGATCATACTATTTGAAAATGTTCAATTTTACTACTAATATATTGAATCCCTATTGGAAAGCCATTCATCCGTCTGTCCGTCCATTTGTCCATCTGTCTGGATGATAACTCAAATTCCGGCTGGCATCTGCTCGAGAAGCAATTTTCAATAAAGCCGCTCAATTCAAAATGGCCACCATTTTTCGTAAAAAAAGTTAATCTTTCGTAACTCAACTACTATACTATGCTGATGTCTTAAGTCAAAGGAGCTTTGCTGAAGAAAATATTTTTAAGATGGCCACTGATTTTCAAAGGTGGCACCTAGATGGCCACTATTTATTAAAACATTTTTTGTTCGGTGGGATTTGCTACTCTTTGGAATTGCTGTTTTCTAGTTAAACCTTCTTACGGATCTGAAATACTAAATCCCGAAGCACAATGGTATATATTTATAAAGGTTTAACAAAGTAGAGTGTGTAAGACCTTCATTGATGCCACACCCTTCATTCTTGAAAAATAGACCAATTTACGAAATTGGCCGAGTTGGGAGTCATGTAACTGTAAATCTAAAAAAAATGCAGAACATTCAACATGCAATAAAAGCTTGGGCAATATCATTGGAAGAAGCATTTCTGCTTGAAAAAAACTTCTTTCAGCAGAAATAAGTGATTTTTCAATTGATATTGGTTGGCTTTAATTAAATTTAATCTGGCAAGAAATTCAATCCTTAAGACATATGCTCCAATATTCAGAGAAAATCAACATTGTGACAATTTCTATGTCACCCCAAAAAGTGGTGACATATTGTTACAGTCTCACTTTTTTGTGATGGCTGTTGGTGTCAGGCAGGTGTGGTGGTTGGCATCTGTAACAAATTCTCACAACTTACAAAAACGTAACAAATACTGTTTAGACCTTCTTCAGTTTTTTCAAAATCATCTCTAAAGTCTCATAAGTTTAAATCTGACTCTAGATTTGAGATTTGACCTTCTCAAGGCCAACATAGGTCAAAAAGGTCTTTTTCAACTTGTTTCAAATTGTTTTTTCTCAAAATCATCTACAAGTTCTCAGAAGTTCAAATCTAATTGAACTCATGATATTGTAAGCAACAAGCTTTTGACATTTCGTTTTGTTAATATTTGGAGCCACAATGTAATTATTTACCATTTGCATTTACTCTTTAAAATAACACACTGAATATCAATATTAATGCACTCATGTTTATTGCAAATCAAAGATGGAAAATCAAAAATACAGTTAATTGCAAAAAAGGTTGAAAAGTCATTTTCGTTCCCCTCATTTCATACATATTCATCACTTATACTCGATTGACAGGCTGACATGTCTTTCTTGCAATGTTGTTGATGTTTTTTTCCAGATCATCAAAATTCTGAAGGTCAAGCCTCATCGCTCTATCAGGTTGTATTGCTGAAAACTCCTCTTCACGCAATCTATTTCTTTCTTTCTCAGACATTTTCTTTTCTTCTTCTGGACTATTTGGCAAAGTAACCAGAATTAGAGCACATGCTTTGCGTATGTTATTAGCTTCTCGAATAGTCTCAGATTTCTTCTCTGGGGGATGAGTAAATCCATCAGTCATCAACATTACACAACACTAAAATCAAATACATATTTATCTGATATCAAAATTTTCAGACATGAAATTCTTAAAAGATGGTTTGGGGAATGATTTTTAATTTAAAGTCATATCTCTGACCATGTCTACATTCTGCCCATAAATACAACTTTTTTCATTATAATAATATGTTTTTCAGGATAATAAAAATACCAATTTAACTCTAAAAAACATTGTTAAGGACCCCATCTTGACACATCTTTCAAAATGTCCGACTTTTTTCTTGGAGAAAACTACCGTCACTTCTGTAACAACCAAAATTATTGAAGTTTTGTATAGTAGAAAATAAATAATCTAACTGTACATCACGTTTATCTGCGCCTGTATTACGTCTTCCCTTTTCTTCAGTCAAATGAACCTCTCTTGCCTGCCGAAGAGCTTCAAATGTGTGGGTAGCACATGGTTTTGCATCAAGTGGCATTTCATCAATTGCCTTTCGCACCTGTTATATGAATAAATTATGTGATTCATAAATCAGTGTAAAATATCTCCAAACATTTTGCCTGTGATATACATTGATATTATCTATATGATCACAAAGATTCACTAACCATCCTCGCACTATTGTAGGTGTTGAAGTAGAGAAAGTCTTTGACAACACTACCATATACAGAACCTGCAATTTGGGTGAATGCTGGTCCAATAGGAAAGTTGGAAACGAATTTCTTTAAGAAAGTTTTAATTTTTCCCTTGTCACCGTCAGAAACGCTACAGGAGACATCTACTACAGTGACCAAGTCCACTCCACAAACATTTGTAGCAGTATCGGCTAAGAATTAGAATATAAGGAATATAATATAAGTTTGAAGTATGTTTAATTACACATCCCTTCTATGGTTAAGGTACAGGTATATGTTCTTATAATGAATTCAAATGACAAAGAGAAACTTTAATATTTTGATCTAAGATCATTTTATTTTGAAAGGAGTTCACCGATTACATATATTTCAGCTTCAATGTTGCGTGACATCAAAAAGTTCACTTGAAATCAGTGTGTGTGTAACTTTTTCAATCACTCATTTTGAGTTATGGGAGTATATTTCAGCTTCAATGTTGCGTGACATCAAAAAGTTCACTTGAAATCAGTGTGTGTGTAACTTTTTCAATCACTCATTTTGAGTTATTGGAGTATGTAACTAAATCATGAAATATCCCAATACAATGTTTTTTTTGTTGTTTTTTTACATCCCACACTCATGGGACTTGTCCCATCATCGGGAAATTCAAATATACATGTAATTAACTTTAAATGGCCTAAGCCTGATTTATGATTATGCACTCGCAAAATATGACGTCATGTTATAGCAAAGGAGCAATAATTTGACACAATCAGCTTTAAGACATATGAGTCTCATGATATCATACATTTTAAAAATATTCATCATTTTTCCAACAAAAAATAAAAAAACTTTGCCATATGTAACATTTAGATAACAAATGAAATAAATATTGAATAGTTTAACAGTGATTGAGGAGTAACTTCACTGTAAAAATAAATAGCCAGAGATGTCATTTATGATACCTTTTAGGCAATATACATTTAAAAATACAATAATTGAAGATTCAACATTTTATTTTCGTCCATCTTACCTACTCCCCTATCAGATAGAGATGATAAACATTGACTTGATGGCTTCACACATGGAAAGCTATTTGATCTGCCAGCTTTATCAAACTGGCTCTCTAATATGCCCAACCTGTCCTGACATACTTTTGGTTCCCATTCATTTCCGACACATTCATAGTACATGCATTCATTAATTTCATCTGGACTACCAGGGACTCCAGCTACTTGGTACTGGCCTTCTCGTGCCATGCACCCTGAATAACAAAACATATTTTGTGTAACTGGTTTGAGGATGTAAAGTGATGATACAAAGGAATATTTGATTAAAGATAAAGCCTATATTTATATTTTGAATATATATTGATCTATTGTTATGGTGAATCAATTTATAAATACCTGTCTACATACATATATCATAATGTGATTTGAATATGAGATTCTGCTTTTATGAACCTACCTACAAAGTTGTCAGGAACATCAGCCTGATTGCCAGTAGTTATTTTTTTCCCTCTTTGGGCCGCTAAACAGATTTATAAAGAATCATTACATACTTGTTCATCAATTAGAACTAGAACTTACACAAGGACTAAGATTCCTTTCATATCCTAGAGGAGGAATGACAGGTTTTAGTTTAGAGTACAGTCTCCTGCGCTAATAATTATTTTTATGAAAAATATAGAAATGTCACCTAAATTAAAAGAGGACATTTAAATCTACAAGATGTAAAAATATCAAAATTTTCTGTTGCGGCCGTCACATTCAGTACTGATTCAATAAGAGACAAGTCTCGATTTGGAGAAAGAAGTTCATCAGTGTACTGTGCTAATAATTTTTTTTTATGAAAAATATAGAAATATCATCCAAATTAAAGTATGGATATTCAAAATAGGACATTTAAATCTACAATATTCAAAATTGTCCTAAGCAGTCGAAATGTTGAGACCTGCGCAGAGCTCTATTTAGTGATATTTTCATTTCAAATATGGCGGCCAATCCGATGTCTGACGACCCTTACAAAGAATCTAGGCAGTGTGCATTTTTACCTCCTGTGAAATAACAAGTGGAATTTAGTAGTTGTTTTGTGTTTTATTATCATTCTGCATCGTAATTCTATGTGATGTGGTGTTGAAATGTCAGCAGAAATACATATCCATACGATAATCGAGTGAATCAGATAACAGATTTTTCGAAAACCCGTCTCGTGCTAAGAGTGTAAAAACTTGTATTAACATGCTCAAAAGTGCAAATGTGCACATCAATGTCAAGCTAAATCAATGTTGTGTCTAAAACAGGTACCTGATCTACTCAAAACAGCTTGTCATTCACGTATACACGCTTAGCAAACACGGCGAAATGATCTGAATCTTGGAATTTCGTTCGAGAGCTAGTAATGTTTGCTCCGGTCTTCGTCATAAGTGTTCATCAGACTTCACGCATGCTCATGAGAAAAACCATCAACCAATAACGTTTATAAATCAATTTTGCGCATGCGCCTTACAACTGTAAAGAAATTCGTATTTATAAACGAACCAATTTGAGATAACCCGATATCAGTCGGAGAAATCTGACGATCTACAAAACTCACTTCAAAAAATCAAATGTGGACTGACGGCGTATTCTACTATGTTTGGATCTAAGATTTTCAGTATCGATAAAGTCTTTCATGATCTTTCGAATGAGGTAAGTCTCTAGTTCGAAAGACAATCGTATCAACTTGAACAAAAGTTGAGTTTTGACGAAATTTTTTTACATGCACAGAGAAGTCCCATTTTCGTTGTACCATATTGACTGTAAGCAGGGGTAACATATAGTAGATTGATGAACTTCGTTCTCCAAACCGAGACTAGCCTTTTCTAATGTAATATCATGTCATTTATCCCGTGCCCACGGGATAACATGTCATGCTTTAGGTATAGATTTTTCAAAAATGAGACCAACTACTACTGTCGTCTTGAAATGTTTGAGACAATTAGTGATTTGATAGAATATTGTTTGTTTCATGGGATTTGTTTTCCTTGTTAATTTTATTTTTAATTTAAAATTAACATTAAAAATCTTAAATTTTTCATGAAATAATCATGTTAAATAATTCCAGTGATATGTTTTATTCTTTTCTATCACAATTAGAAAGCTACAAAAATGGTGGGATCCTCATACGAGGGGTGATCAATAAGTAATGGACGCTTTTTTACACAGATGCTTTTTATAGACCAATTCCTTCGATTTTCTTACCAGTGATACATCATTCAATTATCTCTGAAGATTTGAAAACAAAACATGTAATATCTTTCGATATATCTTTATTTCTGTGAAGGATGTATGGGTACCCCGGGACCGACATTTACGTCAAACATTCTGAAGCTATTTTAGCTTGTTTAACATGCAATGCAGTTGAATGCAGGCTGAACAAAACAAACCATTATGGTCATGAATTACCCCATTTTGTTATGCCATAGTTGATTTTGAATATTTTATCATCACTATGTGGTATTCATGCCACATTCATTCCACAGAGCCCTCTACATAGGTTCCATCAAGTGCTACATGTACACAATTCCTCATCCTCTTAATTCAAGATTGTGAGACAAGGCTGAATCCATTCTCTGACATGGTAGCAAGATGCAGTTGCACGGGTTGTTTTATTTCATCAATATCAATAAACATGCATCCTTTCTCTATAGAAATAAGTAGTATTGAAATAAATAAGTCACATGTGAGCAGATCTGGACAATACGGTGCATTGGCCAAGGGCTCAATTTTGAGGTCCAGGGATATTGTTTTCTGAACATTTTGAGATCTGTGGGCAGGTGCAATGTCCATATGGAGTAGGGTGTTCCCTTCTCTCACCACCCCTTTCTTCCACAATGCTTTCTCAAATTGACCTGCAAACCCCTTCCATACAACACTCTGACATCACAACACTTTCTGTTTATGTGTTGACCAGTCAGCAAAGTATTTCAAACAACACAACAAATGTTGCATAGGAAAAGTTAAAATCTAACTGAAAGGACGATTCTCGGTTTGGAGAACGAAGTTCATCAATATAAATGAGCATTATCCCTGCTTCGGACAAATTTGATTTTTTTACATAATATAGATTTAAATGTCTTCTTTCGAATAGTCATAATTTAATTTGGGTAATATTTCTAGATTTTTTGCAAAAAAATATTAGCGCAGTACACTGATGAACTTTTTTCCCCAAATCGAGACTTGTATTTTATTGAATCGGTCTAATTGAGCATTATCCCTGCTTCAGACCAATTTGTTATTTTTACATCTTGTAGATTTAAATGTCCTATTTTGAATATTCATAGTTTAATTTGGGTAATATTTCTATATTTTTCATGAAAAAAATTATTAGCCCGGGAGACTGTTCTCCAAACCGAGAATCGTCCTTTGCCAAACTGGCTGAAAACTGAATATGTGACGTAAATGTCGGTCCCGGGGTACCTGTACCTCCTTCAAGGAAATAAAGATATATCAACATGTATTTTATATTTTGTCTTCAAATCCTCAGAAATGATAGATAATTGAATGATGTATCACTGGTAGGAAAATCAAAGGGATTGGTCTATAAAAAGTATCTGTGTAAAAAAGCGTCCATTACTTATTGATCACCCCTCGTATTAGACAAATTGACTCATCTCATCCATTGAACAGAACTTTGTTAATCACACGCAAGTAAATGTAGTTACAAATGCATGCAGAGGCACATAAAGTTTTGGCTCTCATTATGCAAAAATTAATTATTCAAGTTTGGCAAAAATACACCCTTTGCAGAGATAGCTTAAATGATAAATTGTATTATTGAATTACCCAAATCCCTAAGACCTGCATGTGCAACAGCCCACATGCCAAGCAGGACTATTATCGTGTGCATCAACATCATTAAATTCTGGAAGAACATAAATGGAATATATCAACTAAATTCTTTGCATGGTCACTAGATTACCAAGATATAGAAAATGTCTATATTTTCTTATATGATTTTTTAGAAAACTCATCTGACACTAACTTTTGATCCTCATTAGAACAAAATACATACATGTATATATATAATGTCATCTCAATATCGTAGTTATACAAGGAAAGTTGGGTTGATTGAAAAGAAAAAAACTATTTTAGGAGATATTTGTTTATTTATTTTTAGATACTTCTTTTAATTTTTTCGATAATTAATTTAAGTCGAGTTTAGTAACCAAATCATAAGTTTAGAGGCAAAACCGAATAATAGGTCAACTCTGAAATATATAATCTAAACTGATACTTTTTATTCTTCCAACAAAAACTATGTTTTCTTATCCAAGTAAAATTAAAATTATACAAATACTATTGTTTCCTTACCTTGTATAATCTTTACAACTTCTGGTTACTGTGTGGAATTATTGTACCCAATATATCTATTTATAGGAATTTTTCTTTCTTGTTGATTATAATACTGTGCTTACAGAGAGATAATATAGTAATTAATAATTAACATGTACTGTATGCTCACATTTATCTTAAATAAAGATTGTGTCAGAGTACCATGCTTCAATAGATATGTGAGATAGGACTGGGGGTCCTCTTAAAGGAGTAGTATGTTCAATTTTTTCTATTTTTTGCAATCTTTAAACAGTCTATACATTACTCAATAGTCATTGTCACTTTTTGTGGATTTTAAAATAATTTTTAAAGTGATATAAAGAAAACTTAGGAAACCTGTATACTACAACAGGACAAAATTCACCAAAACAATCTGTATAATTGATTCAATCCTAAATTCACTAAAAAATTATAACACAACATTAACCTCCATCTGTACTCTATCTCTAAATTCATATGCTCTCTTAAGGATGATATCTTATATTTTCTCCTGTATGGGGCTAAAATGTGCTGTTTGAGCAGCCATTTTGATTCAAAATTAGGTCAATGTGACATTTTCTATTTGATCATTGTAAGTATGAGATACCTAAAATCTACATCAGAAAAAAATTATTGCACTATTATTATTAATTATTACACATTACATTAGCTAGTATTTGGACCTGCTCAATTTGGTCATAATATTTTAGCTTGCATTTATGTTTTAATAGATGCAACCTGTTGGAAGATTTTTTTGGACATTTTTGTTTGTTATCTATTGTACTACATATTTTCAATCAACCATGACATTGATAACCACATCTTTTTATGAATATGTTATATTATTTACTAACATCTGTCATCATTATCCTGTTGCCTGTTGAAATTGCCTTTTTTGTTATCAAGTTGAAATCTTCCTGACATGTTAAGGTTGAAGCAATCTAATTCTTCAATATTTCAATGTCCGTTGCAAAATGTAATTAATTTCGTTAGGTCTTAAAGATGCAACAATTATTGCAGAGGGGCCATTCAACAATCATGGACCAGTGTCAAAATATATTTAAGTTTGGATATTTCATCAAGACTAACATCTATTTTTATTATCTACAAAGAAACCCCCTAGATAAACATTATTTCAGCTGATATTCCTCTTGAAACATGGTGGATCTTAAAAATATAAAAAGTAGATTTCCCCTTTTTGAAGCTTTGAACTGAATTTACACTTCTTAATGCTGGAATTGATAGTTTATCCATACATTTTAAGAAAATAGGTATGTCAAAGAAGATGTTAAGCCAAATGTTGCCTTGATAGCTTAGTAAAAGTTAAAATTTTCCTATTTTCTCTCTACAGGCCTTGTTGCCCATATAATTTCTTTTTTTAATGGACATTGAAATATTGACCCAGTCCCAAATATATAAATAAGACTCAATAAAAATACATTCAAAGTTAGGGCATTGTTAATTAACCCTGTGTCTTGGTAAAAAATTCATAGAATTTATTGTAGGAACAAATAAAGATCGAGAGAAATATGTATCTTTTAAAAAAAAGTTTGATCATTTAAAGAAAATATGGGAGGAAAAACAGAGGAACTGGGTAGGTTATTACAAATCATTTAAAAACTATATTGAAAGCCCATGCTAGAAAGGAAACATATATTCTGATGATGAATGTTTTAACTTTCTTAACATTGTATTGACATGTATAGATTGAACAATTTTTTAAATTTTTTTATGTGAGATATTTAGGAAGGTTTTCATTGGATTGGAAAAAGCATGTAACTGCGCTATTGAACTTTTCAATAAAAAATTCTTGTGTGCCGACAATTAGTTTGTAACTATTGAAGGCTACATTCACAACACATAAGCCTTTAAGTCAATCTGCATGTCATTCATACTCATTTGCTTTTCTTAATCAGTGTAAAAAGTTCTTTATGGCATTCTTTATCTTATCTATATAATTTATAGTGATTAAAAAGATTTTATTTATTAATCTGATATATTTTTTATGTATTTTTACAATTAAAATCTTCAAAGCTGGAAACATGAAAGGTTGACCAAGTCTTCTATCAGCGTTTCAAGATCATCAAATGTGCTCAAAGAATATCTATCTTTTGTCTTATCGGTTGGTATTTCAGAAAATTCACGTTCTGCCAGTCGTTTTCTCTCCTGTTGCTGTTTCAGTGATCCTTGATGAAGAGAAGCATTGGGAAGTTCTATAAGGATCACTTTATCTGTGACCTTATGAAGCAATCTAGCTTGTTCAACTGTCTTCATCCATTCCTCTGGTGGATTTGTCCTCCCATCTGTCATCACAACAACAATATCCTGAATTGAGAAGGAAATAAAAACCAGTTAAAACGAACCTCTAAAGATATACTGGAGAATTTTGAAATAATCTTGCTTTCAGTTGCTGTGACACCAAATGTCCTACAGTGCCTCTCCTCCTTCAAAAAATGAAGACAGGGAGTCCAGAGAAAGTGTTGATAATCGTGGTCAAATATGTTTTTATTGTTTCTGGTGCTCTACTTTATATTTTGCTGATGCTTTGTACATAGCTTGTTGAAAATATTTTTTTCTTTGTATTTGTGATAGTACAGGGTGTTTCAGAAAACATCCAATGCATATCTTTTTTACTAATAGACCTTGGTTGCATAAGTAGAGTTGGTTCAGTGTTCTTTGAGTTGAGCAAGTTTTATCATGTGTGTTTGTCCCATTTGCGTGAAATGAACTAGCATTACATACCAATATCAAAGCTACCACCTATTCCGCATACTTACTGCTATTTTATTTGAATTTTTTTCAAACTCATGTATTTCGCCTTTTAGTGTCACCTTTTTGACTGCAGATAAGTAAAGATGAATAGTCTATGGGTCACTTCATAGTAAGCTACCCCACCTATGGTTTATTTAGCCTAACAAAGCTACGTAGAAAGCATTTGGCGCATACTAATATGGTTATAGCTACCATATTAGGAGAGAAATGGTCTGGCAAGGAATGTCCTTTTAAGTTTGTTGAAGCTAATTGTAACTAGATATAGTTGATATTTTTTGGGGAATATCAATAGATTTGAAAATCTATGTACTTACTGCTCGATCTGGTCGATTTCCATTTTTCTCTGAGAGCTGTGATTCTCTAGCACTCTGTAGAGCCAGCCATGTTGCTGTGCCACATTCTTTCTTTGGTATCTTTGTCTTCATATGTCTCAGTGCATTCATGACCTTGAGAAAAATGACATTTTATTTTTGTGATATTAAAACAAAGGTGCAATTGTTAATAGCATTTTAAAATGATGTTGCATGCATAGAAGCATATGTGATCACTAATGTGATGAGTTCCTTAGTTTTGAAAACCTCATTATGACAAACCATGTTGATGATGTCATCTCATTTGTTATTAGTCGAGTTGAAAAACAATAAGATGTGATGAGTATCAAATTTTGCAATCCTACCGACTATAAATAGCTTTTGCATAAAATAATGCAAAATACTAGTCTCGGTTTGGAGAATGAAGTTCATCACTCTACTGCACGTTACGCCTGTTTTGGACAGTTTTGATAGTTTTACATATTGTTGATTTAAATGTCCTCTTTTGAATATCCATAATTTAATTTAGGTGATATTTCTATATTTTTCATAAAAAATTATTAGCCCAGGAGACTGTTCTCCAAACCGAGACTTGTCCTTTGTACTTACATTTTTTTGGTTATTGTAAGTGTTCATGAACAAAGTGTCATACACCGAACTTGCAAATGTCAAGGCACCAAACTGTGCAAAAGGTGGAAATGCTGGTATCCGTCTGGTAACTGCTGACACAAAGTTCTTTACTTTCATCTTATTTACTTCCGTTATAGAACAAGAAACATCAATCACCCAAATTATATCAGGACCACACCCACTCACTCTTATATTCTCTAGAATAAATAAAAATAAAGATCAGTGTACATGAACAATTACATGTTTCAAGCCAACAGTTTGATGAATTGATCTGCAATTTCAGTAGGGCTTCTTGTGATGAAACTCTACAACTGATTGGTTTTTGGTCATTCTTGGAAAATGTTAAGGGGCAATTCAGGATTGTCCGTCCGTTTTGTCTATAAAGTCTTAATATCTACATGTCTTCAGCCAACCGTCTCATGGATCAATCTGAAATTTTTAGAAATGTTTCTTGATATATAGATTGACAACTGATTAGAGTTGGGTGTTCTGGGTAAATTTTATTTGGCCATTTCAAACTTTCTGTCCTTAAAACTTAACCCTTTTTAGGGAATCTTTGGGATGCTTGCTGGTATGTGTCCATGTCTATGTGAGGAAACAAAAGGGAAACTCACCATTCAATTCTGACTTTATTCAACCCTAGATCTTTCAACTTCCTCTGGTTAACATTTTTGATAAATCCTGGAGTTTTTTAGAACAAGAAATGATAATACTGTCACAGCTCACCTACTCCTTTCTCTAACAAGGTATGCCGACATTTTCTCACAGTTCTTGTGCATGGATATGAGTTGGAGTAGCCTTTCTTAACGATCCTTCTCGATACACCTAGCCCGTCAGGACAGGACTTCAGAGTGTACTCTCGATTGTAGCATTCAAAGTACATGCATCTGTGTATAAGCGTTTTATTAACTTGATATGCAGCATATGGCCTGCCCATTGTCTTACAATCTAGATAAACATGTATATATTATTACCCGTAGGCAGACTCAGTCAAATTTCATGGGATGATACCTTGTGGGCATAGGACCTCTTAGACTATCTGCTCAAGAAAAAATATGACCACTAAATTCAAAATGGCCACCATATTATAAGAAAATAATCTTAAATAACTCAAATACCAGTTGTCAGATTCACAAAATAATGAATTCCCACATTCTAACGCCTATCTACAACAAACAGTTTTGGTCAGCATTGTGATTGTGCCACGTTACACGGGTTTTGTTGTGTATCTGAATTAATAATCTTCAATAGAAAATGCGTGCATATTGTTATGCAAATACCTACCCTGATCTATCATTGGTATATCTCTTGTTTTTGCTTTCTTCACCTCTAAAATAGCAATGCATCAGTTGATTACAATAAACATTGGTCACTTTATCTTACATACAGTTAATAATTTAGCTAAATGAAGTTTGCATAGGGATGTAGAGAATATTATAATCTCTCTATTTGTTCAGTCAGATTTGGCTGAAACTCTACAGGCTGATGCATTATAAGATATCTGTATGATTAGTATGTAATATATATAGATTACTGCTTGACCAATTTATATTTCAAATACTTAAACAGTACACTTTTTATAAGTATTATTTTCTAAAAGGAGTATTTACCCTTTTTAATCCATTTTGGCACTGTAAAAAAGAAAAGTTAATAGTCAAATTAAAAGTAAGATATTTTGAACAAGATTGCCATTCATAGATGGATTTTACATTTCTGTTATATGCCTTCTTATAAATAACTATAGAAACACTTTTTACAGAAAGGAAATAATTAATATCATCCATATCTATTTTATCATGACATGTATACTATTTTGAAACATAGTTAGATTTATTAAGAACTGATTTATAGCCCAATGTGTTAGGGTATAACAAATTGTTTGAAAACTTTATTTGTAAAATTGAACAACTTATGTTAATAATGAATACAATAAACATAAAGACGCTTACACAGGTCATTGTTGAGAAGACTTCCACTTATAATTGGGAAAAGGAGCATAGCTTGTATTATCTTTGGTGTTATTTGCATTGTTACACTTTTTGGTGCTTTGTGCTGTAGTTTTGTGGGTTCTATTTATTTCTGGAACAAAGTTACAAATCTATGTTATTCTGTAGCTAATAATTTATGTAGATATCCTAAACTATAGATCCTAGACCAATGTTTGGTATCAATTTAGAAAAAAAAACAGTTTAAAAAAATAAAGAATCTGAGAGACTGTCCTTTTAAGAGAAAATCAAATCTTGCAATCGTGAGCAAGCTGAACAATTCTTTTTAAAGTTAAAGGCACATTGTAACATGCAGCCGACAAAATTGTTCAAAATTTTTTTTTCAGGCTTTAGAGTTGACTTTGTGGTTTAAAATACCTTCTCTGATGATTCAATTTTCGAACTATGCATGCAGGTCCATTCGTCTGTTGAACCTTGAAAAGCCATATTTAGACTGAGGATTGAAAGGTGTTCACGTAACTTTACGACAACTTTCAGCTCATCTTTCATCTTTTTTTATCTTGCTCTAAATATGGCTTTCAAAAATCTTAAGAGATTCTACATGTTTTTCATAAAATAAATTATAAAATCTCGGTCTTTATTCCTTGAGTATGTCTATCGAAAATCATAGAATGTGTCTTTTAAAAATCCTAGGATATCCTCTGAATAATACAATAGGATTTATTTGTACTGATTCCCTTTAACCCTACTATCACACCAAACTAGTTTTCACTACGTTCTCGAAAACGGGCTTCAACTGTGTACGAACGGACTGGACGTATTTAGAACCGTTTGAGGTCTATTTACAAACTTCATCGAACGTACTCGAATGGGTAGGTCCCTTAGAACTTAGAACATGCTCAAAATGTTCTAGCGGTCGATACGTTCTAGAATTAGAACGAGTGACAACGTACTAACGACGAGCTGGACGTACTACGAACGGAACCGTCGTACTTCATTCCTACTAGGGACGTTTTAACAAAGAGTTGGACTGTTTGAGGACATATTGAGAACGAGGTAGAACTAATTGCAAACGGGTTTAAACTGTTTAAGAACATATTTAAGACTGCTTATGAACGAGTTAGCAAAAATATAGCTATCACACCAAAAAGGTTGCCACTGCGTTCTTCAAAACTGGTTTTAAACTGTGTGCGAACGGAATGAACGTAGCAGCAACTTTCTAAGGTCTATTTACGAACTTCATGAATGTTCTCAGACTGGAAGGTGATTTTAGAATTTTGAATCGATTCAAAATTCGATGACGACCATACCGTTCTGTAATCAGGTCATGATGACCTTCTAGACTTAGGGACGCGTTATACGACGTTGCACACCGACCTGGTGCGACCTGAACGAACTGAGAATGAGATGGACGTACTGAAGACTGTTTATGAACGAATTAGCTAATTATTTTATACATATTTCCCGACCACAGCCAGATTGAGCCCGTTTTACGACTTTTTCGTAGGACTGGCAAGAACGGGTAAGAACTAGTTTGGTGTGATAGGGGGGTAAGGGGCAAACATACATTCCAACATACAACTTTTATTAGCAGTAAAAATAGCAATGAAGTAAAGAAAATAGGATTACATTCTTCAAATGACATATGAAATGTTACTTTGATATAAGAATCCTGTCTCTACCAATCTTTAGATAATTTATCATGTCAGCAGATTCTTTTAATATGTTCCCCTCACTCGTCAATAGAAAATTTGTCTCTTGATGGTCGTTCATGTACTTAAAGTATCACATACGTATATGAATATGTATGACATATCGTCTAAATATTCCACTAATAAATAATTTTTTAATGTGCACTTACCTGCAACCTACTGTGTCAACCTTAGATGTGGTCACATTGATCATTTTATCATTATGACTTTTGTTATGTTTTATATGAAACAATTTCAACATTTACATTATTTTTCCTTTGGGATATTATTTAAGATATTATTTAAGATTGCAGTAATTATGAAATTGATTCATGGAATGTTATTTCTTATTTTTGTAAATTGACAAGAAAAATAATATCATCATTTATTCATCTGTATAGTTATATCACTATCTTTCCTTCTAAAAACAGCATGGTGTTGTCTTAAATGATGGCATAAATGTCAAAATAACACTTTTATTGACTTAATGTCGATATATTCAAAGTTATTCATCTTAAATTACAAAAAGATCTATGTCATTGTTTTGTACATTATGAAAACAAATAGACAGATGATGTCATACTATTTTATAGAACAAGATGAAATTATGTAGGGTAGAATAAACATATTTATCCCTTACTTTGACGTGTTTGACATACATAAAACAGGGTTGTAAAGAGTTGTATTTTCACGAAAATAATTATGTGCTTGAGAAATTATAGTGTATCTGAAGAATATACAAGGGTATGGGATAAGCAGATTATCCTATATTAGGTTCATATTAGGTTATATAAGATTTTGCGATTGGCCCATGGCCAATATTATTATCTGCCCTTGGGACATACATCCCTCAGGTGCAGAAGCACTTGTTGGCATAAGCTGCGCCCTCAAAACCCGGGTTTGCTGTTATCCAAATCCGCCTTTGCAAAAAATGTGAACGATTCATAAAATTGGTGTTTTTCGTGTTATTTTCAAGTTTTCAAACCTGGATTTAATCGCCTTTATTAGAAGGGTTCTTCGTTATTAACACTATATTATAAAAAAAATTCCTGACTGACACAACAGAAATTGTCGACACTGGAGGGTGGTAATAGCGTGTATTTTATTCAAATATTATCCATATTTATGAATAGAAATAAATATGTTTCATGTTCCTAATGTCAACTGGTCATAACTATTTTTAATATGTTTAACGTCTTGGTAGATACAAAATAACAGATATAAAATTGTAATTAAACGAGTTTTTATTTTTCCTACTTATTTAATTTGCAATGGCCTTAAAGTGTGCGCCAAAGTTTAAAACTGCGCAGGCGCACCGCTCTCGCTAAACTATATAAAGAGATTACCGGGTACACGATTCAGAGGTAAGCCAGGAAGGCGAACGATCTTCGTCTCATGATGATTTCCCATATAATCGTAACCAGGGAAGTTTCACCATTGAAATTGAAAATTACTATTAGATATACTTTGTAGATGTTATTTATGAAGCTATTTAGTGTTTGCATCAATCAAATGGCTCATTTTGAACATATAAAAAGTATTTGTGTTTTGTTTCCCAGGGAATTGTATTGTGTACACACATAAATAGTGTACATTATACAGTACTTGAATAGCCTGGTTTACATAATATTGAAGGGCATGCTGATTACATGCACACGAGTACATGAATGAAGGCCTAATATTGATATACGTAGCTTGCATACCTAAATAAAAAATAAACTCTTCTAATCCCCTAATGTAAACACGGCGGTATACGTAGCCCGATTTATCGGAGACTTTAAACACTGGTGAACCCTGGTCCGTGAAAAAAACTATTTAAAAAGGAATAAATGCACCCGGGTGCAACTGTAATCCTCCTTTTCACTGTCATAAATCATGAATGCATAAATATCTTTATCCCATACTTGGACGTGTTACAGGTACATAAAGTAGGTTTGTAAAAACTTATATTTTCATCAGTGGGTAGATATAGCCTTACGTCATAATCGCCGTTCGCATATTGGTTCTTTTTTTGTAACGTTCACATAATAACTGTAAACGACAATGGAGAAAAACGCAGACAATCTCGATGTGTTTGATGGAGCATCCTGTTAATAATCAAAATTTCGAGAAAATAAATATTGATGAATATCTGAAAGAACAGGAAAACCCGGCCATGAACTGAACATGAATATTCTAAAATATTTCCACGGTTGGTTGAACTTCCTGAACTTTGAGATGACCAAGATTGGTATGGGATAAACAGATTATCCCATAGTCGGTTCAGGATATTTGGATTATCCCGAGGCAAATATAATATATCTGCCCGGGGGCCGTAGATTAGGATAATCTCTATTTACTCAAACTTAATATTCATCAGGAAGGTCATTGACTCTGTACTATATAGTACATTACAGTCATAGTATTATTACTTTGTAGTCAAAACACAACATCATGATTAAAGACTTATACCAATATTTATTTTAAAAATATTGTATGTAAGGCCACTTGTTTTATTTCGATAAACCAATAAATATGCTATCCAGGCAGTTTGATAATTCAGATGATAAAAACAAGCGATTTGTAGAGTAGGTGTAGCTCCTTTAGTTAATTGCCTGGTGGAGCTAATCCTGATTCTCAAGAATTTAATTATTTACTACATGATATCCACATGTACTTACTTATCCAAGCATGAGAATTTTATTAATTTACAAGAAATAAAAATTTATCACAAGATATTTGCTATCTTGTTTTTTTATACAGATTTTAATATTCTATTAAAGGAAATACCACTCAAGTTAAGTATTTGTTAATCACATTTCCATGAAACCCACAACATCATTTGCATTCCTGATAAAAGGCAATGATCTCATTAAACAAAGAACACCTCCATCTGTCTAAAAAAGAACTTTTCAAATAAGTTAGTCAAAAGTATGGGTGATTTTTTGAAAATTACTTATTCAGCATATATGTTTATAATAATTTCTACACATATAATGAAAATTAGTACAGAAGCAGAACCGCCTTGTCTACTCTTTCTTATATTAAGAGCGTTTTTGTTGATGTTTTATGTATAAATACATGCCACTTTTGACCATTCATCCAGTATAATGGTCATTTAGAGAAAAGCTAGCTGAGGCCTTTTCACTTGACATTTGCTACAACTTACTGTCGCCATCATCTGGTTGTATTTGTTTTGTGTCATCATAGTGGCCAGATAGTGAAAGTGTCAGATTTGGAGGCAGACACTGTTACCTGAAACATGGGTACAATCCAATAAAGCACAAATCTGTGTCTCAGTCTGAAGGCCATTACAATATATGTCAATTCATTGTGTGAATGTGGTATTTACTCTTGGACATTCCTACCTCTTTTAACATTATATCAACCAGTCAAGAATAAGGAGCTGGTTGGCCTATAGAAATATCAATGTGGCCACATGGATTTGTTCACACAGGCATCAATTTGGACTAGTGGATTCAATTACTTATTATGATTCTTTCTTGTATTTTCAGGCAGATTCTAAAATAAAGGCACTCAGTGCGGCATACAGACTGAAGAAACCTGACAAGTAAGTAACTGCCATATTCTCTGTAATAAGCGCACTAGGTGATTAGAAAATTCCTCCTTCTACTCAGTCCATTTTAACTAGAAATCGGCAACTCCACGGACAAACAAATCCCAACAAACACTATATAAATCATGATTCTGCACAGTCACAATGTAATATTTACCATCTACTCTTCCCTTCAATAAACACTTGAGATCAATGTAGTATCATGTAACCATACTAAAGATATCTCAAGTAATTGCGAATTCCTGCTCTAGGCAGCCATTTTGAATTTTCTGAGGCACAAATCAGAAAACGATACCATATTTATGATCTACTCTAAAATTCTTTCAATTTGAGTATTATATAGCCATACTTCTAAGAGAGCAGAAAATTATTGCGCAATCCCACATTAGGTGGGCGGTTCGGAAGTAATGGCATTTTGAAGTCTCGAAACATTGATATGGTGATATCACTATGTAAAAGTCAATGGCACGAACTTGATCAGATAACTTTTAAGCTACTTACTCAGCTGCTTACTAAGCTACTTACTCAGCTACATACTTAGCTACTTACTCAGCTACCTAATCAGCTTATTACTCAACTACTTACTCAGCTATCTAGGTCAATCCAATCTGGAGTCTGAAATTGAACTTGTTCAAATTACCACTCTAGTTAAATTTACATTGGAATGTAAGCAGTCATTATATAAATTAAATCATGCGATTCAATGTTGTTTTAAAACTGAATTTGCGATAAAAATGCATGAAGACCTCGTCCATGTAGTCGTCGATTTGATTCAGTGATTGATCTGAATCTCAGACTTTGATTGATATTTATCTGATAAAATATTTGTATTTTTATTATGTCCCCACCACATAGTGTGAGGCCATATTGTCGGGCGTCCGCCTGTCTGTCCGTCGGTCAAGAGTTCCTTTTCCAAAAAATTCAGAAGATTATATGGCATTATAAAACGCGTCAGAATTTTTCACAATTTTGCTCATTATTCCATGCTGTCTCTTTTCAAGAAAGTCTAACAGTTTTGACTTTATAATAGGATAACCTTTCAATCTAATAAAAGACCAGGTTCTGATTCAAGACAGTTATATCTTTGACCTAACCATATTTTACCATAAATACAATATAGCGTGATAACTAGACTTGTAGTTGTGAATTCCTTGAAAATTTGTAGCTTCTCAAACTCTGCTAAAAAGAGAAACTCGGTATAAAAATGTAATGTACCGACATAAATGCATTTTTGTTTTGCTTTTAATGGAATAAGAAACTTTCTTTCAGTTCTTGATTTTCAAACATCTTGTAGGTCTAAAATTTAAATTCACGCTTTTTTCATTGTGTTGTTGGTTTCGATACAAAACAAAAGTTGGACCCTGTGTTTGAGAGAGGTGTTATCAGCCAATAGCGGACATATTTTGAGTTGAATTAATTCACTATTTTTCATTGAATCAATTTAAACCGAGCATACAGCTGCTTTGGAATCATGTGGATGGTTTATTTCAGCTTATTCAAACTTTAAAAAAATGTTATCTTTAGCACACAGCAGGGGTCTATCTACGTAATCTGTTTTTATTATACCTCAGCTGCCATAATCTGTATTCACTGATGCACAATTAACGAGATATGTCTTATAAATCTTTCGTGAAATCAAGATATGAACAAATGAAGATTTTTTATGCAATGGTGATGAATATTTGATGCGATAGTAGTAGATTTGTAATATCAACATTCATAACTTCACAAGCGTACTCTATGGTCACTAGATTTGATATGATTGAATATCACAAATATCAGTTTTTGTCATTTGAATATAACCTCAAACTATTTTGGCCTCTCAGGATGTCATTATTCGTTATTTGATTATATTTTCATTGATTTTTATGTAATCACCAAAAAGTGGTGGTGAAATATTGTTATGGTCTCCGTTTTTTTTACGGCAGATGGCGATCGGTGGTTGGCGATCGGTGTCTGTAACAAATTCTTACAACTTCCAATAACTTAACAAATACTGTTTAGACTGACTTCAATTTTTTTCAAAATCATCTATATGTTTCCAGAAGTTCAAATCTGACTTTCTATTTAAGATTTGACCTTTAATGACCTTTTCAAGGTCAAAAAAGGTCAAAAAGGTATTTTTTCAACTTGCTTCAAATTGACCAGTTCTTTTTTTTGAATCATCTACAAGCAATCAGAAGTTCAAATCTGACTTAATATTTGAGATTTGACCTTCAATGACCTTCTCAAGGTCAAAAAAGGTCAAAAAGGTATTTTTTCAACTTGCTTCAAATTGACCAGTTCTTTTTTTCAAAATTATCTACAAGTTATCAGAAGTTCAAATGTGACTTTAGATTTGAGATTTGACCTTAAATGACCTTCTCAAGGTCAAAAAATGTCAAAAAGGTCTTTTTTCAACTTGCTTCAAATTGACAAATTTCTTTTTTCAAAATCATCTACAAGTTATCAGGAGTTCAAATTTGACTTCAGATTTGAGATTTGACCTTCAATGACCTTCTCAAGGTCAAAATAGGTCAAAAAGGTATTTTCAACTTGCTTCAAATTGACCAATCTTTTTTTCAAAATCATCTACAAGTTCTCAACAGTTCAAATCTGACTATAGATTTGACCTTCAATGACATTCTCAAGGTCAAAAAAGATTTGACCTTCAATGACATTCTCAAGATCAAAAAGATCTTTTTTCATCTTGCTTCAAATTGACCAATTTTTTCACAATCATCTACATGTTGTCAGAAGTTCAAATCTGAATTTAGATTTGAGATTCCACCTTCAATGACATTCTCAGGGTCAAAAAAGGTCTTTTTACAACTTGCTTCAAATTGACCAATTTATTTTTTCAAAAGCATCTACAAGTTCTAAGAAATTCAAATTTGACTTAAGATTGAACTCATAATATTGTGAGCAACAAGGTGGTGACATTTTGTCATGTTAATGACTTGTTTGATTATATTTTCACTAATGACATTTACCTATTAATGTCTAGACTAACAAATTGACATTGACTATCAATATACTCAACTACACAAAACCTATGACGTAACATTGACCTGTAAATGTGACCTTGACATTCCATGACCTTGATAATTTCAAATTTCGATAATTTATCAGACATTTCTCTTAGTCTATACTCTATAATGAACATCTACGGTATATTGTTGTACAATTAGCAATTATATTTAGAAAACTGGGTATCGATCTGGCAGTGAATGCCAATATGGTAAATCATATTTATGTACCTTGCTATATAACCAAATGTGATTATTATACTGTTTTAGAAAATTTTTCATCCCTTTTCAGGAGATTTGAAGAGTTCAAGGCATACAGCAATGAATTGCAGACCCATATACACAACATTCTCAGAATCAGGGCTGTAAGTAGCTCATGTCTCATTAACATGTAGTTGGAACTTTACAAGTCCACTTCTGTGAGTTGGACCTTTGAACATGCTTGTATTTGAGTTTTTTAACGTTTTTGTTGTTTGGATCGTGCATTGTATGCCAATATACAATAATAATTATGCTTGGGGAGGGGATAAAAGTTCAGAACATTTTACTGCAATTTTTAAAAAGGAAGCAACTTTCACTTTTCCAATAACCAATGAATGGCTAATCCAATATACTTTCCAGGTTAAGGGAAGAGTTTAACCTGAAATATAACTCATTATAGAGGTTTGGAACAATGCTATTAGCTGTTTCAGAAGTCTGTGACCAAATGTCAGTTAAGAATATTTTTCCACAACATGCCAGAAAGTCCATGTGTTAGCTAAGCCAGTTTTATTAGCTGTCTTTTTATCTTGATATATTGTAGAAAATGGCAGACCAGGAGTTTGGTGTACACAGGATACATGCTAACTATGGTCGGGTGTTCAGTGAATGGAGTGGCTTAGAAAAGGAGATGGGGGATGGATTACAAAGTGCTGGACACTTTATGGATAGGTATGGAATGAAAGTACACCCCCAATCCATGCTCTAAAATCATAGAACTGTATGGTACATTAATAGTATGGTACTGTACAGTCAGTTCTGTTTGAGTATGGTACTGTTGTAGATTGGCTGTGTTCTCTTTTATATCCCACAATTTAATAGAAGTATCAGTTTATAGTTTCATAGCAATTCAAACATTGCTCTATGAATCATTGAATATCAAAATGAACATTGTTTTCACACTTTGACCACATACATTATTTGGGCATTTTTCTGATTTTTCCTTTTTTCAATCATGGTTCTTTGTAGATTTGTTAGTGGTTTGTTCACCCCATGACAAGCCAAATGTTAACGGTATAATATTCCTTTTGTGATAAAAAAATGATTTGAAATCAAATAAGGAATTGGATAGGTGCCCAAATATCAAGATAACATAAAAAGGTTAGATAAAATATTGTGGGATTCCTATATAGGACTATCATCTCGTCTAATACCAAATTCTACTTTCAAACTCTTAACATTTTATGCTGAATTTTAAATCCATGATCTGCTATTTTTCAACCCATGTGTATTTGACAAATATCTTCATTGTCAGACTACAGAGATTTTGACCTTTTGAATAGTGGATATCTCATCCTTTCTCTATAGGGTCAAGGTAACGTTTTGACATGTAGCATTTATAAAGTTCATTAGAGATTTAATTGTATTGCATCATTTCAGTTACTCATCATGTATAGATGGCATACTAGAGGATGAGGAATCTTTTGCAGACCAACTGAAAGAATATTACGCATTTGGAGATGCCCTGAGGTATGTTCTCTCAGTTCAGGTTTTACATTACATTGTTATTAAATGTTCTAATGATTGTCTGGCGCAATTGTGTCATGATCACAACATACAATGCTAGTATGGCCATTTAACTTGAACCCATTTCTATTGTCTTCCCTTGTGCTTACATATGTATTTTTCATTTAAGGTCAGTGTGTAGGAAGCAAGAACTTGTGCAATTAAAGCTTGAACAGTGTGAAGATGCACTCTCATATAAAGCTGCCCAGAAAGAACTCTTGGTAAGTTGGTAAGGTACAACTACAAGGCATTTACTTTCGTTTCAAGCAGTGTAATCAGAGAGGATTTGGTTTCAAGCAGTGTAATCAGAGATGATTTGATCTCAACATGAGCCCTTGAAGGAGCCATGTATCGATACGATGGAATATTTCGAATTTTCTACTGTAACCGGCATTGTTACCCTTGAGCAGTCAGTCTTGGTTTGTAAGATATCACATTTTGATGGATAGCTTGCTTCGATGAATGTATTTCATTCCTGTCACATTTGATAATAAATAACATGTATTGTGTAAAATGTATTTACTGTATAAAGCATGATAGATTAAAAGGTGGTTCTTGAGTAGAATAATTATTACATGGACAGTGTACATGTGAGTAGAATAATTATTACATGGACAGTGTACATGTGAGTAGAATAATTATTACATGGACAGTGTACATGTGAGTAGAATAATTATTACATGGACAGTGTACATGTGAGTAGAATAATTATTACATGGACAGTGTACATGTGAGAATAATAATTATTACATGGACAGTGTATATGTGAGTAGAATAATTATTACATGGACAGTGTACATGTGAGTAGAATAATTATTACATGGACAGTGTACATGTGAGTAGAATAATTATTACATGGACAGTGTACATGTGAGTAGAATAATTATTACATGGACAGTGTACATGTTTGCTTACAGAACCAAGGTAAATCAACTGGAGGATTCTCCTTCAGTGGAATGAAAAGTAAACTGTTTGGTGGCGACACACCTCAACAGCGACAGGAAAAGATTGAGAAGCTAGAGAAAGAAATAGAAGAACAAGAGAATGAATTAAGAGCTGTCAGTGCTGATGCACAGTAAGTAGGATGAGATCAAGAGTGAGGAAGTACTATGTCTAGTACCAGAACATTATGCACTTTGAGGATAAAAATGGGAATTCTAATATGATACGTGACATCACACTGGCTAGAACAATATTGATTTATTGGTCTATATTGGAGTATGTATGACCACTAAAATTCTTAAATGCAAATAGTTGTGTTTCTTGTCTGTTTATCATATTAGAATTATAACAAAGACCTCAATTTTATGATTTATGTCAAATATATGACCTCAAATCTTATTCTGGCCATTGCCAAAGACCTCAATCGCTACGTTTAACAATGAACAGAATAAAATTTTCGGTCATAAATCATAAAATCTCGGTCTTTATTCCTTAAATAATGTATTTAATTGGATTTGTATTTAGGGGTTTATAAATATGAGAAGATCAACTTTAACTACGAACTATAATCAATGTTTTCGGTCATAGTGGCTACCAGTAACAATTGGAACTTTTTAGTTAAACCTTATTTAGAAGTTCTGTCACTATGTTGAGAATATTTGCCTTGGCCTATCATTAAATGGATTTGACCTTTTGGCAATTATCATCATCAGAAATGATTTATAGAATTCACTAAAAACAAATATGTGCAGTTGATAACTATGGCAACTAAACAGTCTAAATATAATATCAGTGTCTTTCTTTAAAATTTCAGGAAGTTCGTTGAAGATGCGTTGAATGACATTGACCGATTTCAAAGACAAAAAGTCAAAGATCTCAAAGAAATTTTAACAAACTATGCCATAGTACAAATTGAAAAGTGCAAAAAGGTGAGTCACAGAGTAATACCTTTTTTCATCTTTGTGGTGTCTCAGACACAATTTATATTAGTTTTCTTTCATTCAAAACTGTGATAAGCTACTTTGATGTTTTGAAGCATGAATATAATGAATCATAGCACAGCCATGTGTACATATGTATATTAACCATGTGTATATATCTAGTAGCTATGAACAAAGCAAAATTGCCTTTTACCCTTTCCTCCCTTAATCTGGCTACTCAAGCAGCAACTAATAGTAAATAGTGATTTGTTCACTATTTCAAGGAGTGGCTTTATTATCATTGATCATGTTAAACCTTGAAAGTTTATTTTATGCAGATTACCAGTGATTTTGTAACCAACAGCCGGTAGTTGTTACTTGCAAATGCTAATTTTTATATATTTATATTTTTCAGGGAAAAGCTATTTGGCAGAACACTAAAGAATGCTTTGAAAAAATGTGATGACAAAAGTTTGGTGCAATAATGGATTTTACTTTTATTTAATTGATTTTTAATGGAAATTTGGACATTAAAGAGCAATTTTAACATTTTGTTCAATTATTTACTGGAATACATATCATTTTAATAAACATGTACTGTACATATGTTTCAACTATGTGACATATGTATCACCTATTCACACATATGTATCAACTATTTGTACATATGTATCTTATGGACTATGAGTACATTGTACTATGTATCAATTATGTGCACATATGTATCAACTATGTGTTACATGTATCAACTATGCTTACATATGTATCAACTATGTGCACATTATGTATCAACTATGTGCATATATGTATGAACTATGTGTTACACGTATGAACTATGTCAACATATGTTTCAACTATGTGTTACATGTATGACCTATGTCTACATATGTATCAACTATATGCATATATGTATCAACTATGTGTACATATGTATCAACTATGTGTTACATGTATGACCTATGTCTACATATGTATGAACTATGTCTACATATGTATCAACTATATGCATATATGTATCAACTATATAGTGCATATGTATCAACTATGTGTACATATGTATCAACTATGTGTTACACGTATGACCTATGTCTACATATGTATGAACTATATGCATATATGTATCAACTATATAGTGCATATGTATCAACTATGTGTACATATGTATCAACTATGTGTTACATGTATGAACTATGTCTACATATGTATCAACTATATGCATATATGTATCAACTATATAGTGCATATGTATCAACTATGTGTACATATGTATCAACTATGTGTTACATGTATGACCTATGTCTACATATGTATGAACTATGTGTATATATGTATGAACTATGTGTACATGTGTATCAACTACGTGTGTAATGTTTCACATGAGTGTGTATATTTGTGTAAACCATGTGTACATTTGTATCAACTACATGTACATGAAACTGCTAACAATGCAAACATAGCTGCGTCTTGGCATCACTAATTTGTTCCCCTGCAACACCCCATCTTAAATAGGAGGGGTGTCAAATACTTGATGCACGACTGTTGTGTACAAATAAATTGAATACTTTGATTTCTAAGTATAAAAAGGCCTGTAGCCGATATCCTTATATCTGAGACCACTTGTCTTATATTGTGCAATTGTTTTATGAATATTAAAAAGTCAACAGAAATATTTTGGTTTCTAAAAGTGTTACTCTTCTTTTATTCAAGTATATGCCATAATGAGCATTCTTTATTTTAAAGGTGTCACCAGGAGTATTGTCAAGTTTGCTAAGAATCTTTCATAGTAGCTTTCAAACCATTTAATTACTCAATAGACTAGATGTGAGTAGAAATGATCTTGATTTATGTTATCTAAATTCAAAATTCAGTCAAAGTGATATATTTGAAATCTACATGTAAAATTACATCTAAAATGTGGTTTTGAAAAGCGTTTATATTGAAAATTTTATTCCCTTTGTGACTTCTTGTTTGGGGAGATTCCCATGTTCACAAAATCACAAAAAAGTGAAATATCTTTTCTTGTATTGGATGGATATTTTCTTTTACTGGACATATTTTCATTTGTATAACTATCAGATACGCAAGGATAATATGAAAATTGATCCATTAGAACTGATAAATATTCAAGTTTAAATAGTCTTTCTCAAAGACCAAGACTGTGTACACCCCCCCCCGCCCTATGACTATGCTTAGTATGTACTTCACGTGACTATGTACAGCCCCCCCCCCCCAGGGTATGACAGTGTGAATGAAGTTGATCAGGGGGCGGGGGGGGGTCCAGGGTCTTAAGCAACACTAAATTTTAAGGGAACTCCGGTGATATCCTTCATTCAATACTGTGGAAATGTTGTTCTTATATTGGCCAGGAACAAGATATAAACTTGATATAAACAGCCATGCATTCGAATGATTGTTTTATATTGTTTTAAAATACTGTTTGTAAGAAGTGCAATTTATCATTATGTTCAATGAATTGATGTCAAAAGAGAAATATATTAAGATATATTAAACTGTATCTTGGTTTTGTGTTTTGTTGCTAGTAAGTGAAGTGGCGCCATGTAGAATTTAAACTAGATAACGGCAACTCTGCGGAGTAGCAAATCCCAACGAACAAAATATCAGTTACCGAATTCCAATCAATTATACTCATTACTTTGGTTAAAATTGAAAAATTTAGATTTTAGAATTGCGAATTCCTGCAAAGCAGCCATTTTGAATTTTCTGAGGTACAAATCTGAAAAATAATACCATAATTGTGATCTACTCCAAAATTCCTTCAATTTGAGTATAATATAGCCATACTTTGAAGGGATCGAAAAATTATTGCGAAATCGTACATTAGACAGCCATTTTGAATTTTACGAGGCTCGAATCAGAAAAAAGATAATACAATATTTGCAATCTACTCTTAATTGCCTTTAATTTGAGTATAATAAAGCTATACTTTAGAAAGATCTAAAAATAAGCGAAAATTTCTGTTTTCCTGACCCCCCATATACGGCCCCTGGGGGTCAGGATGAAAAACACGTAATATATGTGAAATAGATCGATGTTGGGAATATACTCCCAAAATTTCAAACAATAATATTAATTACTTTGGTTTAAAATGAAAAATTTATGATTTTTGCAAAAAGTCCCGTCATTTTTTAAGCGGCGGCCATCTTGAAAAAATTTTTTTTTGCGTAAAACTATTCACCAATATACATCTTTCCATTAAATATGAAGAAAATCCGTCAACTAATATTTGAGTTATCTTCCGGACGGACAGATGGACGGACTGACTGACGGACGGACGGACGGACGGACGGCTTCACTATATCCCTACCGAACTCCGTTCGTTGGGATAATTACCACTTCAATGGGAACAGGGTATACCATATACATGTAATGGCAATAAATTTCCCTTATTATAGTTATGTTCTTATATTTAAAGATTCAATATCAAGTGGCAATACTGATATAATCTAGAATTGAGATCTTTGAAAAAGTATTTATATGTGAATGTGAACAATCGTCCCACTAAATTTATGTCATATAATGACAGCCAGGCTTCAAGTATGTCATGCAATGTAGTGTTTTTTATATACCTGAATTGTACACTACATGTACACAAACTGTACATGTATATCATGTACATATACACCTTGATTTTCAGTTCTATTTAAGAATCATAACACAAGAAAACATTCATTATTTTTATCTATTATATTTCTTCTTAAAAAAATGTCTCCTCATGGAGCTTGTAGATATCTACAAAAGTTTCAGGGCTAATGTTGAATTTAGGAATGAATATACATATTGCATTTATAAGTGAAATAAAGATTTGTGCAGTCGATTAAACAAAATGTTCCGAGTTATAAAAACAAAAGAATGGAAGCAAAAATGGAGATTTCAACATGCACATGAAATAATTGAGGTATTTCTCAAAAAAAACAAAGAATAAGAAACCAACAGAGATGATTTATAACAGCTCCTAGCATAACAAATGACTGACATGTACACAAGTTTCTTTGTAACAGTCACGGTAAAGTGCAGTGAGCAACACATGAACAAATATGACGCACAATTTTCTTCTTCTAATGAGCTTAAAGAAATATATGTATAAATGGAAGCACTATCTACTTATCAAAATCTGTCTCCTTTCATTTTTATAAATTGTGATCAAGAAAAATAGACAAATGCCTCTATGAAACGATTAACACGTCACTGTTAGTCCAACGGTACAAATGTTCTTAAGTGTCAAAAATACAATTTATATTCCCAGCATCAACATATACAATTCATAATCGCAGCATCAAAACATGTACAATTCATATTCCTTGTGTCAAAACATATACAAGTAAATCTCACTGGCATAAACATACATAGCATTTAGAAAAATATATATGGCACATATTTTAAGTTTATATACATCATTATTCAATCCCTTTACAAACAATTAAATAATAATTTCTGATATTTACACTTTACATGATTTTGTTCTGGTTTGTGTTAAGTACATTGGGTGAATTATTACACTATGTTTTGATCCTAACTGTTAACATAATTGTAACTTATAAATGGTTTTGTGCCTGCTGTAAACTGACAGTAAAATACCTCCATATACTTCCCTCTAATGTCACTGGTCAGTATCAAGCGAAGGTAACAGGCGTAACCTTCGCATCAAAGATGGCGGACGGTAATTGTCGATTTCGATATTTTTAGATTTCATCGATTCGGAATTAAACTACTTTATAGTTGACGTTATGCTTTAATATTTGAACCAAACCAAGCTTATATGACATGGGAACCCTAGAGTGTGATAATTTGTTCATATATCGTGCTTGGGCGCCACAATTCAACAATATCTTCCACCTCTTAAGGGAAGATGACTGGTCATGACAACGGTCATGTTATGTCAATGTGATATAGTTACTGGACAGCTTAGCTCTCCATTACAGACACACATAACGTTACCGCATCACCGTCTTTGGTCATCTTTGATGCGAAGGTTATGGCTGTTACCCTGGTTGATACTGACCAGTGAATGTGGTCTAAACCTATCAATCTACAGTAGCTGGAATCCATGACCTACTATCTAGAAATGTCACGAATCGCAAGATATGAATTGTCACTTATTTACAAATCATAGCATAAATGTATGTTGTGATTTTTGAGTATGGGCATTTTCCATACACATGTAGTATATAAATATTCAATGTTCTTTTTATTCCCCTGAATAATAAATATATTATGCTTTATGATACACTGGCTAAAGATATGTTTAGGTGTCATACCGAGACACACATTTGTGTGTTACATTGAGACACTCATCTGAGGTCATACTGACACTCAGTTTCAAGTTTTCTCATTAAGAAAAACTTTAGGTCAACATTTTTGTGTGTCAGTTTGAGAAATACACTTAGGTGTCATACAGAGACACACATTTAAGTGTCATATTTGATGTTCTTGAAGTCATTCTTCACTCTATCAGCTTCACTCTTCAACTCCTCACGTCTATTCTCTCGGAAATTGGCGAGGTTGTCTGGAAGGGGATCAGCCCCACCCCGAGACAGAATCCAAGGATGACAGAGTACATCTATTGCGCTGAAACGTTTCTTCTTGTCCACGACAATCAGGTGATCTATAAAGTCTCTTGCAGCTGGAAATAAGAAACGATTTATTAAAAAATGCTTCTAAGAATCAAAAATATCCCTATAACAAATAATGATTTTGTAAAATGCACTAAAAATCAGATTAAAAAGTTCATCGGATAGGCAACAAAACCAGCAGAAAAAATTAGCACTTGTATTTACATAGATCATATTCTAATGCAGTAAAATCATTAAAACGAATGAATTTCAGCTTACATTCAGAAATTTTATCCCAATATGGCCGTAGGAATTCAAACTCTCCAGCTTTGATGTACTCAAACAACTCAGTCTGGTTCCTATCAGGACTCCTGAATGGTGGAAATCCACAAAGCAAGATGTAACATATAACCCCTAGTGCCCACATGTCAACCTCCAGGCCATAACCTGCAAAACAGAAATCACATTTAATTGTGTTACTAAATAGGACTTGATTTATTGGTGGATAAATACATTACAGTAGTTATTTCCATCAGGCTAGGAAATTACTAGTATCCTATTTATTCATATCATATGAAGAAACTGACAAAATTAGTTAATTCTTAATTCATCAAATATTTTCATTTGGATTTATCTAAAACTCTATTTACATGCAACTAGATGGTTTTGTTAACATGCAGATATGATGTTAAAAACCTTACAATTTTGATCTTTAAAATAATAATCTTAGAGAAGATCAACTTTTAAAGATTTTTAAATCAATGGGGAGCTAGAATAATGAATAAGTAGGTAACTAAAAAAATAATGTTGAAACTATTTTTTAAGATTAATGATTCAAGTGCGCTGAACATACCTGACTCAGTGAGTATCTCTGGGGCGACATATGTTGGGGTACCACATACTGTGTAAATGGGTTCCTTCACCTCCATGGCAAGGCCAAAGTCTCCAAGCTTCAACGTTATGCTACCATCTTTGTTCCTACACACCTGGAGATAGAAAATAATAATATCTTTATTCTTTATACAATTCTATGTATATTAATTTTCTACATTTTCATTTTTAAATAAATACATAAGATATAAATTTTGTTCAATTCAGAATGTATTAATTTAAAAATCCAAATATTAACAAGATTAACAACTGACTTGTGGATTCTTAGCTTTACAATGTTTAGAAAAAATATTCTCTTCATTTTTAGCAAACTAACTTCTAGCACATTAAATGATTTATGAAACATAAAGTCCCCTTGATTGAAACATTTAATCACAAATTCCTGCATTTTATTAATTATGAGCTACATTACAAACTAGAGTAAGCCCCAGTCCTTACTTATTGGGCTTGTAACTGTATATTCTTGCTCTATTTCCAATTATCCATTAGATTCATTCACATCCTGAGCGTTTCATATTTGTTAAATAAAAGCCAAATAATGCGATATCAAAATAAATTGAAGAATATAATTGAGTATGGGGTTTATATATTGAACTTTTAAAAGTAAGACACCTAACTTTGATCATGACCTCTGAATGAAAAAATGGCCTTTCCATAAGCTGTTTTTTATTTGGTTTTCATATTAACCTGAATTCTATGATTTATTGTACGTATGCAGGACACCTTGGATTTTGACTAGCTGTTTTTTGGTCCATTTATCATACTTGTTTCATAAAAGATTTCAATTCTATGATTTATGGCAAATATTTTATTGGAAGTATCTTCACCCATGACCTCTAAATGAATAAATGAAAAATGGATTTTGATAAGCTGTTTCTTCAATTGGTTCTTACAGTAACCTTAGTTCTCTGATTTATACCAAATATTTTATTGGAATTTTACAGAACTCCTTATCTTCATCCATGACCTCTGAATGAATAAATGAAAAATGGCTTTTGATAAGCTGTTTCTTCAATTGGTTCTTATTGTAACCTTAGTTCTGTGATTTATACCAAACATTTTATTGGAATTTTACAGAACTCTTATCTTCACCCATGACCTCTAAATGAATAAATGAAAAATGGCTTTTGATAAGCTGTTTCTTCAATTGGTTCTTATAGTAACCTTAGTTCTGTGATTTATACCAAACATTTTATTGGAATTTTACAGAACTCTTATCTTCACCCATGACCTCTAAATGAATAAATGAAAAATGGATTTTGATAAGCTGTTTCTTCAATTTGTTCTTATTGTAACCTTAGTTCTGTGATTTATAGCAAATGTTTTATTGGAATTATACAGAACTCCATCCATGACCTCTGAATGAATAAATGAAAAATGGATTTTGACTCGCTATTTTTTGTTTGTTTAACATATATGAATCATAAAAAATGACCTCAATTATGATTTTAGAAAATATCATCTGGAATTTATTGCATCATTTAATCATAAAATCTTTCTTTATTCCTTCATAAAAAAAAGTTTATAATATCAGACTAGATTACATTCTGGTTTATGTGAATATATTTAAAGTAGACTAGTACAAATATTAGTATCGGGTTTAATCAAGATAAAAATATATCCTGGAAGCTACGAGAGCTTAGATGAAGCCAATATTTTACATAAATTGTCTATAATTTATTTGATAAGTTGACTTATCGGAATAACAGCATGCCTCATTGGCACTTATCTCAATAACATTGCAACAACATTTTCTATCCTATCTTTGATATGCCCTTGTGAATCTTTTTTTATTAGCATTAGTAAATCACTCATTTTTTCAAACATTTTTTAAATGACTAATAATTTAAATATAGAATTAAATATTGTTTATTCATGACTAATTGTAATAGTATGTAATATACATCAAAGGAGAAGACAAGATTATTCTTGGAATAATACCAACTGATAATCAATACGCAATTACAGCTTGTAAGCTCCACAACAAAATATATTAGGAAACACATAATGCCAATATCTGTCATAAACCGTAACATAGCTTTAATGATCTATACATTGATTAGCATACCTGAAAATAGTCCATGTAAAATATGTCACTAAATAAAGATTTTTCAACCAAATGCACTAAAAAAGTAGATAGTGAGCAAAGATAACGAGACTTGACGACTAAGCTCGTTCTAAATCATAACATTTCTGAAATAATAAGAACCTACCGTTTTTTCTGTAGAATTCTACTAAAACCTGATTAACTAGTAGCTTGTCAGTAATTTGAGATGTTAGGGTTCATAAGGCTGGTATATGTACAATTCAATTTCAAAATTTGTATTCTCTAGTAATCACATATTTATTCAATTCTTCAAATATAAACGATCCATAAGTCTAAGAAACCGAGATGATAATCAAATGCTGTTTGGTTCCTGGTTAATTGAACTTCATTTTAAGTTGGCGCACACCCAATCATGTTAACCATTTCACATGTACTTCTACCATTAAATCAGTGTTTATTTATTACCATTAAATCTATGTTTTATCTATTACCATTAAATTGTTGATCAGGTTCATTACCGTTGAATCAGTGTTTTTTATTTATTACCTATATTGACTCATTAGGTATATTATCATGGAATCAGTGTTTCGTTTGGGAGACCCACATGTAGTCTCAGGCACAGCTGCATCTGTGCATCATAACAATTCTAAGTAACACAAACAAATAGCATCGTGTCCAACATTTTTTTTCATTGTGTGCAGTTTCATTCAAAGGAGTACACCATGAAATATGCACCTGGGTATTTTTGAACTTAGCGCAGAACAATAGATTCTCTATTAACAAGAATGAAAATTATCGCAAATCCGTAAACATGTTAGAATAGTTATACCTGATCGATACGAAGACAGAACTCATGTTAATGTGATGACAATAACTAAAATACTGATAAGACGACTTTATAAAATCTAGTTGTATTAGGGTACTACTTTTCATGTATTGTTGATCAATCAATGCTAAATTCTCAACTTACACACACTTACCTATCGATCACTGAAACACTTTAGCAAAAAACTAATTAATGTAATTATAAAGCGAGCTAAAAGGGTAATTATTTCCATTCCATCATCAAAAAACTATATTAACTCAGTTATTAGGAAGTTTTTACACCTGAGACTTCCCTTTGAAACCCCTTCCACCAAATTGTAATAACAATTGGGGATATATATGGAGTCCTTAAATTTCTCTTATACAGTACCTATTTTCAAGAGCATGGAACAAATACTACACGGGAAGCAATTTTATATTCTAACAACAACAAAAATGAATGAATCTGAACAATGAGAATATTGTGAATCTTGGATATAATGCAAGTATACTATATACGCAAATAACTCCTTTTAACTCGAGCTTTATTATTTTCTATCTTATTAAATACCCTCGAGTATTCTTTTGAAAGCTCTTTCAATATAACGCTTGTGTACTATAACAAATGGGTGTCACTATGAGAATCTCCATTCTCCAGTACTTACCATTAAATTTTCTGGCTTCATGTCTCTGTGTACAACGTTTCTGGCATGGAGATAGAAGAGAGCATTTGCGAGATCTTTAACCATACTGGCCGAGTCTGCTTCATTGAACTTAACACTCTGTGTGATAGCATCAAACAGGTCACCACCCTAGAGAAGAAAATGTATTTGTTTCTGAGTGAGGAAATAAGAATGAGAAACACGGTATAAAATCTAATTGTATAAGGTTATCATTACACCAAAGTTTAAAAATTGTTAAAGAAGCAGTCACTGACCTCAAATGCCAGTAATTTTCATACTACTCCCCCTTACCATAAATAACGAAGGGGTCATTGATCAGATCAATGATCAAATATCTTATTAGAGTCAGAGTTGATATTTTTGTCAAAGAAGCTCAGTGGCATTGTCTCCGACTATGTTGTTTCAACTTCTTAGTAAAGGTAAAAACATGGGCTTTCAATAGATCTCTTGAAAGCCCATGGTAAAAAGATCAAAATACAAGCATTTTATTCTATAAATGAAGTATATAAATATTTGCTTTTTCTAATGGGATATAACAATGGCAAAATAACTTATAGATTTAATCAATCAAAGTCATAGAAAAGCCATGATGATATAGATCACGTTTCAAGATTAACACGAAAAGTTCTTCCCCTTAATACAGAGAGACATAAATGCAAATAACTTGCTCTTTAGAGATGTCAGAATAACCAGACAGAATCCAGGGACTGTAATAACACATTTAGATGTGCCCAACTAAAATATTCTTACTCTAATCAACATTTCATTTGTTTTTCATGAAAATGTTTAAAATAAAGCTTGCTAAGCAACAATTACTAGAAATCAAATGTAAATGCCATAAATTGGCTATATTTTCAATACCACTGTGATACTAAATGTTTTAGACATAAATTGAAGTGAATTGTTTGATCTCAGTAGCAACTGGAGAATGAATAATGAGCTGAATATAAAAATAAAATCATCTTAAGTTACATGAAAGTAATTTCCTGATTTTTCTTTTTGAGTATGTAATAATGATATTGCAATAATAATAACATTCCCATAGAATAGCAAATCTATGTAGAATGGAAGATTTGATGTACCAAGCCTTGGTAAAACAAAACACCAAGTTAAAAACAAAATTTCCAGAAAGATGATTGACGGAAATATATCTGATCTAAAGATTTATAAAACATGATAGCCAAATACTTTTTATTTAGAAAATTATTCTCACCTTAACAAGTTCCATCACCAGGAAAATATTCTTCCCAGTTTCAAACTCCTCTTTCAGTTTGACAATATTAGGATGATTGCATTCCCTCATTAGTGCAATTTCATTCTCAATCATATGTTCTTTGCCTTTCAGTTTGGCCTTGTCTATGATTTTCATAGCATAGTTCACTCCTGTACTCTTCAGTTCAGCTTGTTTTACAACTGCGAAGTTACCATCACCTAATGTTTTACCTATGATGTATTTATCTTGCACTCTATCCATACTTGTAACTTGACGCTCAAATTTAGTTTTATTGATGTGACCCTTTGGTTCTTTTTTAGGTTTAGGTGGTGGTGGAGTTGGTTCTTTTGGAGGAGGAGTGGGCTCCTTGGGAGGTGGGGAAGGTGATTTAGGAGGTGGTGTTTGAGGAGAAGGAGATCTAGGTTTTCGTCTCCTATTTGCATTTTCATCTGTATCAGATTCATAAGAGTCCTCTCTAGGGTAAGCCCTAGGCCTCCTTCTCCGCTCATCCTCTTCTTGGTCTCGCATTTTCTGACGCTCAGCCTCCCGTTTTGCTAACTCCCTCCTCTTCTCATCTTCAAGTTTCTTAAAAGGATCTTTACTTCCTTTCAGTGGCACTAACCCTCTTCTCCTCCGCTCATCATCAAGTGCACGTCGTTCAGCATCTAGCTGTTTCTGATAACGTTTCCTTGCTTTTTCTCTTTCATCTTCAGCAGCTCTTTTACGGGCACCATCCATACGAGCAGCTTTCTCCCTTTGGGCAAGCTCCTCAGGAGATCTATTGTCTTTAGCAGGGGACCCTGATTTGTAAATAATAATCTCCTCTGGCTCATCTTTTTGATTATTGCTTGAGCCAGAGTCTTCAAACCCACTGTCTCTTTTGTCATTTTCAGGATAGTATTCCTTTATCACTGGTTTTGGTTTTTTCCGATTTTTCTCCCATTCTTTGACGAGACTTTTGGCATATGGGTTGTCAGGATATAGTTCTTCGATGATGTCATTAACATCACCAACTGTCAGTTTTTCTTGGCCTATAGCAATAAATACATCATCATCACGGAAGAAATCGCTAACACTTTGCACCTCACGCCCTTTTATGGTAAACAGCTTTCGTATTTTACCCTTGTCTTTTGGGAAAGACCCTGTTATGTCACCCATAAGTTCATCATAACCCTGTATACTGTCTCTATTGAGCAGAACTTTGATCATTTGCCTCGGTCGTTTACTACCATTTTTAACAACAGTAATGACCTTAGGTTTTGATCTGCCACCTCGTGGTTGAGGTTGACTATTGTCCAATCGGGAACCAGCCCCGAAACCACCTGGGTAATATTTCCTTTGGGGATATGTTTGTCGTAATTTACTAGGAGCGAACCCCCCTGGTCCATATCTGTTACTATATCCTGATGGTCCATATTTTACTCCACCTGGGGCATTCCCGATGGAATTCCAATAGCCAGGGTATTCTATGGATTGAGATTGTTGTTTACCTGGAAACATAAAATTATAAAGATTTATGCTTAATAGGAGAATTGAAATAATCAGATGATATCAAAACAAAATGAAAAACACATTCTTTGACAACTCCACATTCCAGTCATCATTGATCATGTCTGGACATCTGTATGACAGCAAAAACCTAAAGAAAATGCAATAGTTCTAAATATTAATTGTATACATGTACACTTTTTTCTAGTTCAATCTTTTTGATACATACCATCACTTATGACAGCAATCTCTATTTGATGACTCCTGTCATCTTTTGGTTTTTTGACTGGTTCAATTTTTGTCTTAAGAGTACCTATATTAGGTTCATACATTAACCCAGGCTTAACTGGAGCACATCCCAAAGCAACAAGGATCTTATATTCCTCAAGTGCTGATTTAACACAATCCACGGTTTCGTGTTTTTTTTCATTTCCATGATCCACAGAACACGTCCCGTTTGGAACCGGCATAGTAGATCGCACTACTGATAATGAAGATACGATCTTGTCTGATTAATTTCCATATAATATCATGTAGCAACAAGGCAGAACCTAGTTACAAATCCCTCTTGATTATGTATGATACTCTACACAGTAAAACATGTCTAATCAAGACCATACTGGGAAATGCCAAAAGTGTTCAAATTTGCAGGTGTTCATATTTTCATGTTTTGAGTCAATTTGAGTCAAAAAATTGGAACCAAAAAGTGTTGGCATTTGAGAAGTGTTCAAAAAAGAGATGTGTTCAAATAAGAGAAGTGTTCAGGTATACACGCTTTACTGTACTTGTATATGGATCTATTTGGGTTCATTAAATACTTTTACCCAGGGGATTATTGAAGATGGAAGTGATGCCAAGTCATGCAATCACAGAGCTATATAACTATATCAAGGCATCTGAGTCTATTATTTCGGGTTAAGGAACGAGGTGTGTTCAACATAAGCATTGTTTCTTTCCTATTATTCAAATATATAAAAGTATATACATAGAAGGCCATTGGCATATGAAATACAGGTATTTAGAAAAAATACTGTATGAAATGCCTTTATCAAAAATTATATATTGTATTGTATAATTATTGTATTGACTCCAGATATACATATTTGCTCGTATTATATTAAAACATTACTCCGAAAGTATTATGTTTTCTGAAGCATACAGATTTAATAAGTTTTTCACAGATCTTAACTGAATTAGGTATTTATGTTATAAATGAATGCATCCTCTTTCTCTCATAATTGAATAAAACTACAGGTAGAATCTCAGGTATACTAGTAATTAACTCAATAGACTATTCACCATGGTTACCTATTCCTACGAACGAAAACATCTCTTTGTAATTAATTTATCGTTCATCAATGTGGGTGATGCCACAGGTATAATGCGTGACTAACAAGAAAAGAGATGACTTCTATTCAGATATACTATATGCTGAGGATTAAGTCAAAGATGTGATTTAATTACATTTTATTATCAAACTTCAGAGGGTTCCAGACTTGTATCACCGAGGTTTAATTACTAACTGCGATGGGGTGAAACATATTAATTTCATTTCACGGCATGTTGCCTAGTAACCAGAAATGATATTCCTATTACACAATGTCATTTTAACACAAATCTACACAAAATGTAAATATCATTTGAATATGTCTTATTTTCTCAGATATAATGATTGTTATTTTTATATTTCTATAAGAAGCAATTGTCATTCCTCTAGTTGCTATAATTGTCCTCAATAAACAAAACAATATTTTGATTTCAAGAATAAAAATATTCTGAAAGGATGGTATTACAAAAGATGTTCCATAAAACTAAGACATTGAACTGAATCTAAGGACAGATATTGATACAATTTCAACATATCGAACCATTCCTTTGTTGTTTAGTGCTATCGAGTGCTGGCTGATTTGAAGAAATTCAGGAAAACCTGCTTCCACAAGAATTCCTTAACATATATTTAAATATTTTCACTATTGTTAGTTTGCAAATCTATGAGAAGTTTTTTTAAGAAACAAAGTCAGGCACCAGGCCAAAAAAGGCCTAAGGCGATTTTTCAAATATAAGAGAAAATTATTGAATTTTACCATTCAGATAAGTTCACAGATAAATAAACCACTTATGATACAATTAATGATACAATTTACCTCTATCTTGTTGTTATGACATATTTCATTTCCCAAATGTCAGTCTGAATGACAGTATATTTATCATTCAATTCTTTAATTTCCCAATGGAATTCATAACATAATTGCAGGAATATAAATATAGCGGGTCTATGAATAATTGCAAAGTAAAGGCTGATTTTATCAATCTGAAGTATAAATAAATAATGTATCATATATTATGTTATTACAGTTTACATATTTTAGATTGTGAAGGTCACATAAAAATGAGCAGGCACGTATATGTGTATTTGAACAAAAAAGTGTGGGTGCAATTATCATATACATACTCAATTTTCATAAAGTAATGTCAGATATGCCATGGTCACATGTGCTCCGATTTTTAGTACCCGGCCAATGAGTATTTTGTTCAAAATTGCATTCAGTTATGTGAACATATACTCATTGGCCGAACACCGGTGTTGAAGATCAGAACAAATGTGACCACGGCAATACTTAAGATGTCACGCATTGTCAAGCTATAACATTAAAAAAATATAAATATACCTTCTATGTAGTCAATAATGCATAAACAATTTTTTTCTCTACTATGATACATGCAAATTATGTCCAAACCATTCATATCCATTCAATGATATAATGAGTAGCTATATATAATGAGTAACCATGATATAATGATTATCTATACATACTTCACTAATTGTACTTGTGACAGAAGCTAATGATCGAATAAGTGTCTCTCATATGTTCTGTATTACCAATAATTAATGATCAATGATTCTGGTTAATGGCATTAGGGAATTTATTAATTATTTATTTCATATAGTACAGTATACATATTATAAATTACGGTATTTCTCACTATCTGCTATTACATGAAAATATACCAATTCTTATTATTGCTAACTAAAATGTGTTATACTCCATTTCCGACCCAAGAATATAATTCAGTATATTTCAGGATCCCATATTTATAACATCGCCTACTTTGTCTTGATTGTTCCAAATAGAGATCAATACTCGGGTCAATAAGGAAAACTGGTTATATCAGAATTTATGAGACCAATAATCATTAATACAAATATTAATTGAATTTTAGTTCAAAGTTCATAATTCAATAATCACACAAATTTGAAGTTGTGTATGCAAAGTGAGTTACATGGAAGTCAATGTAAAACATGCATGTACTGGAAGTGAACAAGATGTTATATTGATAGGTTTACTTGTTATTCTTTCCCTCTGTTGATTTTAGAATAGTTGGTTTTAACAAAGTTAAGATTTCAAATACAAAGAGTGACAAGAGAACTCTTCACTCTACTCTGAAACAACCGATTTATAAAAATTACATTTTCAAATGTCTATGATACTAAGATATAAGCACAATGCAAGTATATCGTATATTAAAGAAAAAAACATTATTAAAAATAGCAAAAAGTCAAATGCTCTTGCTCCTTAGTGGTTAAGGAGAATATGATGACTTGGGCATGATAACCTATGTAAATACTTAATAGATTTTTAATTTCCACATTTATTCTAAGAATATGATCGGATACATTATTTAACAATTATCCAAGTTAAGTGGCATCAGTGGCAAATGTCTCTGACTGATAAAGTTTATCTCTGAAAAATTGTACTCAGAAAAGAATAATAAAAAAGAAAAAAATATAGCATTTTTATGATAAACCATATAAAAATGAATGAAAGAAAAATCATATATTTTGATATTTATGATCTACCTATTAAAATAAAACTATCACATTACAATTAAATCACAAGTAATTTCAAAGATGTAATAAAACTCTGATAATCTAATCAAATTTACATTTATATATTTTCAGTTACATGAAAACCCTAATTCATTATTTAATATACTATTTCTATTTTCATCACTTACGTCTCGGAGCAAGATCTCTTTGATCAGTACTTCGTCCCCAGATATATTTGCGGAATATCCTAGGAGGATCTGGCCCAATATCAATGACACGCTGTCCCATTTTCCTTTTTGGTTTTTCATTCTTGTGAACATAATACTTCATGGTAGCCATTTAAGCTTTTTGATGTGGAACAAGTCCCAGTTAATCAAAAATCACAATAAATCCATAAGATTTTCATAAAATGTCATAACTTTCTTGAACAAAATGGCGGAGACTCTGATGTCCTTAGCGATGGCGATTGTGGTTCAGGTTGCCGTCTTGTTTAAATATGAACACATATTCTTCAATATTTGTTTGAACAAATCTACAATCTTTGGAGGCATCTTTGAGATTATTGAATGGGATATTGATTTTTAAGGGCAGCTTATGACGTTAAGGGCTGTCACCCTTGTTGACAGATTGTTTTGGCACAAACAAAGCACAACATCTCTTTTGGACTTCTTTAGGCTTACAAGAGCAACAATGGTGCTTTATCATTTTTTACTTCACTTTATTGTAAATAATATTTGAACTAAACAATAGCTTCTATAACTTTCCTTAAAGCTTCAGAAAATTTTATTAGCTCGGTCAACAAACTGAACACTGTTGACCTGTAAGACGCCTAGTACAGTTTCGATGGATTACAAATTACAACTAAACAACAAGTAGCTTAAACTATTGATGGAAGGGAAATATGATATATGGCGAACTAAAAACCGTGCCAGTGATTTTATAACATGTTTTTTTATGTCCGTAAATAGATTTAAAGTACATTAAAATATAACACTATTCAAACTAAATAAAATATATTTTATTTGAAGTTGGTTAAAGAATCAAACATTGCTCACAATTCTTGTTATTATGACATCACTAAGGTGACAAAGGTGAAGTTCATAAGAGTCATATTGACGGGAATATTTCCGTCCTTAGAGTAGATATAAGACATTGTTAGCTTCTGGGTCTCAG